ACCCTTAGCCGCTTGAGCCCTTACTCGTGGCTCTCTTTGACTATGCTTCCAACACGCTTGCAGGCCCAATTGGCTGGTAGGTCCCCCCCTTTTTCTATCTTTTTCTTTTCTTTTCTTTTCTTTTTCTTTATTTATCTCAAAAATAAGATTATAAAAATTATATAAATTTACATAAAATCACATAATTAGCTAAAAAATCACATTAATCAACTAAAAACTAATTTTCATAATTTAACATAAATATAAATTTATTTTTCATGAGTTAAGACTAAAATTATATTATTTATTAATTATTAACTCATAATAATGAAGACTTATCAAATACCTTGAGGATGTAAGGTAATGTGTATGACACTAGGTTCACAATCCTCATTGACAAAAGAGCCACCCACATCTTCTCAAACAATTAAGTATCCCTACCTCTTAGGTGACTTTATACGTAATATGTTTGGAGACATCTGTATTGCAAAGGAGGAGGAACTATATGCAACACTTTAAGTAGTCATTGAAGGCCGCACCATTAGGACATACCACTAGATCATATTGACATTGATGTTATATTAGGTATACATTGGTTACACACATTAGGATGGCCTAATATGAATTACAACCTCCTCATTTTACGTTTCCATGTGAATGAGGTATGATACATGTTTCACTATGATCTTGTCAAAAGCTACTTGTCTAAGACTACCAACACAACACTAGGATAGAAGTAGAATGTGGATACCTAAGCATTCAGGTTACACTACTCCTTGACACTCTCTAGGGTGACACTGAAATTAGAGGTATATGACACATCTCTTTAGTCCTTGCATCACCTATTTCTAGTCATTTTTGATATGAAAGAGAGGGTAAATATATTGCCCTCAATTCATCCAATTGACCATACTATTATGTTACTTCTAGGCTTGGCACTAATGAATTAGCAACCTTATCAATATTTGTGCTCCTTAACACTCTCTAGGCTTGGCACTAAGAATGAATTGAAGAAACTCATATCATAATAATTAAAAGTGGGTATCATTTGATCCTCCAGTAGTTTTCACTTGTGTCTAGCCCTATTGGTCAAGAAGAATAGTAACTTGTAATGGTTTTGTGCTAATTATAAAGTTCTAAATAAGTTCACCTTGCCAAATTAGTTTCTCATTATTGGTGGTTGATGGACTCTTGGAAGAACTCCACAAGGTATAGATTTTTTCAAAGCTTGACCTTAAGTCAAGTTACCACCAAATTTGTATGAAATAGAAGGATATTCTGAAGATGATGTTCCATACCCACTAAGGCCACTATGAGTATTGAGTGATGCCCTTCTAACTCTCCAATGTCTCAGACACTTTTCAATCATCAATATACTTGATCTTTTGACCACATTTGAGGTATAGTTTCTATATTATTTGATGACATATTGATTTTTAACAAATCAAGGTAAGAATATGTGAGACATCGACAACTAATGTTCCAACTTCTTGTAGAACATAAACTTATGAACACTAAGAAATATCATTTTTTTTAAAGTTAGCTGGAATGCTTGGTCGACTAGAGCTTAGTTAAAGGGGTGGCTATAGATGGAGGAAAGATGAAAGACATCAATGAGTGTCTAATTTCATAGAACCTACACTAGTTTCAAGAATTTTAGGTATAATATCTTACCTATTTTAAATTGGATCTCTCTGGTGTTTTTTTGCCTAAACTTTTATATATACTCATGTTTGTACCAAGTGGCCTTTGAGAAGATCAAGATTTTAGTCACATTCTAATAACATTCAATCCACCTTATTACAATCGAAGGTGGGGATCCATAATAGATAAAAGTGGGGGGTCTCAGTCATAAATTACTTGAAATGAAGACATTCCAATGAATATATGGTGAGCAATGTTGTAGCTCAATTCTACATTGTGCAACTACTTGCTCTATCTTCTGGCTTATCACCTACAAAACATTATATATAATAATATGGTTGACTACCTCTATTTGTTTATTCATTTTCGAGGATAGGTGGAGCTCATCATCTCTTATAAGGAGTGGAGCTCCTTCCAAAACAATAGATAAAAAAAACCCATGTAGAAACACAACCACTTTGGTAAAGCTGACCACCACATTTTTAGTAGATAATAGATGCTTTAATAGTATATAGTAGTTATATTTGCTAAGGTGGTCCACAATCACCATAATTATCATATCCCTTAGACTTAAGTAATTTTTTCATAAAATTCATAGAGATGTCTTCTCATATTTGATTAAAAATCAGTGATAGTTGTAACAATCTCATCTGAGAGAGTGTGGAGTAGAAGTGTAGGCAAATAGAGCATTGGTTGACGTATGGCTTAACATCCTTTTTCATCACTAGTCAAAGAATTATTAAGATAACCTCAAATATGTCTTGTCATAAAACACCACTAAAAGCTTTGGAATGAGGGATGATCTTTTGTAATACTAGTCTATTCTTGTACAACAAGAAGTCGTATAGTGTAGGTTATCATGCATACCCTCCCACAATAGTCATTAGTTCTTGTTCATATGCAAACCAGACACGTGCTGCAGGGGGCAAAGCCTTATTAAAATAAGTCACTAGATGTTCACTTTGTATTATAATCACTTCCACATCAAACCTTAAGGCATCAATCTCTAATATAAAATTATGAAAAAAGTCAATAAGGATCAATACCAGGGAAGTGACGATGGCACACAAGGCTTTCAAATGCCTCTTGTGCGGACTTAGATAAGATCAAAGCATCTTTTTTTAAGAGGTGAATGAGCAATTGAAAAAGTTTTACATAACCTTCAACAAGCCACTTATAATATCTAGTCAATCTCAAGAACCCTTAAAGTTGGTGTAGGTTCTATGGAATTAACCACTCTTTGATGTTTTTGATCTTTTTTCCATCCATTGTCACGCCCTTCAGTTGAGATCTAGTGGCCCAAGTATTTCAATTGACTTTTAAAAAAAAATTATTGGTGTTCACCATCAACTTATATTATACAATCAGTTATAACACCAACCATAGGTCTTTCTTATGCTCTTGCTTCAATTTACTAAAAATCAATCCGTCATCAAAGAACATAAAAGTTATATACATCAAATGTGGCCAAAAGATCAACTTCATAAGTGATTGAAAGGTAATAGGTATTAAAGAGTTAGAATGATATCACCAAGGACTTTTAGTGGCCATATGGGTTTGAAATGTCGCCTTTGGAATATTCTTCTTTCATATGGGATTGGTGGTAACCCAACATGAAACAATCAGTACCTCATGGACTTCTTTTAAGAGTTTGTCAACCAGCAAAGTGAGAAACTAATTTAGAATGGTGAGTTTATTCAAGACTTTATAATTGACACATAATCATCATGAGTTGTCCTTTTTTTTGCCAATAAGATTGAACTTGAGTAATGATTGATGAAAGATTTGATAATGCCCACTTCTAATTAGTGTAATACGAACTTCTCCAACTCATTCTTTTAAAAGTGAGAGTAGTAATAAGGCCATTGATTCATTAGTACTGAGTCTAGAAGTAACATAATAACATAGTCAACTAGATGAACTAAAGGTAATGTAGCTACCTTTTTGAAAGCTACAAAGAATAGGTGTCACAAGGATTGAAGAGATGTATCATGTACCTCTACTTCTAGTGCCATCATAGAGAGTATCAAGGAATAGTGTAGCCAAAATGTCTAGGTATTTACATTCCACTTGTCTTGATGTCATGTTGACAATCCTAGACAAATAACTCGTGATAAGTTCATCGTGAAGTGTGCATCATACCTTATCTAGATGGAAATCCAATATGAAGAGTTTGTAATTGATATTCACCCATCTAAATGTATGTAACTATTATATACTCAATATAACCTCGATGTTGATATGATCCAATGGTAGAAAGTGTTGGACAACAATGTAACCATAAATGACCATTAAAAGTGTTGTGCATAGTTACTCTCCTTTAATGATACAATTGTCTTCGAACATAATGTCTTATGAAGTCACCTAAGAAGTAAGGATACCCAATCACCCGATAAGACTAAAATAGATGTTCTGAGTGGCACCTCTATCAATGAGGGCCATTGGCAAAGACTCCCAAAGTAGACTATAGAGAAATTCTGACCATAGAGAGTGGTTGTCACCTCCTAGATTTTGGCTGTTTTTGGTGGTAATTCATTTCGAATGTCAATGCATCCTCCTTGTTTTCTTGTAGGGAGCTGAATTCTTAAGGGTCAAATTCACAATGTTTAATGGTGATGTTTTAACAAGACCCTTGTAGATGTTCAACCAGCCTAGGTTGTAATAAAACTATGGTCTGATTTGAAGTACCTTAAAGAAGAAAAGAAAAGTGATTTTCAAGATTATGAAGATAAAGTTGGTCACTTGCTAGATAAGGAGCCATTTAGAGAGGAAGGCATTGCATCAATAGGTTCTTGGGACTGAAAGAAGAGGTGGCAATCCCAACTATCTATTCTACCTCAAAACTCTACAAGATGATCACTCACTGAGGTAAACCTACTATTTTAACCTTTTTGGACCACTCTTCCTCCAAAACCATCATGAACACTCTTCGTCATATTCCAAGCTTATGCCAAAGGCAAAGCCTTGCTTTTACTTACGTAGACTCTCACATGTACCAAACATGAACTCAAAATAGAAACTTTCCAGCAAGTTATAAAATCCCACAGTCAACATTGAGAGCAGGGGTGTTAATGGCATTCCAAAGTGTAATCTAAGACTAGGGCATCTTTCATCTGGCCAGAATCCAATCCAGCTCTCCAGAAAAGCTTAGAAATAGAATCCTGATGGACCCCATAGACCCAGGTTTGAACAGGCGCAGGGCATACCCAGCACAAACGCCTTGAATTGGGACTGAAATAAAACGACACACACAGAGAATTTGTTTCCATTTCAAGATCAGAGTTTTCACCGAGAGACCGGATGAGGGACAAGCGACCTTTGTCAAACGATAGCCAGACGTGCATACATGCTGTTCAGAGCACCACCAGGCGACCTCCTCACCGGGTCCATGCAACAGAGTCGATCTCATCCCTGGCGTTCTTGTAAAGCTCGAGCCTCTTAGCACACTGCAGCCTCCGCTCCATGAGAGCAGGATCCTCATCCAGCATTTGGGCGAGCTGCTTTCCCTGGAGAACGAGATTAAAACGAAAAACAAATCCATAAAACCCATTAGACGGGTTTAGCCCATTTAGTTCTAATGTGTAGAAGGGGTACAGCACGAGGGAATGGTGGAGGAAGGCAACTCCTTTTTTCCAACTTGGGTGCAGAAATGAGAGTGGATATGGATTGCTTAGAAAAAAATTCTAAAGCGAATTTCCATTCAAAGCGAAAATAAGATAAACCATTCAGATCTTAGAGGAAAAAAGGTATTAAAGATCATGGTATCCTTGAGGAAGGCACCTCCTTTTTGCCAACTTGAGTGTAGAAGTGATTGAGGAGAGATCGCTTGGCTTCTCTGACTTGGCAGTGGACTACTGCCTTTGGTATGGTGTTCCTCAGCGTTTCAGAGACCATTCCAATATATGACGATACATTTGAGGCGATCCTTCGGAAGTGTCCATCGCTGTATCTATCAGCAGTGGGGATGGAGGGATTCCCACCCTTCTCTACTTCCTGCGGAAGCTTCCTGAAGAATTCAACAGTTAGGTATGATGATTCCATCTCCACTAACCGGAGTGCTGTCTTCCGACCGTCCTCCCGGAATCTCTCTAGGGCATGATATGCAGCAGCTGCCAGCTCAGCTTGGAGGGTTGGAAACCGCCTCAATTCCTGGTTGCCATGAAGACTTCTGCTGTTAATCTAAACAGGTGCTGGATGTCGTTCGTTTCAAACTTAAAAAATAAAGTTCTTGAGCTCACCTGAGTCTCTCCTATCGATATCCTCACCAACTCCTTCAAAACAAAGTGCACCTGCAGTATTTTTCCATTTTTACTTCGTTCAATTCTTGCAGGAAAAGCCATTGGTAGAATACCAGAAAAAGAAAATTTGAAGACTTAAAAGTCACCCACAGCATCAACGGATGCCTCCGCTGGACCTTTGAAATAGTTTAGGGCTCCATCAATCAAGCGCCTGTAACCTTGCTCAGGAGCAATTAGATGGGGCTGATAGCCGTCAGCCTCGGAGACCACTTTCTTCACATTCTGAGGAGCGAGATGCCGGTCGAATGGAAGCTTTTTCAAAGCCACTGGGAGTTGATTGTCAAAAACACCATAAATTCGATCACCGCCAGGGCGCCTACGGTAAAAACAGTCTCGGTTCAGAATAAGGCTGCCACTTAACTCAGTGGGAAAAATAAATTAAAAACTGCAAGATTTAAAGCCTTATTAGAGACCATTTTCCAAGGAATTAGAACACTCCCACGTAGATAAAACAAGCTAATCTAGTACTTCCATAGACAGAATACTTTTACTTGTTGTCAATTGGCTTTGCATTGTACAGTTTGTTATCAAGGGTTCCTGGCTTCTGCGCGTCATCTATGGTGTCCACCTTATCAGGTATGTGAAAATAGCCATACATTGCATATGGCAAGTTAAATAATGAGATTGAATAATGTGAGCCAACTCCACTCACTCTCTGCTAAACCTTTGAGTTGAGTGGCGTAGCTTTTTGAACAAAATAATGACTATTCAACCTCTTCTCCTAACCCATTGTCGGCCTTGAAATGCTGGAATAGTGGCATGGCGGAAGGAATCTCCTTACGAAAATGAAATGACGAAAAATAATTGAAAACTAGCACCGGTAGCAGATTCCTGCATGTGAGGGTATCTCTATGGCACAAGGATACACAGAGCAACCCTTGAGACATGCAGATTGATTGGGACATGTTCAATCTAAGAAAACAGGTTAGAGGCAAAAGACATCAAATCCGAGTGAAAGATAGACTTTCTTCTCAGCACGAATCATCTAGTCAAATATTCAAAAAATACGTTGATGCTGAAAGCCCTAAAACAGCAGAAATGACTAATTATTACCAACTACCTTAGCAGCTTTGACAAAAAAGAAACACGACAGATAGCTCAAACCAAAGATCTCATAAGAACCACCATGAAATATATTTGCTCTTTCCCTACCTTGAAGAACTACCCCTTTTACGTTTCCTTTACCGTAGGGAATATTGCAAACCATTTTATATTTCTTCCACTAAAAATATTGCAATTACTCTTCAGTAATTTACTGAAACTTTTTAGAGGTGTTTATACTACTAGTCATTTCAGCCAGTAATATCTTGATACACATTCAGCGAATATATGGTTTTAAGTGCTATTATTTACACTTTTCAGCAATTTTTTATTTATACTTTAACACCTGAGTCTCAAAGAAACAGTTAATGCTTTAGACAAGACACAGATGTTAATCTTCAGAATAGAAACTTTTTGATAATTAAATTAGTTAAAAGGTTGGTTAATCATCACGAAAATGAGCACCTGCTTCTAGGTAAATACAAGGTTCAAATTGTCGAAATAAAAATTACCTCAGAAGATAAAATATCTAAATGAACAAAAGAAGGCCTTTACCCTCCATCAAGATGTTCTTTGAAGATGCGGTCAAATGCACGACAAAGCTCCAGAATAGAGTACAACTGAGCCTGAAAGCAGGCAGAAGAACAACAATTGAAGTGGACTGTGTAATCCACTTAGAGAGCAGAACTTAAAAGATTCGAAAAAACCTTACCCCTGCATCAAGGGCAATGGGTCTACCGAGTTGGTCCATCTCTGACTCGAGTTCATCAATTGTCTTGTTTATCAGGGAAGTAATACTTGGTATACGTGATCTAATTACATTCTCAAGATGCTGAAAAAATAGTTCGTCAATAAACTTTTATTCCAAAATAAGAGGCATTTCACAGCAATATGAGCATATTACCCTGGAGAGAAGTTTTGCAAGGTATTCAGAACCCATTTTACTAGCCAAATGTCCATAGTCCGAACTGCTGCTAAAATACTCTTTCTCCTTTCGTCTTGCCGATATCATGTCAGCATTCTTATTTATATCTGCTTGAGAGCGATTAACGATTCCGACCCAAGGGTGCTGTAGCCGATAAGCTCTTCCCTCAAGAACCTAAGGAATACATCATAGGTAAAGTAACTATTATCTGGGTATATCTTTGACAAGGAAAATATCAAGAATATAATAGATACGACGTGACAAAGATGAGAAAAAACCATCATCCAAGACACATTTGATGTACTCATATGTTCGGCTACCAAACGAGGTTACTACTTACGTCAAGTGCATTTGTTCCCTTGTCCATCAAATCTAGCTTTGTCAACACACCAAACGTCCTTTCACCTACAATATAGCTCAAATCAAGAAAATTGAAAGCATTTGATAGATGGAGCTGCATAACAAAAGCCAGTCTCAAGGCATACCCGTTGGATCAACTTCTCTGGCAATTTTAATAGCATCAGAGGTTGCAATATCTTGATTTGCAGGAGAAATCGCCAATATGATGCAATTAGGCTGCAGGAGAAACGAGCTAAATGAGAGCACAAACGATAAACCAGAAAGAAATATGAAGAAATGCATACAGCAACAAACGGAAAAAAACAACCCCAAGAGATGAATTTTGGATATACAACAACGAACAAAAGATGAAAAGGAAAATAATATAAGCAGGGAAAACCCTACAGCTCATTTACAATAATAAATAATATTAGATTGCAGGGATTTAATAAACATCAGAAAGCCTCCTATTTTATTTAAACATTTAAAGTCACCAGATCCAAAGCAGGTTCGCAATGCCAATTAGACCTACCATTCTTGTTTAATATTAAAAAAACACTTCTTTTTCTCAGCAATTCTTATATGCTTCAGAGAATTCAGGGAACTAAGATACAATTAAGATGGGCACAGAAAACATTATACATCCTTTGTATTAGTTGTATGTGTTTGAGTAAATAACAATGAAGAATGAAAATCGCTTGACAAGACACAGTTACAGTTGATCTGAGAAAAATGTATGCCAATCATAAATTGCACAGTTTCAACCACATCCAAATAAATGGCAAATGTCTGTTGCGTTTCAAGCAAACTGCCTCTTGTCTTTCCAAGATAGTGTACCATGGGAGAGCTGTAACAGCGTTCTAATATAGTGGAGACTAACAAGCACAAAACTGATTCTTAAGAAGAAACAAACAGCTACCTTATCTACCAATGTCGGATGCAGCTTAACTGATTTCACTTCGGCATAGACATGATTGATGCAAACATCCACATGCTTCTCATCTCTTATTTTTAAACATCTGTTGCCGCCATCTAGCATGTATATGTTAACACTTCATGGATGTGTCTGCCTAAAAAAAATTCTGGATAATGGAGATATAAATGTGAAGTTGGTTCTTAATTAGTTACAGAAGACTTAATACTCCAAATTTAACTACAGATCATGGAGTTTCATGAGGAATGTATATTGGTTGTAAAGGACATGCAAATGAAAATACGTACAGTTATCAAGTTACGAGCAGCAAAGATTGTGTCAACCTGTGGCTCAATATTCTATCAAGATTATAAAGGCTCAAAAAGTCACACAATTCATAGAAACCTACTTCAACATATCAAATGAAAGATTAATCAAAAATCATGATTTACTGGATATAGATTGGTCTCCTCATTACCTTCTCAACATATGATCGAACCATGTTTTCAATGTCTTGAACTATACTGTCGGGCTGCCCCTCTGAAGAAAAAAGTTGCCAATAGAAATCCTAAGAATCTACAGAATCACGGAAATTCCAAATGATAAAAATAAATAACAAGGCATCTTTACCTACAGCAACTTTCGTAAGACCAGGTAAATCAATCAACGTTAAGTTTACAACTGCCAACACATGAAAATTAGTGAGTAATATTGAATAATCTTGTAGAACAAAGGGCATAACTAGAGAGATGGATCAATCCCCAACGTATATTAATAAAAAGTGAAATAAGAGACGTTTCTAAAGGGGATGAAAGAAAGAACTGCAGCGTCATCATTAAACACAAGGACTATATATTTTGAAAGTAATCAGAAAAACCGTATCAGGTGAAGTATTTACAAAGCACTAGACTTTTTCAAGGCAACGTGTAAAAAAACCTTATGAGTTTTGAGATACGAAATTTTCGGCTCTGAAACATAAGACATGGAAGCAAACATATTATGCATAGATCAATCCTTGGAACCTTTAAGCCATTGCTATTTGTGATCAATGAAAGTGAAACAAACATGATAGTACCCTTTTTGGCTCACTTTGATGCATGATGCTAAAATAAAAACGGTGAATTCCTGTAGCAAAGTGCGAGAAATAAATATTTACTTTAAATTTAAGCAAGAGACGATACTCAGAAACGAAAGAACGTTCATCAAGTCTTTATGTACATAGCTAAGTTGTGACTTGTAATTCCTATCTCACCGTCTTGGAAATTTTCATGCCCTCGAGAAGAATATTTTTTAAAATGGCCACAAATATTCTACAAAAAGTGTCAGTATGTCTCTAACAGAAGACACAGGGTAAAGCCGTGCAATAAACAATCCTTGACGGAAAATTCTTCAAATAATGTAAGAGGCCATTTATATACTAAACGCTTGATCTCAAATATCAAAAGGGACTAAGAACAAAAATCAAACCATTTGGGGAGTAAATGCTGAGATGAATAGGAACCGGAGAGATCTGTTTTGTTTTCCCAGTCAGTCTATCAGTTTCGTCTTGAATTTCCTTGCGAACAGCAGCTGTATGGAGCAAAATTAATCAACCTCAAATATGAAGAGAAAAGGTCATCCTGACGAGAGAAATCCACAACATACCAAAATCTGTGTATCGCCTTTTAGGCAGGTGAAGGAACTCCGCGTACTCTGCCTGTCCTTCCTCCGTCTTGTGCAGTTGCAGGACTAGCGGACGTCTTGTTACAATTCCTGCACTTCCGTAACATAAAGAGTGACCACCCCAAAGGCTAAGATCAAAATATACCATACACATCAACTCTAACAGTCGATAAAGAGGCAAGAAGCCATGTTTCCCAACCTGATCCCCGGGGAAGGAAATCCCTTCCGACGATGCTCTCCAGAACTGAGGACTTGCCAGAGCTCTGCCCCGAGATCGCACCAAAATAACACACAACAGAACAGAACCCAAAAATCAGAGGACAAGAAACCAAGGATAGGAATCAAGGGAGAAGGAGAATGCACGCGGACAGAGGCAGGGACAGCGTAGGAGAGAACCCACCTGCCCCCCGACGACGGCAACAGAGGGGAGTGCTTCCCAGAGGGTGGGCAGTGCGCTGCCCTCGCCCCCGCCGTGATCCCCGAGGACGGTACAGGCGCGCTGGATCCTGTTGACGAGGCCGATCAGGCTCTCCATCGTCGTCATCTCCGCCGGTTCCCGGACAACCCTAATCCCCCGGCAGCAGAGGTCGGGCTTGGAACTAAGAAAAACTCAGAAGAGACGGACTATCACGGCTCAGCGAACGAAAAGGAGATGAAGCAGATGCCGCAGCAGCAGCAGCAGCAGCAGCGAGAGTGAGGAAGACCTCGGTCGCGAAGGTCACTGTGGCGGAAGAGGACGAAGGTCACCGTGGCTTCGCTGAAGATGACTGTGTTGGACGAGGTCATCCGCAGTCTTCCACTGAGGGGCGGAAACACGGTGGGTCCCACATTCCCCCTCCCCCTCCCCGCCAATTCGAATCCGCTCCGTTCTCCCTAGGCACACGTGCGCCCTTTGCCCACACGTGTCACTCATAGGGGCGGGGAATATTTGTTTATTTAGCATTCGACCCTCAGAATCAATGCAAATTACCAGAAACCCCTGAAAGATTATGTGCCACACAGGGAATATTGTTTATTCAATTTTACCTCTCAAATAAAGTAATTATGAAAAGCCCTTCTCCTATAAATTCTTTGAAAACTATTAAACACAATTCTTAAAAAATAATTACACTAAAAAATTATGTTCACCACCGATAGAGGCCTGGCGGAATCTTGTTCTCCCATCCCACACGTGCCTGCCATGGGGCGTATTATTTAGTTAGCATTTGCACCTCACAGATTAAAGTAATTATCAAAAGCACTCCTTTTATTTCTTTGAAAATTATTAATCACAACCCTTAAAAAATAGAATTACACTAACAAATTATGTTCACCACGAATAGAGTTATGGCTGACTCTTGTTCTCCCTGACCACACTTGCCACCTATGGGGGTGTAGGGAATATTTGTTTATTTAGCATTTGCACCTCACAAATTAAAGTAGTTTTTAGAAGGCCTCCTCTATTAAATTCTTTGAAAAAGATTAAACTCATGTGCATACGCCCCTTCCGTATTAGTTCCACCAATAGATGGACAACAATCTCTATCCTCTATTCTCCCTTGTTGCACATGTCATGTAGGGGGTAGGGAATCAATCTTCCGTATTACTTACATAAAGAATTTTACATGGTTTGGAGGTTTCAACTAGATGAAAATGATTGACCTAGTCATTGGGTCATTTCTTCTTCTTCTTGTCAATTTCAGTCTATTCATTATCAAGCCATTTCTGCCCATTTTGGTTTGCCAATAAATGGGTTATTTATATACATGATAATTGATTCACAACTGAATTATTTCTCTCTCACACACAAAACCTTATCCTCCCCTTCATTAAATGCAACCACCTTAAAAGGCAAGTTACATTTATAATACTTTTCTTTTTTGCTTGTCTTTTCATGTTCATCTTTCAATACCATGATCTATATAAATCTCCATGACCAAAATCTTCTTTATTATTTTGATATATATCATTTGAAATTATTTACTCAACTGAAGTTTTAAATGATCAATATTCATCATAGTTTAGTAGTACTAACATGTCATCAATATATGGATATAAATAACCATTTGAAAGTATTTTTGTGATACATACAATTATAACAAACACTTTTAGTATAATTATGACTCAATATAAATGTTGAAACCTCTTATACCACTATCTAAAATATTTTTTCAGATCATATAAAAACTTTTAGAATAGGCATATATAGTTTTCTTTATTAGAAACTTCAGAATCTTTCAATTAGTGAATATAGATTTCTTCCTCTAACTCATTATGTAAGAACATTGTCTCAACATTTAATTGGTCTAACTCTAAATCAGCTAAAGCTACAATAACAAATAATACACAAATTTATATATATCTCCTCACATGATAAAATACCTCATTGAAGTCAATGCCTCATCATAATGAGAAACCCTCCACCACCAATCATGTCTTGAATTTAATACCTCCATTAGCCATGATTATTGAGGGACTAATTGTATTTCACTATTCTATAGAAAATTTTCTTGACTTGGATTATTTCTTCTTATACTATATTATTTTTTAAATAATTCACAATTTTCTCTTTTTATTAACTTGATTTCTATTTTATGTTGTCGAATTCTCTCCCACTTAGAGCATCACAAACTCATCAAAGGTCATGTCTCTCTTGATTATAAACTTGTCTAATTGAGGATCAATAAATTACAATTGATATGACTCCATACCCTGCATTTTGTGTATATCTCATGAAAATATATTTCTAAATTCTTAGTTTCATTTTGTCATTTGTGACATGAATGTAGTCAAGACAACCAAATTTTTTGAAATGAAAATAATAAGAAGGGGAACTAGACAAAATTTTTGAAGATTTTTTAACTAATTGTTCGTAGATGAAAATATATTCACTAAGTAATATAATGTTGATAGTTTCAAAGCAATAATCTTTCGATCATACTTTAGATAACATACTTATTACTCATTCTAAAAGTGTTATGTTGATTTATTTTACAATACCATTCTATTGTACTATTTCCACTACTTGGATGTAAAATAATACCTTTATTCCTCCAAGACTCATCAAATTCATTTGAGTAAAATTTTACATTTTTGTTACATTGTTGTTAATATGGTGTCACTTGATTTTTTGCCAATTTGCCATTCACTCAAAATTATTCTGATAATTTTGACACAATCTAATATAAGATTGATATTGTATGTAGTTTTGTTACCAAATATACAATAAATCTAACCAATCAATTTTATATTAATTACAACAAAAACACTTAGATAAACTCACAAAATATAATTCTCTAATGAATAATAACATGACTTAGTCGTTGTATAGTAAATCATGCAAATTTAAAATTTATAAAACTAGAAAATACAAATTTTTGGATATTTAGAAGTATTTATGAACAAATATATTAATTATAATTTAATAAAACTTCCAAAAATAGTGATAATTTTCCAGGTCGATCACAAGGATGTAATATAATATCTGGTGATTATTTAGAATTTTTCTCAAAGAATATTATTTTTTATGAATTTTATACTAGTAAATGAAAAGGAAATATACTTAAAATTCACGAAAAAGGGAAATAAGGGTGCGGACGTCAGGATGACGTCAGTACCTAGCGAATGCAAATCAGACGGAAACAGAGTTCCGCCCAGTGATTCTTACATAAGCGATTATAGACGATTTAATTGAACAAATTAAGATCTATAAAAGTCAGAAGAATCATAATTAAATGAAGTATACTTTTGGTAAATTAAAATCACACAAATTATCACTAAATGAAGCGTAAAGTAGGTTGAAAGTAGGAAAACAAAGTTCCAACGTCGCGGTGGCGATGCGTCGGCAATGCATCAGAATCCTGAGTGTTCGGAAGGATCGTCATATAGTGTCAACGGCTTCGAAGGCTCTCCTTGGACAAGGATGACGTGAGAAATCTCTAGATCTCTTTGCGAAGTCTAGAAATCAATGAAATGGGTTGTCGAATCATCTCCGGCGGCTGTCACCCAACGGAGCGGAAAAACGGCGACTTTGTAGCTCTTCGACGGCTGTCACCCGACAAAGAGAAGCTGGATGGAGGTAGGGCGCGTATCAGGGAGCTTCATCCTCAGGTCTGTGCAGCAAGAGGAGGTTCTTCATTGCATCTAATACGCTCTCAGGAGGTGGCGACTCGTCTTCCAGCGGATCGTTCTCTTTCCGACGACGGCTTGTTTGTCGATCAATCGAAGATGCTTTACTCGATGGATTCACGATCCTTTTATCGTGAATCATTTAGAAATTTTAGTAACAATGCTCTGCGAATCGTGTTGACGAGATTTTCGTTGATGATCCAACGATTCTAGTTGCTTAATCCTTCACCGGCGATCTGCAAGAAAGTCGCAATAATCAGATAAAAAAATATGAGTTTTGGCTCTAGGAGGATTCGAACTCGCGCCGGTTGCCCTGCCCTTTCTGGGGAAGGTGACGCGGGTTTAGTCTCACATCGGTTGTGCACCGAAGTTTCTGGCGAATATAAAGTAATATTACACTCCCGATCAAGTCCCTTTCTCGCGCATGTATAACCACTCCTTGCCCCACAGTCAGTTGGTCACTAGTGACGTGGAAGGAGAGTGGCGCACACGTGCCCCCATCGGTTCAAGCCACTCGAGCCCCTGCTCGCGGCTCCTGCCTGACTGTGCTTCCAACCCACTTGCGGGCCTGGCTGGCTGATGCCCCCCCCCCAATTTTGCTATATTTTTATTTTAATTTCTTTTCTTTCATTTATCTCAAAAGTAAGACTGTAAAAATCGTATAAAATCACATAATTACCCAAAAATTCACATTAATCAATTGAAAACTACTTTTCACACTTTAACACAAATATAAGTCTATTTATCATGAGTTAAGGCTAAAACTATATTATTTACTAATTATTAACTCATGATAATGAAGACTTATCAAATAACAATGCTTAAGTATGTCAAAAGTACCTAAGGACATCATATTCTTTTGTAGTTTTGGAACATGGCATCTTTGCAAAGTTCTAATGACACTATCAAACATCTTCTATTTGAATTATATTAATTACTTTGACATTATCATGTTGTCATAATCAAATGTCACATTGACAAAATCAGTCCCTATGAAGACATGAAAAATGCAATATGTATCAAAAATTCAATTATTCTCTTAAACAATATTTCTTGTGTTAGAAGAAGACTAATCTATAAATTTTTATTTCGATTTTAACTTTGAACAATATTTATTGATATCATTTTTAATTGCATTTCATAATATCATCATTGGGTTGAACTTTGATCTTGACTTTCCCATTTGACCAAACTTTGTTTTCTTAAACAATATGTTTTATTTGATTTTTATCATCAATGTTAATATTGATATTTATGAGATTTATTAAAATGTTTGTGAATTCATTTAGATAATGAACAATGGTCATAACCTCTTCCTAGTTAAATTTGAACCAAAGTTTCACAATAGTATATTCATCTGTAGCCTCTTATAATACATTATCCCTTATGGTTAAAAAAATTGTGATAAGAGCATGCTCTATTTAATTTTATTTCTCTTCCTAATTTTACTTAATTAATAAAGCTTTATTTCCCTCAAGTGTTCCATTTGATTTTTGTTACACTATTAATGATTGTATCTTCACCTATGTTTAATTTTTTTGATTTTTCTACTGAACATGATTATCGATATTGACTTCACTACCATCTAAAAGAAACACAAACCAAGCATAAAATAAAAGTCAAAACATGGCTTTGATACTAATTTATTAGAGTAAAAGGCCATTAACACCGGCAAAATATTACTTTTATGATCTCCACAATGTGAAGTAAGAAAAGAGTAGAATAATCAATTCACAATAAAGTATCAACATAAGGAGTTTTACATGGTTCAAAAGTTGACCTCCTATATTCATGTGTGACAATGAAAATTTCATTAGATGAGAAACATTATATGATGTCTCATTAAGAATCTAAGAAAAAAATTCCTATTTTGGCCGTCAAAGCACTCACTAACCTAACAAGAGCTTTGTCATTTTGAGCCTCTCTTAAGAACTCTTAAATACGATGCATCAAGGTGAGAAGAAGAGCCCTCTATTTATATACACCTTTGAGGATTTCAGATCCCCAATGAGCCATTCATAACGTATATTTAAATATCAAAACTGTAGACCAGTTTTGTAAGAAATGTTCAGCCCAACCGTTAGGCCATTTCTTTTTCCACTCGCATGCTATTGGGCCATTTCTGCCCATTCCGGTTTGCCCATTATGCGCTGTTTCTATAGGTAAAGTATTGGTCCTCCTTCTCATCCCCATCATTAACCGCAGTTGCCTTAGATTATGAGCCACATTTATAACATTAATACCTCACAAATTAAAGCAATTATTATGCTCTCCTGAATTCTTTGAAAATTATTTAACACAATTTTTAAAATTTTAATTACTCATCGTAATTTTCATCTTCCTTTAGTATTATCTCCACTAATAAAGATGCAGACGCCTTCTCTGTCCAAGTGAGACCCCCCTCTTCTCTCTCTTTCTTCCTCTCTTTTCCAGTTCAAAGAGCAAACGAGGAGAGAGAAAGGCCCATGGAGAGGTGACATCTGTCCTTTTCTCTCTAATCTCTCTTCATCCTATATTGCAATATCCTCAAAGGGAGAAGGAGAAATGAGATTGATCGAAGTAATATAGAGAGACTGTGGGAGAATAGAGAGAGAGAGAGAGAGGCCCAACATAGTCCTTTTCTTTACAATTCCCCCTTCGTTCTCTCTCATCATCTTATTTCCACTAAACTTGAGGGAAGAAGAGGCCAACAGCTCCAGGTCATCCCGCAGAAAGGAGAAGAGAGAGAGAGGAATTATTATATGAGGGTAATTTACATTTTTTGCGTAAAGATATAAGTTAAATATAACAAATGAAATGGAATAATTAATGAATAAGAATGTATTAACTTTAAAGACATAAAAATCCAATTATGAAAAAACAAATTCATAATGATTTAGGCGTTTTGGATAAACCTAAACCCAAAATTCCACCAGAAATTAGTTCAGTTTGATTCCCAATAAATATATGATTAAATCCGTAATATAATAAAATATATTTTTTATGAAGAATAAGTATTGAAGTTTATAATAGATTTAAAAATAACAATTTATGGTACTAAACACTTAGAGACTCAAATAAATATATGAAATGGTGGCGAGAAATTTGATCGGAATATTGCTCCACGCGGAGAGTATGCTCACAAATAAATTAAATGGGGGATTATTTAAGCAGAGAAGCTCCTCTTTGTTCGTTCTCCCGCCTCCAGTTCCGAACATCATGTCTTACGGAGTTCTGAAGGCTCGAGCATGCAACGTGTCTCGATTTGATTTGCCTGTGCAACAGTTTGTGAAATACTGCGACAGGAGAACCAAAACCTCCTGTTCTCGTTTCCCTCAGCTTGCAGAAACCCTAAACCCTAAGGTCGGTCAGGTCTCGGGGAAGATGGGGAAGCGGAAGGGAGGGAACAAGGGCGTCGATGCCTCCTCCTTCACCAGGCTGAACATCGACAGCTGTGAACGGACGAGCAAGGACAGCGCTGCCCTCGCGAAAACCAGCCTGGAGGAAGTCGAGGAGGTCGTGGAGGAGAGGACGGAGAGCTCCTTTTCGGACAGCGCGCCGCCCAGTTCCATCATTGGAAGCGACAAGACCAGCGCTGATTACTATTTCGACTCCTACTCGCATTTTGGTGAGATAAGCAGGCTGCCGATATTTTCTTTCTTTTTTTAATCATTCTCGCTGGGAGATTGTGGTTTTATTTCTATCTTGTTTCAATCATGTACACGGCCTTCTTCCATTCGCAGGTCTTGTTAGGTTTGCTTTACTGTTCTTGTATCAGTTTTGGATGGAACTAATCTCGAAGTCGTGACTGGAAGTTTCCGTTCGGGGAGGACAAGAGTTGTGTTTCTGTTGAAGATAGCAATGACTTGCCTCTTTTTTTCTTGGCGTTTCTTCTTCCTCTCTTTTTTCTTCTGAGGCAACCCTTTTGATCTGATTGTCTTTGGCATTTTTGTCCTAGGCGTTTAACCTTGGAATTATCGTGTAGTCATTGGTATTGTTGTTTTCACTAATAAACTTGCGATACCGTTTTGTGTTCGACGCTTGTGTTTTTGGGCTGCTGATTTTTTTTTTTTTATGAAGTAACCTTCTACTTCTTTCCACATTAAGGATTATGTTTGTAAATTATCCCAACGTTCATTATTTAGGCACTTCTGGACTACAGTTCATACTTTGTAGAAAGTCTAATTGGTCTCTCAGTTGAGTGTGTTGGTGAATTTGCTTTTCTGCTAGTTTGATAAATGGGGGGTGTCACGTTTGCTGTGGGTTTTTGAGAAAAATAGAGTATTTTTAGGATTATTTCTTAAGTTTCTAGCGAATGGGTTGTATGATGTTTGGTAGATTACGAAATTTCAGTGCATAACTGGTAGCTATATATTTGAAAAATATACGAATTTATGTTAGAAAATTGCATGCCCTACTTTTTTTCCTTCTCCCCTTTTTTTTGGCCTCCGTCTTCCTTTTTCTTCTTCTTTCCTTGCTTGCGATAATCTGCTTCTCCTTGTCTTTCTCATCATCCACCTTTTATTTTCCTCTTGCTTACTTGTCCCTCCTATGGGAAATGCCAGAAGGCATCCTTTTGAAAGCCCATGCAAGCTGCTGGCAAAACTGGGTTGGTTTGGCTTGAATATGGCTGATGTAGGTGAAACTTACTGATTCCCTGCTATTTTTTAATTTCGATTGGGGATCAAGATTCTTCCCAGTAGGTCGGGCTGGGATGAGTCAATTCCAATATTAATTGGGTTATTTGTGTTGAATTTAATTTTTGTGTGAACCGCGTTCCTTGAGATGCCAGTAGACTCAGCATTGTAGATTTTACTTTTATTTTTTATTTTGTACACAATAATTTCCTTGCAAACTTGCTGCTTCTTTATCGTATTTGATTTTTGTTCACATGAATTTTCATTTTGTTCCTGCTTAATATTTTAACTTTTCTGATGTTTAGTTTCGTTTTTCTTGTCTTTTGCAGGTATCCATGAAGTACGGCCCTCAGGGTGACAAGACATTTAGTTGACTGCAGTCATTAACTGTCTTCTCGAATTTTGATTGTTTGGTTTATTTAGGAAGGCTGATCGGAATCTGTCTTTTTACACAATTCTTTTAGTATTTGATGTTTTCCTGACACTCTGTCGTTTTTTCTGTTTTCATCTTTTAGTATTTATTTGTTCTTAGATAGAAAAAATCCTGTTATGGCTTTTGATTTGCTGTGATTTTTTTATTCCTGCTATCTTTGACTCTTTGTTCTTTTCAATCCGGTTAAATGACTCATTCCCTCTGTCGATAAATGAAACTACAGAAGAATAAAATGATTTTTGTATTTTTTTTCAATCAATGTTTTGTGGGTACTCAAGTGACGAGTTTTATTTGCCGTTTGATTTGAACTATCATCTCAAGTTTGGCATCTACTCTATGACCACTATTGTCTACTGATTCTTCAATTTTTGAAGAGTTGCCTAATCCTCTATTAACCGTGTTTCTTCTATGCACTCTTTTTGCTAGCATGAAAAATTTTATTTGGTGATCTTTGAGGTTTCCTTTGCCATTCGTGCTTTCCAAATTCTAGTATCGATTTGTGAACAACCTATTATGTTAGAGACTCGTTTAAATCATATGTTGGTAATCATCCTGCAGGAAATGCTGAAAGATACTATCAGAACGAAAGCATATCAGAATGCTATTTATCATAACACATTTCTCTTCAAGGACAAGGTAGTTCTTGACGTGGGGGCTGGGACTGGAATCCTTTCCCTATTTTGTGCAAAGGCAGGTGCAAAACATGTCTATGCTGTAAGTTATTATTCTTCTTAAAAAACATTTCAAAGATAATTTCTTCTAACTAACACTTCATCAAATTTTCTTCTCTCTGCTAGTCAACCGGACAAGTTGTCATGATGCTTTAACCTTCTAGGGATTTCGAAATTTTCTGATTAACCGCTCTATTTTCCTTGGTTTGAAAACTATGAGCCAACATTTCCTGTTTGACTTGACGTTGTCAAATCGTTTCTGGGTCACATTATTTTCCATCTTGTCTCTTGTTATGCCATGATTTCTGCAGGGTTTTGGAATGTATTAGTACCCTGAAATTTTGTAGATCGTTTAGTCAATCTCCTGGCCTGTTTGAGGAGGCTTTGTTATAGTCAGTTTCGACTGTTCTTGCCTAGGTTTGAGTAAAAACATGAGTGGCTAATGGATCTATTGTGTCTTTTATCTGCTTTGGGCTTTTTTGATTCCCAATTAACTGATGGTATTTCTAGAATACCCTCTAAAAGACAATGGGTACTTGGTTGTTGACATGCACAGAAGGTTTATATTTTGGTTTTTACATGGTCGTTGTCTTGAAAGCGTGAAACGTGGGAGGTAAATACAAAGCTTGAAGTTGAATGCAGTCTCCAGTATTGTGCACTATCTAAACAAGTATCATATCATAACAGCTGCACCTGCAAACCAGTGCGCTGCTGAACATGTTTCAATGTTAATGATTTGTCTCCCTTTTCTTCAAAATAGTACCATTTGTTATCCTTGATTATGTACGGTTCTATGTACGGTGTTCCACTTCTTTGAAGTTCTCATATCATGCCGTGTTAGTTTTTGCTATTTCTAATGACCCTCGTTAACTCTTTTTCCAAGGACAACCATCGCCATCGTTTTTTTCATTTGATGCATTTCAGCATTTCATCAATATTCATGTTTCCTGTTTTTCTTGTGTGTACACTCTATTTTATAACATGATCTTAGATAAAACTGTTTGTAATTGTTAAAGGAGCGTGATAAATGGAGAAATCCGCATGCATGCATACATACTGATATGCGCAGTCTTTTATGTTACCTAATTCTTGAAAAAGTACCTTTGTATAGCTGGAATGCTCCCAAATGGCTGACATGGCTAAAGAGATTGTAGAAGTGAACGGGTATTCTAATGGTAATCTTTCCGTTCTGGAACTCTAATTTTTTTCTCGTATCACAGATCACATGTGTTTTTTGATCATCATATGTTTTATATTCTGACGCGATCTTTCAAATTTCTAGTCATTACAGTTGTGAAGGGGAAGGTTGAGGAGATTGATTTGCCAGTCAGTCACGTGGACATTATCATTTCCGAGTGGATGGGTTATTTCCTACTATTCGAAAACATGTTGAGCACAGTTTTATGTGCTCGGGATAGATGGCTTGTACGTTAAATTACATTTTTGTTTCGCTTTTCTACTTCTTAGTTCACATCTGTTTCATCATTGCACATTTACTTGGGCTTATTCTTCAAAATGGGATGCGGTTTTTCTTCTGATTCAACCTACTTTGTGGCAGGTTGAGGATGGGATCGTCTTGCCGGACAAGGCTTCTCTGTACTTAACAGCAATTGAAGATGCGGATTATAAAGAAGATAAGATTGAATGTAAGAGTCCATGTGTCCACCTCATATGCAATAAGTTTTACATTTTATATCCTTTAACCACAAAAAATATATCCAAGAAATTATTTTTCAGGTGACAGATTTCTTAAAGCCCTATATACCATTTTTCTATGCCATTATTATTAGTTCTTGTCCACTTCTTACTGTAATTCTACCCTATAGTCTGGAATAACGTATATGGCTTCAACATGAACTGCATCAAGAAACAAGCTATGATGGAGCCCCTTGTTGATACTGTGGACCATAACCAAATAGTCACAAATTGCCAGTTGTTAAAGGTGATGCTCTTTTTTCACACTTTGACCATCCATGTCTTTCAAATTCCTGTTCTTTTCTGACTAAATCTGTGCAATGTAGACGATGGATATATCAAAGATGGCTATTGGAGATGCATCTTTCACTGCCCCATTTAAGCTTGTGGCAGAACGTAACGATTTCATTCATGCTTTTGTGGCATATTTTGATGTTTCATTTACACAGTGCCACAAACCGATGGGCTTCTCAACAGGTTCGATTGCTGCTTCTGATTGTCCTTGCATTAAGTGCTCTCTTCTTTTGATAACCGATTCCTAATGCTTGGGATGCTAGGCAATTCTTTTGCAAGTTACTTTGTAATTGGACTTTTAACATGATATTGATGAAAACGGTGTTATTTGATTCTTTTTTAAGTGTGCTTGAGAAAAAATGGCTGCCCAACTCAGCTACTCTAAATTTGTAGTTCCAGGTGACTCCATTTAGATGTATATTTACTTCTAGATCTAATTAGGCTGTGCTATGTTTTCGTTGAAACATTACTGAGGCGACTAAATTCAATAAATTTGCTTCTAGAATGTCAGACACGATTTATAGACACGGTTGCGTTTTATGGAAACTTCGAATGTTCTTCAAGAGCATTACGAGCTCCTATGCGATAGTCTTTAATTGACCCTATCTTTTTAACTTCCCGCTCCATACTAGAACATTGCATTGACAAGACAATCACCTCGGTCCGAAAGCTGATTCTTTGGGTTCCTCTTTATTTCTCTGTTCAGGGCCAAGATCTAAGGCCACCCATTGGAAACAGACGGTGCTTTACCTTGAGGATGTGCTGACGATTTGTGAGGGGGAGGCACTGGTCGGGAGCATCACTGTGGAGCCCAATAAGAAGAACCCACGTGACATTGAGATCATGCTCAAATACTCCCTTTCTGGTCAGCGGTCTCAGGTCTCCAGGACTCAGTACTACAAAATGCGCTAACCTGTGGCACTTCCTTTTTTTTTTGTCAAGGTCCTCTCTCTCTCTTTTTCCCTCTATCTACGTATGTTCCTCTGGGTACCTGTCAAAATGTAGGGAGTGGAAGCTGAGTATGCTGCCATAAGTTGGGTATTTACCCACATTACTATTCTCATCATTGGTAATTTATTTACACGGAGAGATCTCCCCTCCGAAGACTGGATTTGCTCTCTTCGTCTTGCTTTGATCTTCCGTACTTACCTGTTTGAATTGCTCACTCTGTTTCTTTCCTCAACAGGCGGTATCAATGCTGGGGAGGCAACATTGGGTTTTATTGCTGCCTCTTGGTTGGAAGCCACCTGGGTGTGCATGTATCATTTCCTCATCAAAGCAGAAAAACGGTGGAATTTTGTATTTTTTATAAGTATTTAATTTTTGTAGAATCAGAATCCATTGTGGCCGCTTTGCACGGTTTCTCATTCAGGTGTGATTCACATGATCCACTTGAATATTGATTATGGCTACCCTGAGTATTTACTGGTCTCCTCTTTCTTAGAATTCTGGAGGCTTGTGTCACGCTGGGAGGGGTGTGACAACTTGGCACAGCCAAGTTGGCTGCCGTATTTTAGTTTTTTCTTGCTGTCTGGCCCATTTAATTGGCACATTTAAATACTTGGTTAATTTATTGATGAATTTCTATCATGGATTAAAGTCAGAAAGAATGGTGGTATCTGTAATTTGAATGCTCATCAAAAGTTTTGGCCAAGACATTTTTGGTGATGCTACTGAATTGAAGCATCTAAGAATTTGAGGCAAAATGCATGGTTTCACATGTTCCATTTCTACATAGGGAGCATGTTTCCCTTTTATAATTGCTGTAAATGGTTTGATGATTGGTCATAAATGTCATAAACAGATAAATGTCGAAGTAGATTTTTCATAAAGTTGATAAGCATTTTTTAAAATTATCAAATATTTTGGTTAGCAACGTTATGAAAAATCTACTTCGACATTTATAATAACCATTTTTTAAAATAATTAAATATTTTGGTTAGCAACGTTATTGTTATGAAGTTTTTCAACGAAAAATTGCATTGGAAAATGCTAGATCTTCTCCCCGCACAAGAGAAAGGTTACTCATCTTTTTGTCTTACATGAACCCAAGTACACCATCCATATATCATTAACTTGTAGAGGTGCTTGTTCTTATGATTGGTCTAATCTGTAATTTGTCTTAATTATTATTTCTCTTTGAAGTATTGTGGAAGATTCATGACAATATTTGTTGCTCATTCTTTGTCATGTTAATTTCATTACGAGTATGGAACTCAAGACCTATTAGGGAATTGCAAACTCACTTTTTTGTGCATAATTATTCATGCAAATGACACTATGGTAAAAAAATAATCATCAGCTTGAAATGTTTTGAAGCAATTTCTAATCATTTAGTTTTGATATGATTAACATGGTGATCAGTATTTTACATGTTTCTATCTTTAAGAGGGGGGGGGTTAGATTATGTAGTCTTCAATGGATAGTATTTTCTTTAAACTATTGTTATCTCAATAGTTTTGTGACTTATTCGTACAAATTTTCATGAGTTTTAGATGGTTTATTAAGACTATTTGATTTTAAATTGAACTAAGTTTAACAATAAACGAAAATTTATATCTATTTTATACAAAGCGGATTTAGTAAATACTGGAATCACAGGATTTCCTCCGCAAACAAAAAAAATCGTCTTGTCATTTTGAGGGATGTGAACAATTATTATTTGGTTAAAGTCTCATCATTAGATGTCTTATGAGCAAATAAGGCCTTTATCATCCCATCTAGTCTCAACATGTTACAAAAGAGTGAAACTAAAGTTATCCAAGATAATAATATATGGAAATAAATAATTTGGAAGACAAGTGGTGCTCCAATGTCAAAATATAAAAGACAAGTTAGAACAAAGAGTAGGCAAGTATTCAGTTGTACTACAATGTTGCTTCTACAAGCACCATCTTCTGTAATGTGGAGTAACCATCCAAGGAATTGATGTTGCCATTTTTTTAATATAGTCTATGGCGATGTATGTTCCCTCTTATACAACCCTCTCAGATTTTAATGCAATCAACAAGCTGCTGGGCAGAAACTCTTATCATTTTCCTTGTGTGAATGTGATGAAGTCACTCCACAGCTCCAGCAACAGTCCAAGCCCAGCAACTCCCTTTTAGCATAGTTACTATGCATAAGTATGAAGTAGACGATATTCAATATGTGGATTCATATGATATCTTGTGTTTAGCGTGGCTTCTATTGTTAGACGACAAGCTAGTCTTCTTGAAGGCCTAGACAACTTCACAACTGAACAAGTGAGAGAGAGAGAGAAAAAAGTAAAGCAACTTATTGTAGGATCATTGGTTGACAATAGAGCTAGAAACAAGATCCTTAATTGTAATGACCCAGATCTAAAAGCAAAAATCTGATGAGCTTCTTGTCCTTCTAGGCCCACCTTGAAGGAAGAGAAGCTAATAGGTGTGAAGACCCCCTCACAGCCAACACTTAATCATTTCAGGCCTGATGGACAGATCATGGAAGGTGTGACCCTCCCCTAATGGCATGCCGGCCTTGTCTCAGACATCCTAATGACATGTTGGCCTTGTGTCATCTATAAAAGAAGGCCTTCAAACCTCTTTGGAAGCAATGAGTGGAAGAGTTAGCACTTGAATATTGATCATCTCAAATCAATCATTTGTGCCTTTTTTCTCTTCTCCTATTTTGTTGGAGAGAGGCCTCTTCCTCTAACCATTGACATATTATGTTTCCACCTTTTTCTCTTTTATTTTTTATAATGTGATCTCTTTTACTTAGGAATATAAAGGTTATTCAGTGAGTTCGCATCGATCAATTCTCTTATTACAATTTTGTGAGGCTCATTCGATCATGGACTCCTATCAATTTAGAATCAGAGCTCTTTGAGGGCAGTGAGTGGAAGAGTTAGTCTCAGGAGATTGATGATCTTGAATTGATCATCTATGCCTTTGTTCTCTTCCCCTATTTTTTCAATGAGAGGCCTCTTCATCTAGTCATCAGCACTATGTTCTAAATTTTTTATCCTTTTATTTCATGTCTTATTATTTCTTTTATTGTGGAGTACATAGGTTACTAAGTGAATCTACATCGACTATTTCTTTTATTAGAGTTCAGTGAGTCTCCCCGGATCTTAGGTTCCCATCAATTTAAAAGAGCTCTTTAAGGACAACGAGTAGAAGAGTGAATCTTAAGAGTTTAACCATCTCAAATTCATCATATGTTCTACTATTCTTCAGCCCTATTTGGTAGTCCAAAGACCCCTTCCTCTAGTCCGCAAGACTTTGTTTGCATTTTTCTCCTTTTCTTTCCTATTATATCTTTTACTAAAGAATACGAAAGGGAATTCAATGAGTCTAGATTGATCAATTCTCCAATTACAGTTTGGTGAGTCATTTTCAATTGCAAGTTCCCATCAATTTGGAATCATAACTCTTTAGAGACAACAAGTGGAAGAGTTAGTCACAGGAGGTAAATCATCTCAAATTGATCATTTGTTTCCCTTTTATCCTCCCTTGTTTTTCAGCCACAAGCCCATTCCTCTTAACTTCCACATTTCATTTTAATTTTTTCTCCTTTTATTTATCTCTTTTATTGAGGAATGCAAAGATTATTTAGGGAATCTACATTGATCAATTCCCTCATTATAGTTCCATTATTCTTCTTTAGTCGCAAGTTTCCATCAGTTTTGGAATTAAAGTTCTTTTGGGATAGTTAGTCCTAGGAGATTGACCATCATCAATTGATCATATGTGCTCCTGTTATACTCTCTTATTTGGCTGCATAGGGGCCTCTTCCTCTTGTCCTTAAGTCTCATGTTAGAATGTTGGGGGAATACATCACTAAACCAAGTCATGTAAACCTTCAATTACAGCCCAATTGCAGCCCATCTCAAAGAAATTGACCCTCTCTCTCTCTCTCTCTCTCTCTCTCTCTCTTCATCCCATTGTTAGGTTTGTCTTTTGCCTTCTCTCTCTATTGACTCTCTTATCTCAATCTATTGTTGGTATTATTGGTCAATGCCAACAATCTAACATGCTAGTGCAACTTTTCTATATTAAAAACCAAGGTTTTGAATCAAAATGACTGGAATTAATATGTCATATATTTCTAGGTTTCCATCCATGGATTTTCATGGGCTATGTTAGCAACAAATTTGTAGTCCCAGTTCATCTGAATTTTTCTCTATTTCAGAGGTGTAATCAATAATCACACATGCTTCTTTGGTGGCAGCTTCACTAGTTGGAAAGGTGATGGAAATGGTTCCATTTCTGTGCATATTAATGGGTTGTTATGTTATATATGTTATGTATTCTAAGATGTTTATTGAAGACATGCTCAAAATTCCAATAATAATTTAGAAAATATCAAGTCACCCCCCCTCTCTTGGTTCCTCATGTAAGATCTTCAAAACCAATAGAAGCAAGGTACATAACCACATGTTCATATATGATGAAAAAACTAGGTGGAAAGAGACATTCAAGAACATGTTGGGCAGTGTGGAGATAAAAGAGATTATTGTCACATGCCAAAGGTTGTCCTATTTTCTTCAAATAACTTACGATATTATCGGATATACAGCATGAGTCATAAGACCACACAATCCTTTTTTGCTATTGATGTTGCGTGCCATTTTCACATATCCATGTTCTCCCCAATTAAAGCCCCAAGTATTTTTGATTAACCAATAGTCTTGGCCATTCTCAGAACCATATCCTATAACAACCATGGCATGATTTGTCTTTATCTGACACTTGCCATTGAATATGCCCTGCATAGGAAGAAAATTTTTCACATTTTCCTTTTATCTACATTTACAATGTAGAATATAGTTAACAAAAAAAAGGAATAACACTAGATAAAACATAAACCATTAGAAACTACATTTCAATTTTTTTTATATCTAATAGATACAGGAAGACTTGTTATTTATTTATGAAATTTTATATTGAAAAACATATTTCATCATGTACATTTTAAAATAAGGGCATATGATATTGTTATTTTGAAAACAATTATTCATTTGTGTACCATAGAAGGATCCAATACAATATCAAGCTATCCATTCAAGTCATAAAAAAATATAATTATTATCATAATAATGTAAAATGTAAAATAAAACTCTTTGGAGTCAAAAAAGTGTGCATGCACCTCATTTCATTGCTAGTCAAGTTCCATATTTGATATAATTTACATAAGACAATTTTTTTGTGCAATGACACTAATGAGGACACACTATGTGACTGATTGTTAGCCCATTGAATCCCATAAAGTTTTGAGTTTAATGAATCCTTGCCATGATACTATTATATCACTGAAGACTACATTTCGTCAATTTTACATCTTGATGTTTAAGTTACAACAATCCACGTTAGAAAGGGGGTTCAACTAAATTCTATAATACTGACATTTAATTCTGGATTGTTAGCATCTACTGAAGCACCTTATGATAGACAATGTTATTGGTAGGCCCATCAAATTCAAAAAAGGAATCTTTCACCAATTACCTAGCATTTTTTTTGTTCCAAGGAAAATAGAAAAGACAAAAGGATAGTTCCATACCCTCATTAATAAGATTGTCAAAAGCTTTCACACATTGTTATATATTACATATTTAAAATGACATAAAAAAAGAGACTAAACTCAATTTATCTCCTCTAATAATTCAGGCAATCCATGAAAACAATCCCACATCAATTTGAGAAACCTAATCTTAAGATTTTTTTATGTACTCATGTTCAATCAAAATCTTAATCATTGAATAAATACAATCTAAGAACATCAGATATAAACATAGATGAACGTCATTCTATATAAATACATAAATTTGGTCAAATTATTAGCATGCATTCCTGTCACAGAAGTTAAAACAACACTAACCTTCCTGGTAGTTATGATATTAATACATTTAGACAATATTCTTTGATCAATGGGATACTAATACAATAATAAAAAACGTCTAATGCAACATTTATAGTTGGTAAAAGGGTCTTGCATTCTCATTCATTTCCAGGCGCCCGGAAATTATCTTCCCCTAGAAAGAATCGTATTTTAATACTTGTGTAAACAACAGTTTCGTGAATAAATTCCTATACTCATTGTGTCAAATATACTATGCATCGACAGTTGAATTATTCATCTGGGTTTGTAAAGATCTGTAGTACGCAGTATTTCTTACCCCTTTGTACAATTGAAACTCCCTCGCCTCTGCATCTGTCGAAATCGCGACTGGCTGCCTAGCGACTATCCGTTTTAGTTCCATTTCACCAGCAATCGGGATGATTTGTCTCCACTCATCAATCGAGACGAGTTTAGCCTTAAAGGATATGATAGAGAGAGGAGTTATATTTGAAAGACAAGTGGCGCCCCGATGTAAAAAAAATCGGACAAGTTAGAATTAAGAGTAGGCAAGTATTCAGCTGTATCACTCTGTTGTTTCTGCAGACGCCATCTTTTCCGGTGTAGGGGTAATTTTCCAAGGAATCGACGCCGCCATTCTTTCTAATATAGTCCATGGCTCTTGTCGCCCTCCCTCCATCGCAACCCCGGCACATTTTCACGCAATCAACAAGCTGCTGGGCGGAAACTCTTATCATTTGTCCTGTACGAATGTGATGAAGTCCCTCCACAGCTCCAGCCGCAGCCCAAGCCCAGCAACTCCCTTTTATCACAGTTAGTATGCGTAAGCCTGAAGTAGATGATATTTAATGTGTGGATTTCGTGTGATATCTCGTGTTTTAGCATGGCTACCGTCAGACGGCAAGCCAGTCTTCTTGAAGGCCTAGACAAGTTCACAGCTGCACAAGTGAGAGAGGAAAAGAAAAAGAAAATCAACTTACCGCAGGATCCTTGGTTGACAACAGGGCTGACCGAACCACTCATCCGCCAATCTTTGGAATCGGGTATTTGTTCCAGGTCTCCATCGTTGAGCTCTTCGGCAGCAAGCTCGTCACGCCCAGAAGAAAAGAGTGGGTCCTCGCCCATCCAAGGGACGAGGTACTTGGCTTGGTACTCTTCGTAAGAGAGATCGGCCAACTCATTGAGGCCGAGGGTGTAAGTGTGGTTGTTCTTGGGATGATTGTGTTCGTCAATGAAACGAAGGTTATCTTTGAAGATCTCGTACCTCCTTTCTCTCTCCCCAGGTTCCTCATACGTCCTGTCGACCGTCAATTGCCACTCATCGTACAACCATGAGACCTCTTCCTCACTTCTCAACGCCTTCAGCCCGATTTTAAGACCGTCGTAGTCTTCTATAACAAAAGAGCCCCATGTCAACGAAATAAGAGCCCAGCTAGATAAGAGCGCCACTACAATCTTAAGCCACCAGAGACGCATCTTCTCTTCTGAAAGTATTGGATTCAGGAGGAAAAATGGTAAGGACCTCACAGTATCTGGTGAGCCAATTCAGGGTCCTATCACTTATGGCAATCTTCCTCCATATATATATGTATGGAGAAGAGGGAGATACATAAAGATTTTAATCGTGATAAGGAGAACTGTTAGCCATATATTATTTTGCATTGAACTCACTTTAAATCTTTTTGTTACATAATATAAAGAACATAGCATGGAATTGTCGTTACTTCTTGAAAGCATGGTTTCATATATATATTCATCATTATTACCTGTAACATACATCAAAACTTTATTCATTATTAGTTGAGTCACAGATCGCAATTTATTATCAGTTACATTGCTGAGCATCTTTCATGATTGTTGTGAAAGAAAAATTGGTGAGTATATTCTTGTTTCTAGTTTAAAATTTTCTTTTTCAATAAACTTTCGAAAAATTGTTCTTATGATGAAATGTGATTCTTGGTATGCATGCTTACATCATGCGTCATGTGCGTCATGATACTTCTGAGATAATGGTTTATCATTTGTTTTGAACCGCACTTTGCTATCATCATTAGTGAATCATTGACGACTTGAGCTGGCCCCGGCTAATATTAACATCTCTACCCATTAGTTCAGGCTGGTTCCATGTCCTACCAAAAACATTAGCATCTCTACCCATTATATTAATTAGAATTTTTAAATGGAATTTGATAAAATGTGGTCACATGAGTTCCAAATGCTTATAATATCGCAAGGGTGCTTGGCAAAACTGGCAATTCGATCCACATTCTTTCACCTATGAAAAAAGTAAAAATACCACTCTTGAGTAGATTTTCAGAAATACATGCCCCAAAATATAGACTACATGAATCATTAAAGAAACCATATTACAGGTGACGAACACCATCGCTTTGCATATTTTTAGCATCAATCAGGTTAGTTCTATTAAAATATCAGCCAACCATCACTTTGCATATTTTTAGCATCAATCAGATTAGTTCTCACAAAATATCAGCCAACAGATTGTCTTTTTCCATAGAGAGGATTCAAGTGCTATCTATTCTTAAGCAAATCATCAAAGAACATGAGGAACAAGAAATTGTAACGGACACAGGTGCCAGATCAGAGACATCCTGCCCCTCCAACACCCTGTTACCATCCAGCAGAAATCCCATCTCCTCCAACTCATCCAAAGTAATTGAGAAATTGTCCCCACACCTACAAGGGAAAATGAGCTCCACAGCGTCTCCACAATCACTCACACTCATATCCTTCAACTCAATTTCATCTGCATACACTGATGGGCCAGATTTCAAGCCCTTCAAGTGCCTGTCATAAGCTGCTCTCAACTCTGCATCACTGAGAACTTCCCAGGCCTTATGGATCTTCAGAAATCTCTCTTGTACCACCTGGTGATCCCCAATTGCCTGTTTGGAGCTGAGCTTGTCTGGGTGTGAGCGAAGGACGGCCGCCTTGTAATGTGCTCGGATTTCCTCATAGCTTGCGGTTTCTTCAACACAAAGCACATCGTAGTAGGTTTCTTGCGCACGCTCCTCAGCAGGGTGTAGCATACTTTGATCTTCACTCTCAATCTATCATTTACAGCAACAATAGAAATAGGGGAGAATGCACAGTTCTTCAGATGACAGTTAATGTCCAAGTAAAAGAGAATTGGATTATGAAATTAGTTTAACTGGGTGGATATTCAGTTGGCAAGTGCAAGATCTAACTGAAACTGAATTCTTCATAAATCCAAGAGCAAGAAGAAAATAGAAAGATGACGACAGCAGAAACCTAACCCATGTTATATGCAATTTGACGAACAGATGCTCAGTGATATCAGCGATCCTTTGCCCGACGACAGAAAAAACCTCAATGAATAGTTCTCAGGATTAGGATTTTCAAAGAAATATAGATAGGCGTGCGATGGCAGCGACGGCTCGAGACGGCGTTGAAGGCACGAACCGAGCCCTAAGTGTCCCTGGGGGGGGGGGCAGTGGGGCGCGGTTCGATGGAAGTGGATGATGACCGGTGGACGGCGGACGATGGATGATGATCGGCGGCGGCGACGGAGAAGAGTGATCGACGGCAACGGAAAGTCGACGGGGGCGACGGACGGCGGAAGGCGGCAGCGGGTGGAGAACGGCGACGGCGACGGCGATGGCGGACTGTGGAAAGTGGCGGCAGTAACTGGTGCCCGGACAGCGGTCGATGGCGGCGGACGGACTCTCCCTCACGCAGCGATGCTGGATGAACCCATGAAATAAAATTGATTCTTCTTTCTCTGTCTCTTGGGTTACAGGAGGTGATTTATAACCCCCTGGATACTAAAAGAAATAAATATTTGATGATAACGAGATCACTTCCGAATGGGCCTGGGCCGAAGCGTTGATGAAGTGGGTATGGCCCGTTTCTTCGATCCCCTTCACCGTCTCTCTCTCTCTCTCTCCCTCTCTCTCTCTCTCTCTGTATTGTTGACAGTACAAGTCCACAGCTTCCAAAATGTCGGATCAAGTCGTATCAAATGAAGCCATATGAGAGTATTTCACATAGATGGAACACGTTTTTCCTTTGGTCGTTGGGCATGTTAGATGTGACGAGTTAAATGGTGGAGACAGCCGTTGTCGAATGGGGATGGACATTTCTCACTCTTGTTCACATTCTTTTCCAAGAATGTGTGAGATCTGATAGGAGCGCTAACAACTCTCAAAACCAACCAGTACATCCCTTACGGCGACGAGGGTAGTCTTGTGGGTCCTGATAGAAAAACTCGAGAGTCTAAGCTTGTTTTCTCTTCCTTGTTTCTTCCCATTAATGGAAAATACTGGGCCTCAAATGGGCACTTTGGGTTCCGGCACTTATTAAATTAAAATAAAATTATTTTGCGCCAATTTCTCAAAATATGTGGAGTAATTATGGTAACATAATTTTAGCCACTAGTCACATGGCAGTGCTTTAGAATAATAATGTTTATGTCACTGATCGACATTAGAGTTCAAGAGGGCTAATAGAACAAGATATTCTTCATATTAGGCTTAATCATGCTATATTGCTTGAGTATTATTTTCATGTCGATGTAATCCACTATGCTTAGTTCTTTGAGGACAAATAAGACTAGTCCGTGGGGAGCCACAAGCACTAGGTCGAGCTTTTAGTTTGGTACTCATTGCACCTTCTCATTATATGAAACACTGAGGATGAGTTTTTCTAAAAGGATTTATAATCATAGTTATCCATTTTCACAAACTTTAAAGATACCAAAACTCTAGCATAAAGAGGATTTAGCAATGCCATAAAACTTTTTATCCGAAAGCCAAAAGTCAAAAAAAAAAGTAAAACCAACTTTTTTCTGCTGGAGGTGCAAATGCATATAAACAAAGTAGCCTCAAGATAATGATTTTTATCTATATAAAAACAAAAAAATTTGAGAATGTTATTGACTTTATTGGATACAAAAGTGAGAATGTATTGATTGGATAAGGGGTACATTTTTATGGACTGATCGATAAACCTTGTATAATGAGACATGCATGACTGGATGCTTTTTCTCCCGAAAATCAGCAAATGAATGACCCAAAAAAAACTTGCAGTTACTATTCCAAGACCTATATGAACTGAACAATATGCATCAACAAATGAATTATTTCATAAAGTAGCTCGTTTCCCATGTTTCTCCATGATAGATTTTTCTCTTTCAAAGCGACCAATAATATAGGTTTATCATATGGTTTTTATCTAATTCTACCTTCGTTGCGATCATTTTTGTCATCCTGTGCTGAGATCCTGACCCTCATCTGTTTGTTCAACGTTTGACAATTAATCTGTGAACAGAGATTCGTAGAGGAGCTGTGGGTACGTGTACACGTTATTTTGCAAGATATTGCCTAGAAAAAGTTGCACTCAAATTCCGATTTTTAATCTGGCTATCTAGATTACATAGCTCGCTGTCAGTCACCTTGAATCAGCTAAATAAACTGAGGCTCCTTGGTGATCTTCAATAGGTAATGAAATTAATTAGTTGCAACCTCGAAGGGTATGGAGAATCAATGCAAAACTTTATGGTTACAAAATTATAATTTTTTTTCTCTGGCATTAGGATAAGCACGTCGTCCAACATTCAAATCAGGTCTTAAATCCTCATACTATCTCTTTCGATCAGATAGGGGCCTCTTGAGTCAGAGTGTGGGCTTCACTCACGGTTAAATACAGCTCGTTCAGGCTGACCAAGTTCTCCGTCACATTGAAAGTGTCATTAAAAATGTGTCACGTCGACCAAAAGTCAAAAATGGATTCCAATATTGTTTCATCTCTCGTTAGAAAGACGAGTACAATCGCCGGTGAGAGGCCCATCTTCAGATAAAGAGAGCAGAAAGTCAACGTTTTCTAGATCCAATGGACTAGAAAATCGAGTAGAGACAAAGAAAGTTTGGGGAGGAAAAATGACAGAGAATTTCAGCATGAGTTCATTGAGACATTCTTGTCATTTTATACTTGCAGCCCTCTTCGCTGGTATCTTGCTCTTCGATGTTGTGTCTTTTACTGCCGCAGTGCAACCACACAAAGGTGCCGATCCACAGCACCAAAACCGCAAGACGAGGCCGCCCCCGCAGACGTCTCGCCACAGACCTATTGTCTATTATAAGCCCCCGACGCCCACGAGGCCCCCTCGCCACAAACCTCCCATCTATTCCCACTTCCCGCTTGCCCCGCCTCCCCTACTGCCACTACCACCATCTCCTCCTCTTCCTCAACGCCGCGGTCGCCGTAGATCCGACCGTCCTTATCCATCCCCTCTCAAATGGTGACATGGTTTATGTCAATCCATCTTTCTCTGCTATCACAGGACTATCCCTCGGTAAACTCCCCTTTTAAAACTGTAGATGAATCGCAGTCTGGAGTAGTCTGGGTGAGTTAAGGAAGAGTTTCAGCTTCACAATGTGTAGCTGTCTCTGTTGTAATAAACTCCTTCCAATGGCTTATCATTTCACATACACCTTCGTTTTGCTATTATACAGCCTCTTTTTCAGAATTTGACCTTATGTGTTGTAACTTTTGGGTCGCAATGTCCATACATGTTCTAAAGGATTTGTTATGTTTTATGCCTTTGATGAAATCTAGCCGTAGATGATGAAATACTCTAAATAAAGAATAAGAAGAGATCCATCCCTTTTTCCATGAAACTCTAAACTTATTTCGGAAATTTTTATGCTTTCTATGGACATGGTAACATTTGACATACTACTCTTTATAAAAAAAATTATAAATAATTGACACAAAAAATAACTTATTTTTTATCACCTTAGTGATGCTTAAAAGTTAACATGAAATTAGATCTTTTTAGATAAACTGATTTGTGATCTTCATGAAACTTTGGAACCCTTCAACTTTGCACTCCTTGCTTTCAAATATATTATTCCATCTATTTGTGCCTTTTAGTTTCAACTTTTAATAATCTAGTAGCAAAGTGAGGCTAGGTCACATCTCCTCAGCCACTAGGAAGGATGGTACCCAAATCACAAGACTAAAGGGTTGAACACCCTAGAGAAGGAGACGATGGAGATGAATAGAATGACTACATAAGGCCAAAATAGGACTACATACTAAGATAGTCCAAATCATCCACACCCTAGATGAGCTACATAAGGCAGGCTAGTTAGTACTGGGAAGATAATTATCACACAAAAAGATGAAGTGGAAGGAGATTTGAGCTAGAGGAGGGAGACATCATTAGGCAATTACATTCAGCCATCCTAATAAGTGGAGAGTAGAAGAAGGTGGGATAAACCCTAAAGGGGAAGTAGACATTTGGAGTTAATAACCTTTTATGAAAGCAACCAAAAAGGTTGGATCTATTGGGATTAATTATTTTTCTCAATGCATCCGATGGTTGAAGTAGAAAATCTAATGGCAATGGATATGAGCTTCAAAAATGAAGGTAAAGAGTTATGGACCTGAAATAGTTTTTTTTATTTTAATACCTAAAATATCCCTTAGTTATAACATCAATATACTATGATGATGTCACTTTATAAGAGTATTAGAGTACTTATTTTGATCTTTCTCATGTAGGTAGGCGATCAACTCGGGTTCGAATCCTACAAGAACTAAAACCTATATTTTTATCTAATTAAATCATGACTTTCTTGTAAATCACCGGTGAAGGATTAAGTCGTCAAAATTGCTCGATCATTGACGAAAATCTCATCGACGCGATTCACAGAATATTCTTACTAAAATTGTTGAACGATTCACAGTAAAAAGATTACAAATTTGTTGAGAAAAGTATCTCCGATTGATCGACAAACAAGCCATCGTCAATAAGAGGAAGATTCATTGAGAGATGAGTCGCTACCTTTAGAGAGCGTACCAGATGTGATGAAAAGCCTCCTCTTGCTGCGTGGATCTGAGGATGAAGCTCCCTAACATACGCTCCACTTCCATCTAATTTCTCTCCGTCGGGTGACAGCTACTAGAGAACCGCAAAGTTATCATTTTTCTACTCTACTAGATTAATAGCCGCCGAAGATGATTTGACGACTCATTTCATTGACCTCTAGACTTCACAAGAAGATCTAGAGATTACCCACACATCTTTGTCCAGGGAGAGCCTTCGAGGCTATGGACACTACATGACAATCCTCTTGAATACTTAAAATTTTGGTACATCACCGACATGCCACCGCTGCGACATCGGAACTTTATTTTCTTACTTTCAACTTAATTTTCATTTTATTTAATGATAATTTATGTGATTTAAATTTACCAAACTATTCTTCATTCAATGACGATTCTTTTAATTTTTACAAATCTTAATTTGATCAATTAAGTTATCTGTAATCACTGACATCTACACCTTTATTTCTTTTTTTTCTGAATTTTAAATATATTTTATTTTATTTTCTTAATATAAAATTCATAAAAAATTATATTCTTCGAGAAAAAATCTGAAAAATTACCTAATATTATAGTACATATTTGTGATTGACTTATTAGAACTTTATTGAATTATAATTGATATATTTATTTAGAAATACTTTTAAATATCTAAAAATTAATATTTTCTAGTTTTATAAATTTTAAATTTGCGTGATTTACTATACAATGACTAAGTCACGTCATTAGGTCTTCTAGAAGAGATGTTAGAAAACACATTCATCAAAGGCTTAAAATATGAGATCAAAATAGAGGTTAAGCTCCATATTCCCCATGGCCTAAAGGCTATTATGTAAGTAATTCAACTAGTGGAAGATATGAACAATACTCTATGATCATTTAGAGTGTATCAAGGACAACAACTTCATAAGACTATCTTATATGATAACACTAACACAAGTATAAATAAATATAATGATGCAACAATAATGTGGAAGATAAACAAGATATGGGGCTTGAATTCACAAAGTTCTAATCTTGGGAAAGAAACCAACCTCTCAATTCATATATTTGGAGTCTTCAACTCTTAAATCTACAAGCAAAAATAAAAAGTTCCCACAATAGAGAAAATTAATTCAACTCAAAAGGTGAAGACCTCATGTTATAGTGTGGGCCTATATGTAAACCTAGAAAAGAGGTGGGGCACTCTCAAAAGGAAGATCCTAAACAAATCTTGGGGACAATCTAACTAACCTTGAAATGACTCAAAATAAACTCTAACATATTGAGATCTTAGAAATTTTTTTTGAACAGACTATGACTATCTCTGAAATGACCTGAAATAGACTAACAAGTAGAGATTGTGAAGAAATCTTAGGTATAGACTCTAATAATCAGAGATCCTAAATAGATTTTAAGTATAGACTCTGACTAGTATTAAAGCCCCATCTAGAAGGAAAAAGATATAAAGTACCTTCTAGAAGTGAAAGTATATAAAGTATCTCTAGAAGTAAAAGAACATAAAGTAGGGAATGAAATTGTACTTTTTAAACCTCTAGTGCACTGGTGACATATGTGGGCCTCTTTTTCACCATCTCTTCACTTTAGGCCAAAATTTACGATTATTGAGCCTAAATTCGAAGTTGAGACTTCAGCTTGTGTCTTAGGCTACATCAATCTCTCTTGTTTTAAGAAAACTCATCATTGATTCTTTATTTGAATTTTCATAATATTTGTATATCTCACTAACATTGAGTGTGGGTAAAATAGTCATATTTGGTGGGAGCTTGATGAGTTATGTATTATTATTGATCTTTTATAGAACTTGATAGGGTCCATAATTCTTTACCTTTAAGTTGTTGTAGATACTTGTTGAGAAGCGTTCTTTGTGAAGTTACACCATAATTTTGTCTCCAACTTCAATTTTTTTTTTATCTATTATTACTTTATATTTTTTATAATTTATTGTGAAGTTGTGTATCATACCTTCATGTAGTGTTTTGATATGATCTATCATATTATTTATAGTTATATTAATTCTAACTAGCCTTGGTACTTGTAATAGATATAATAAAATTTTTGGAGGAAAATAATATACTACTAAAAATAAAGATTGATTAGTCAAATGATTAATCATTAAATTATAAGCAAACTCTATCTGAGTCAAAGCACAATTATATTTTTTTGACTTTTCTCCTAGAATACAATGAAACAAATTACCAAGAGTTCTTTTCACAACTTCAGTTTGGGCATTAGTGTGTGGGAGACTAGTATTATTGATTTTTAAAAATATGTCAAATCTTTTTCAAATAGTTTAGTAGAAGTGAGATATAAATTTAGAATTTCTATCAAATGTAGTTGACTTAGGAATTCTATGTAGACAAATAATTTGTTTAAAAAGTTAATCAAATATAAATTTAGAATTTCTATTAGATGTAACTTGTTTAGAATTCTATCGTATATAAATTAATTTGCATCATTTATCTTTTCACATACAATCGAATGTGTAATTTTTGAAAATCTATTAACCATCATATAAATTGAGTCACCCCCTCTTTGTGTTCGTGATAGACTTAATATAAAGTCTACAGAAATATCAGCCCATGAACATTGTATAGAATCGGCAATGAAGTGTATAATCTAGTATTTTGACTCTATATTTTATAGATTTGACAAACTTGACATTTACAAAGAAAAGTTTCTACATATATTTTTAGTTTGGGCCAATAATACCACTCTTCAATTGATTGCAAGGTCTTGTCTCAACCAAAGAAGTGTTATGCTAAGCTAAAAGAGTCATATTCGCATAGTAGTTTTTCTTTTATAGAGTTGTGAGAAATACATAACTATGTTCCTTGAAATAAGAAATCATCTTGTAGATAAAAACCTTAAGATGATATTCTAGATGTGTAAGTCATATATTGTTAAGAAAAATTATCATCTTTTGGGTATAATTCCTTGAGATAGTCAAAGATAAGAATCTCAACATGCAAGTTCATCAAGCATGCTATTTTTCTACAAAGAGCATATGCAACTCGATTTGGTTTTCCTAACTTGTGTTTAATAATAAAAGTAAAACATTGAATGAAAAGAATCCATCTGATATATATTATATTGATAAAATTCTGACTATTGACTGATTTGAGAGCTTGATGATCAATATATAAAATAGTGTTCTCATGTTTGTAAAACACAGACCACATCATAAAGTTCTAGTTGATATGCTGTCTATTATTTTCCTGCATGATAAAGCTTTTCACTAAAAAATACTATTAGTCGACTTTCTTGCGATACACTTCTAACATCAACTATAGATGCATCACATTCTGCTACTAATTTGCATCACTACTAATTTCTCTTTATCATGGTAAAATTATTACTAGCTTCATCAGTCTATTTGAAATTATTCTTTTTTACACATATAGTAACTAATAATTACAAATTAGTAGTTGCATCTATGCATTAATATCTTATATATAGATACTAATTAATAGGTAGAGAATGTAATTATACGTGTTACCAACTCATTATGTCATTCATAATATTTTCTCATTTAAGTCTTAATACATATTATTTTATTTATTTTATTTCTATTATGAGACTAACCCTACTTGACTTTTATCAAATTAAGTAATAATTTTCTCACATTTTCTTGATAATTATTTGATTGTAATGACTTATGTGAGCTCTTATTATGAGTTAAAAGTAAAGGAAGAAGTCCAACCTTAACATATTTATTGGGCTAAGAGAGGGCATCATCTTGACTTAGTATATTTGGACTTAAAAAGACTATCAAGAGATGAGATCTAGGCCGCCCAATTTAGGGTGTCTTAAGATGAGATTAAGAGAAGGATTAGAGTACCACCCCTCATGAAATGATCTGGGCTATCTAGTAAGAGAGATAGTTATTAATCATAACTGTTCATTAGAGGAGACTAATTCTCGAGAGAATTAAGACATCTCACCCCTTTTTTGGAGGGCGCTTTTTGACTCTCTCTCTAGTAGTGGCTAGCCAAAGGAAATAAGAGGAAAATCAAGGCATAATCAAAGGCATTCTCGTGTCTAAGATCATCTTGGAGTAGAGATTACTTAGAGTACATCAAGATCGTCTCGGATCAAGCATCACTAGGACTAGGATTGATGCACAATGAGGTTTGTGTAAGATCTAGATTTGAAGCATCCTTGTAATTCTCTTCATAGATAGACTAAATTTTAGTTGAACTATTTTACCATTTATTCTATCATTCTATTGCATTAGATCTATTTTCTCCCCTTTGTCACACTTTTTTTTTCTCTCATCTTTACCTTTGTTAGATTAATTCCGTCCTTCATGATCTTAAGTATATATATATATATATATATAAGAAATAAAATAAGTAAAATTCATACTCTCATTGCCCATGCTCCCTAAGAATCAACCATTACTTATCCAAAATAGAAGAGTGAGGTTTTATAAATCTTATTTACATGAACTTGGTTGCATCATGATGACTTATTTAATGTTTAATTCGAGTTCATTAGTAACTTGATGAATTGTTGTTGGTGTTAGCCAATCTCTAATAGCTCTAACCATTTCTTCATTTACTTTGATCCCATTAGCACTTACAATGTATTTCAAAAATAACAAATTAGTAATCACAAAGTCACATTTCTTCTAGTTAATGCATGATTGATTTTATTGTAACACTTTAAACACTGATATGAGATGTTTAATGTGTTCTTCTTCTGCAGTATTATAAATAAAAATGTCATCAAAATAAACAAAAAAAGTTATCAATTAAAGGTTTCAGAACTTGATTCATCACTCTCATAAATTTATTGAGAGCGTTGGATAAGCCAAAAGGCATGACTAACTATTCATAAAGACTTGTATTAATTTTACAAGTAGTCTTCCACTCATCTCTTGGTCGAATTTAAATCTGATGGTATCTGCTCTTTAAATCAACCTTTGAGAAACTTTTAGAACCAAAAAGTATATCAACATGTCATCTATGTGTGAAATTAAAAATCTATACTTAACTACTATCTTGTTGATAGCTTTGTTGTCGATACACATCTACCAACTTCCATCTCTCTTTAAAACAAATAGAGTAGGCACAAAGTATGGGCTCAAACTTTTTCTTATCAATACTTTACTCAATAGTTATTTGACTTATTATTGAAGAATTGTTTTTTCTTTTGAAGTCATACTATAATGTAGAAGGTTAGGCACGTTAGTTCTTACCATAAGATCAATATGATGTTGTACATCTCACACTGGTGGAAAATGAGTAGATACTTCTTCAATTATAAAAAATTCAAATAATAGACTTTCAACAACTCTTGGGTATCACATCAGCTATTTTAGCATTTGAATCAAGTCTTTAAATAATCACAAATAATTTGGCATTAATATCAAACTTATTAAATAACTCTTTCTAATTTATGAACATTATTTTTTTTCTTTTTTATTTCTTTTATTTGCTAAAATCACTATCTTTGGTTAGATCTACAAAAAAAGTTATCATTTCTACAAAAAGTATAAATATTTTCCTTACCATAGTGTGTAGCATCAACATTAAATTGTCATGTTCTGCCTAATGCCATATGACAAAATTCATCTCTATGATGTCACATTGCACTTCTTCAGAATAAGTCTTACTAATTAAAAATCTAACTAAATAGATCTTAGAAACTCGAATTTATGTTTCTTTCTTGATCCGACTAATTCATTAAAGATGAAAATGTTAGCTTGTCTATAAAACTAATTTTTTAACCATAGCAGATGAGACAATATTCTCAATACTACCACTATCAATAATTATATCGCTTACCTTAGAATTGACAATGCATCTTGTTCTAAAAATGTTATGAAACAATAGATCATCGTCTTCTTCTTTTGGTGAATATATAAATCTTCTTACTACAAGTGAGTATGAGAACGCCTCTCTAGTATCAAATTTAATAAAATTTTCTTCTATCTAACCTCTAATTTCTAGCTCTTCATGTTCTACTTACTCTTCGATAGAATCTATAAAGTTTATCGTGTCACATTTTAGATAGATATTTGATTTTTGTATATTTTCTTCATATTTGTAACATTTATGAATAACATTAAAAGTATAAAGATTTATGTTAATAGAGATTTGGGCAGAAGGATTTGTTTCACTTGATCTGATAAAACTTTGATTCAATCGTCTATTTTGCAATGTAGAAGAAACAACTACTTTTATCTTCCTCTATTTTGATTGAAGAGTTGAATCGTGACTTCTAAATTTCGAACTCTATTTTTTCCTTTTTCTAATAAGACTTCACTACGCTTTGCATTATTACAATGTCAAGTTTGAAAAATGACTATAAAGTCATTTTGTCTTTGATTTCACATCTAAGACCACCTTTAAATCTTGAAATCATATATGACTCTAATTTTGTCAAGTTAATTTGAGAAGATAAACAATAAAATTCTTCAACATAAATGTAAACAAATATATTTCTAAAATTTACAATTTTGATATTGTTGATATAAAATTTGTTCATAATATAGGAGAAGAAAATGAGATTTCAAGAGTTTATTCATTTTCTCCTATGATTGTAAAGATTTTTTATATGACCCTGTATGTGTGGTCTATAATTGATCCCACCAAGTAGAGGCTCCAACCTTTAATTTATAAGTCAATAGTTTTAATTATTTTTCATCATAAATTTTTATGTATTCAAAATATTATTCTACTTCAAATAACCAATCTAAGAAATTTCAAGAACTATCTTCTTCAAACCTTGATTTAGAATAGACAAAACTAAAAGTAAAGTGAGTATCTAATAAAGGTTCGACATGAGTGACTTTTTGAGGATGTCTGATTTCATGATCTGCAAGAGGGCGTGAATAACTCTCGATGTACTCATTTTTGTCAAAAGTTATTTCAAAATTTTACTAATATTGTTAAAAAAATTATATATTTAGTGTTGTATTGCAATAAAACTTAATTTAGAGAAAGGACATACTTTAGGAGAATCATCATCATTGTGACATCTTTGAACTTTAATTTGGAATGTTGACTTGCTCTGATAACAACTTACGTAGTAATAACACAGAAGACAAATAAGATATGAGGCTTGAATCCACAAAGTTCTAATCTTGAGGAAGAAACTAACCTCTAAATCCACATATTGTCTTTCAATCATTGAATCCACAAGCAAAAAAGAAAAGTTCTTCTCATAGTGGAGAAAACTAAATCAACTCAAAAGGTGTGAACCTTAGGTTACAATAGGGGCTTTAATATAGGCTAGAAAGGAGGTGGGGTGCTCCCAAAAAGAGTGTCTTGAATAAATCTTGGGGACAAACTCTGACTAACCTTGAAATGACTCAAAATAAAGTCTTAGATTGATCCTCTAGACATACTTTGACTAACTTTGAAATGACCTATAACATAGTTTAATTGGTAAAGATCCTAAACAAATCTTAGGTATAGACTCTAACAGTCAAAGATTCTAAACAGATCTTAGGTACAGACTTTGAATAGTATTAAAGCCCTTTCTAGAAGAAAGAGGCATAAAGTGCCTTCTAGAAATTAAAAGACAGATAATATCTCATAGAAGTGAAAGGACATAAAATAGCAAAGAAAATAATACTTCTTATACTTCTAGCCCACTTGTGACATATGTGGGCCCCTTTTTCACCACTCTTCACTTTAGGCCCAAATTTATGATAATTAAGCCTAAATTTGAAGTTGAGACTTCAACTTGTGTCTTAGGCTACGTTAGATAATAAGAGTCATGAAACTAGATAATAAGAGGGAGCACACAAAGATATTAGGAGGGAGCTGATAAAATTATGAAAAAGTCGTGAAGTATCGTTACTAAAATTATTAAATAATTTACAATAAATGGATCGTGAATCTATCGAGTAAATGATCTTTGATTGATCGACGAAGAAGTTGTTATCAAGATGAGGACGATCTGCTAAGAGATGAGTTGTCACCTCCTAAGAACATATCAACTGTGATGAAAAGCCTCTTCTCACTACATGGACCTAAGGATGAAGCTCCTCTCTATCGGGTGACAACCATTGGAGAGCCGCAAAGTCATTTTTCTATCTTCTAGGTGACATCGTCGAAGAAGGTTCAACAACCCATTTCATTGATCTCTAGACCTCGTAAAAAAATCTAGAGATTATTTACATCATCCTTGTTCCAAGAGAGCCTTTCAGGACATGGATGTTGCACAATAATCCTCTCAAATGCTCAGAATTCTAATGCATCGTTGACGAATTATTGCCACAATGTCGAAACTTTATTTTACTATTTTTTTAGCTAGTTTAACTTCCATCATCATTTTTCTAGACTTCGAAAGAAGATCTAGTGAATGTCTAAGTCATCCATACCTAATGAGAGCTTTTGAGGCCATGAACATTGTTCGATGATCCTTCCAAACATACAAAATTTTGACAATCGTCGCGTAAGGCCAGAACTCTACCTTTTTTACTTTCAACTTAAATTTTATTTTATTTACTAATAATTTATATGATTTAAAATTTTCAAACTATTCTTTATTCAATTACGATTCTTCTGGCTTTTAATAATCTTAATTTGACTAATTAAATTATCTATAATCACTTATGTAAGAATCGTCAAGTGGAACACTATTTCTACTCGATTCGCATTCATCATACATTGACATCTTTTTGATACCCACACCCTTATTTTCCTTTTTCACAAATTTTAAATATATTTTATTTTCATTTTTTAGTCTAAAATTCATAAAAAAATTATATTCTTTGAAGAAAATTCTAAAATATTATACAATATTATATTACATCCCTATGATTGACCTAGAAATTTTTTACTATTTTTAGAACTTATATTAAATTATAATTTATATATTTCATCAGAAATACTTTAAATATCCAAAAATTAGTATGTTTTAGTTTTATAAATTTTAAATTTTGTGATTTATTATACGACAACTAAGTCATGTCAATAAGTCTCTTTCTTATATGTGTATAACTATTCCTTGCCCCACAACTTAGTTGGTCACTAATGACGTGAAAAGGGAGTGATGCACACGTCCCTCTTACTATTTCTTAGTTGCCTAAGCCCCCTGCTCACAACTTCACCTGACTGTGCTTCTAACCTACTTGTGGGCTCGGCTGGCTAATGGGTCCACCATTTTTTCTATATTTTTATTTTATTTTATTTTATTTATCTCAAAATTATGATTATAAAAATTCATATAAAATCATATAAATAGCCAAAAATTCACATTAACTAACTAAACATTACTTTTTAATAATTTAATATTAGTATAAGTCTATTTATTATGAGTTAAGACTTAAAATCTATTATTAATTAATTATTAACTCATAATAATGTAGATTTATCAATTACTAATAATTATGAGGTAGTAGTTGGTAATGATGTTGACAATTAAATGAAAAGATATATATAAATGAGTTATCTTGGAGTTACAAGAGAATAATTGTAGATAACTCTCTTATATTCAACATGGAAATCATCAACTTCATCTTAGGCATTTAGTGATTGAACACCCTCAGCCCAACATAAGTTAATTAAGAATAGATTATAAAATTATCAAGGTACAACAATCACCTTGAAAGATGACTTGAATCTTTGTAGGTCAAGTATTTCATTAAAGTCTTCGACTTGGAAACTATAATGAGGACATGGCACTTTGATAGAACATCAACAAGTGGATAAATTGGAAGAAGCTTAGCCAATATTCCATAAGAGGATAGTTTGAGAGGTGTTTCAAGTAGCTTTAGAGCTACCCTCCATGAGAGAGGTAGACCATTCCATCATCCTACAACTAGGCGCATGATTGATCAATATACAGCCTCACAAGTAGACCCTAGTTTAGAAAGGAAAATTTGAATGGTTACTCAGTAAGATGTATGCAACATGAATAGTTTGGCCCATCTAACAACCCTCAATCAAGATAGATCTTGTTAGCAATTATCCCTCAATGGTGGTAGTAGATCATTTAGCTTACTAAAACACTAATATACAACTCAAGATGTGACATTCATTTTCATGAGGAACATCGTTGATAAGTCTTCATTATCATGAGTTAATAATTAGTAAGTAATATAATTTTAGCCTTAACTCATGATAAATACAATCATTTAGCTTACTAAAACACTAATATACAACTCAAGATGTGACATTCATTTTCATGAGGAACATCGTTGATAAGTCTTCATTATCATGAGTTAATAATTAGTAAGTAATATAATTTTAGCCTTAACTCATGATAAATAGACTTATATTTGTGTTCAAGTGTCAAAAGTGGTTTTTAGTTGATTAACGTGATTTTTTTAGCTAATTATGTATTTTGTACAAATTTATATGATTTTTATAGTCTTATTTTTTAGATAAATGAAGAAAAAGAAATTAAAATAAAAATATAGCAAAATGGGGGGGGACCTGCCAACTAGCTAGGCCCGCAAGGGGGTCGAAAGCGCAATCAAGGAGGAGCCACAAGTAGGGACTCGAGTGGCTAGGACCAATGGGGGCACTTGTGTGCCACTCCCCTTCCACATCACTAGTGCCTAGCCGGTTGTGGGGCAAGGAGTGATCGTACTAGCGGGAGAAAGGGACTCATTACTTGCAAATGTAATATTATTATATATTTACCTAAAACTTTGGCGCACAAGCAATGTGGGATTAAGCCCGCATCACACCTTCCCCCGAAAGGCTTCAAAGATTTTAATACTTAAACTACCCCTTATTTATAATAGAGATATATCATGATGACGTCACTTGATAAGGGCATTAGAGTACTTATTTCAATCTCTCTTAGAAAGGCAAGTAATCCGGCATGGGTTTTAATCTTCCCAGAGCTAAAACTCATATTTTTATTTAATTATCACGACTTTCCTACAGATTGTCAGTGAAAGATTAAGCTGCCAAAATCGCTAGATCATCAGCGAAAATCTCGTCAACGCAATTTGTAGAGCATTGTTACTAAAATTGTTGAACGATTCGCGATAAAAGGATCACGAATCTATCGAGTACCGATTGATTGACGAACAAGCCATCATTAGGAAGAGGACGATCTGCCGAGAGACGAGTTGCTACGTCTTGAGAGCATACCAGATGTGATGAAGAGTTTCCTCTTGCTGTGCTGACCTGAGGATGAAGCTCCTTGACATGCGTCCCACCTCCATCCAACTCTTCTCCATCGGGTGACAGTCACTGGAGAGCTGCAAAGTCATCATTTTTCCGCTCCATCAAGTGACAGCTATCGAAGACGATTCGACAACCTATTTCATTGATTTCTAGACTTTGCAAGGAGATCTAGAAATTACCTACATCGTCCTTGTCCAAGGAGAGCCTTCAAAGCTGTGAACACTACATGACAATTCTCCCAAATGCTTAGGATTCTAATACATCACTGACGTATCGCCATCGTGACGTCGAAACTCTGTTTTCCTACTTTCAACTTAATTTCTGCTTCATTAATGATAATTTGTGTGATTTAAATTTACCAAGGTATATTTCATTCAATTACAATTCTTCTAGCTTTTATAGATCTTAATTTGATCAATTAAATCTTCTATAATCGCTTACGTAAGAATTGTTAGTTTCCACCTGATCCGCGTTCATTGGGCACTAACGTCATCTTAACATCCACACCCTTATTTCTATTTTCCGTGAATTTTAAATATATTTTATTATTATTTCCTAATATATAATTCATAGAAAATCGTATTATTTGAAGAAAATTCTGAAAAATTACCCAATATTATATTATATCTTTGTGATTGACTTGGGAAATTACCACTATTTTTTGAAATTTTATTGAGTTATAATTAAGATATTTGTTCAGAAATACTTCTAAATATCTGAAAATTAGTATTTTCTAGTTTTTATAAATTTTAAATGTACGTGCTTTACTATACAACGACTAAGTCACGTCAATCGTCTAACTCCATGGAATCTCCCTCACCTTTATACATGATCCTGATTGCATATTTATAAATTTTAAATGTACGTACTTTACTCATAAATGAATGACCAATTGGAGGCAATGAACCTCATTTATTTTAGATGTTTTGTAGGAGATGAAGTACAACAATGAAGTAAATAGATCCCATGGGCTGAGTACTAGTACAACACCATGTATCAACCCTCCATGAAGTTTACCCCTTCAAAATTGTGTATGGTAGGAACCCTCCTAAATTTTTTGTAGTTTCTTACTCAATGGTCAATGACTATAGACCTTGAACAACAATTGCAAGCATGAGAGGATATCTCTCATCAACTAAATTAGAACTTCCTTTAGGCATAAGTGATAATTATAAAATAATAGTTACATATATTTATTAATATCTTATATATAGATGCTAATTAATGTAGAATATAATTATACATGTGTTATCGACTTATTATGACATTCATAATATTTTATTATTTAGTCTTAATATATATTATTTTATTTTATTTATTTATATTATGAGACTAACCACGCTTGACTTTTATGAAGTTAAGTCGTGATTCTCTCATATTTTCTTGATAATTATTTGATTGCAAGGACTTATGTGAACTCTTATTATGAGTTGGAAGTAATAAAAGAAGCCTAAGTCTTCAACTTAAGAAAAAGCCCAAGTCTTATAGAGAAGGCTGGCTTAATATGTTTATGGGCCCAAGAGAGAGAGTAATCTTGGCCTTAGCCTATTTGGACTTAAAAGGGTTATCAAGAGATGAGATATAAGCTACCTATCTTAGGACATCGTAAGATGAGAGAAGAGAAGGATTAGAGTGCCAATCGCTATGAAAGAATTTGGGCCATCCACTAAGAAAGTTAATTATTAATTATAACCATCTATTAGAAAGGCTTAATTTTTGAGAAGATTAAGACATCTCGCCCCCTTATTGAAGAATGCTTTTTGGCTCTCTCTCTAGTAGTGGCCAGCCAAAGAAAAAAGAAAAGAAATCAAGACTAGGTCAATGACATTTTCGTGTCTAAGATCATCATAGAGAAAATACTACTTAGAATGCATCAAAATTGTCGCAGATCAAGCACCACTCGGTCTAGGACTGGTGCATAATGAGGTTTGTGTAAGATCTAGATTTTGAGCATCTTTGCAATTTTCTCCATAAATAAATTAACTATTAGTTCAAACTAGTTTTACTATTTATTCTATTATTTCATTGCGTTAGATTTATTCTCTCCCGTTTATCACACTTTTTATTTCTTCTTGTCTTGACTCTTGTTAGATTAATTTCGCCCTTTACAATCTTAAGTATATCTTTATATAAGAACTAAAATAAGTAGAATTATTACTCTCATTACCCATGCTCCCTATGGATCAATACTTACTTATCTTAAACAAAAGAGTGAGGTTTTATAAATATTATTTACATGAACTTGGTTGTATTACAATAACATATGAGTACGTCTAAATCGAGTTCATTAGTAAGCACAAATGAATATTTATACATAACACAAAAATAGAGGAGTCACATCTGGATTGATCAATTGAATGTACCTAAAATGAGACCCTATTGATTCCATTCCCTAGTCTAAATGACAAACACGAAGATGACACCCTAATTTTTTGAACCTTACTAGATCTTGGGGAAAATGGGCTCAAGGCCTACTACTTGGCACTCTAGACACATCTCAAAACTACAAACAACAAAGCTTTATTAGGAAATGACAGTAGGAGCAGCACATCAACAATAATTTTCTACATTTAGCCTAAGGACAAGGGTAATTTTGTAGGGGTGAGTAATGTTAGGTGTAATTGTTGAGTTATAGATTAACTATAGAAGAGAACTTAATTTTGATGATTTTTGGACATTAACTTGATTATCTTCAAATTGATGATATTTGATGTGACTTGAAAATATGATTGATGTGATAAATATATTAATGTTTAAACTGCTTGAATAATGATCTGAGGTCTGGATTATATGACCAAAATTCTATCATAGATATTTTTTAGATGAATTAGGTATAATGACAATAAAAAGTCTATGCAAGGTAAAAATGTAATCATCTCACATGTAGGTATTAATATTTAAATTTTTATATCAAATGGCTTCAACAAATGTGCCAAATCGATCGGGTACGATGAGGGGATGGCATTCTATATGATGACTAACAACATGTGCCAGAGCCCCTCGAGAAGTTCTAGAGATTTCTTCTTTAAACAAGAAATCATAAGAGATAAATTTTGGAGAAAATTATAAAGGGGTTGATTTCATATTAATTTTACAGGATTATTGACCTCATATATTCATGTAGGGGTAGAATGGTCCAACAACATGACCTCTTATACTAAAGTAATTTTTATCTTAGAAAATATGCAAGTATAGTGTGCAACCACTAAATGGAGAGCTGATTAAAAGAGGAATATAGTGCTGAAAACCGTTCCAAAATATTCGAGGTATCAAGAGAGTTATAAAATTTTTACTCTTTATGATTACTATTTTATGTATTTTTAAGGATCTGTGCTCAGCTTGTTAAGGTTCATTTTAGCTCAACCGTTTGACTCGATAAGGGCTAAAAGGGAACAGTCCAACCTACCTATAAATAAGGTAGTTTGCTCAAAATTAGGGTAACAAAGAAGAGCACAATTTCAAGGTGACAGCTACTGCATCAACAATAATTTTTTCCTCTATGTCAACTCATTTCAAGTCTCCAAGAATCAAGGGTGAGATTGATTACTTCAAGGGAGTTGTGGACATCTCTTCAACTCTCAAGACCTTCATCCTTCAGCCCAGCATTAACAAACACCTTCAACAACTCTTGGTGGACAAAAAAGAAGATTTAAAGGCTGTAGTAAAATCGTTTCATATTATTTATTGTTTATACCTCAGTTTATGCTATGTGGACTGGTTGAGACACCTGTGGTGTGCCATTAACATAGTCACACTGAGTATTGTATGTCGACAAGTTGAGACACATGTGGTGTGTTGTCAACACAATCACACACTCTGTTGAAGCTCCTGTGGTGTGCTTACAATGAGGAGACCTAGGGACCTAGGAACTCTAGGGTTAGAGTTATAGGTTGGTTGGCCTTAGGCTTGTGCAGCTTATAAATGTAAAGGGTTCTTGATTCCCTTGAAATCAAAGGTGTATTCTAAGGCTAGAATAGTGAAATCAAGGTGGAGTCCTCAAAAGTGGATGTAGGTTAGAGTTGACCAAACCACTCTAAAATCTAGAGTGAACTATCCTTTGTTGCTTTATTTTATATTTATATTTACATATTAATATAGAGACATAAATGAGATATGAATAGACAAAGAAAATAAAATAAAAATTATTATACTTAGTAAGAAGAAAAATTAAAAATTCTATTCACCCCCTCCCCTTCTTGAATTATCTAGCCATCTAGGGACCAATAGTAACCTTTGGTCATCTAGTGAACCTTACCTATTCTTGATGCCAAAGAAGATATCCATCAATGGGGGAGAGCATATGATCTCTTAAACACCCCTCCCAACTCTAGGGTTCATTAGAACCCAACTACACTTGCTATTGTTGATCTCCAACTTTTTTATTTTTTATTTTTATGTTTTTGTTGCCCTCTCTTGTTCAGATTCAAAGTCTTAATATGATTCAACATCAAAAATATTTAATTAAACAAAAAAAAACTTCATCTTTAATTAAGTAAGATGAAAATCATACTGTCCGCTTCTCACGATAAATCTACTCTATAGTCTACAATAACATCTATGGCTTCAACATGAACTACATCAAGAAACAAGCTATGATGAAGCCCCTTGTTGATATTCTGGACCATAAGCAAATAGTCACAAATTGCCACCAGTCAAAGGTGATACTATTTTCTTAGACTTTTACCATGAATGTCATTTAAATTTCTATTCTTTTGAATAATTATTTACAAACGTAAATGATAAATATATCAAAGATGGCTTCTCGAGATGCATATTTCACTGCCCCATTTAAGCTTGTGGCAAAATGTAACGACTTCCTTCATCCTTTTGAGGCATATTATTATGTTTCAATTATATAATGTCACAAATCAATAGGCTTCTCCACAAGTTCAATCTTCTTTTAATTGTCCTTACAATAAGTGGTCTTTTTTTTATAATCAATCTCAAATCCATAGAATGGTAGATAATAATTCTTCATTATCATGAATTAATAATTAATTAATAATAGATTTTAATCTTAATTCATGATAAATAGATTTATGTTTATGTTAAATTGAGAAAAAATGTTTTTAATTTATTTTGACTAATTATATGATTTTATGTGAATTTATATAATTTTTCTAATCATTATTTTAAGATAAAATAAAATAAAATAAAATATATATATAGAAAATGAGGGGGCTACTTGTTGGCTAGTTGGGCTTGTACACTAGTCGCACATGGATCAAAGGCACAACCATGTAGAATCACAAGCTAACTCAAATGGCTAAAGATTGGTTGGGGCATGTGTGTGTCACTCTCCTCCCACATCACTGGTGGCCAACCAAGCATGGGGCAAGGAGTGGTTGTACACATGTATATGTGAGAGAGAGTATATTGAAGAGAAAAAGAAGTATCGATATATATGTGTCTCCAACATTAGAAAAACAGTCAATATGGGACTAAACCTATGGCAACACTTGTTGGTAGGTTTTTAACTTTTTTATATTTAAAATACCCCTAACTTATAAGAAGGAAATGTTTCTATGACATCACTAGGTAAAGGTATGTGAATAATTTACATTCTCTCTCTCCCATGATTGAGTCATTGGTGAGAATTCAATCCTACTAAAGCCAAAATTTATATTTTTATCTACTATATAACACTAGTTAACAATCCAACTGTACAAAATTACTTGATCATCGACAAAAATTTCATCAATACTATTCACAAATCATTGTTAGCAACTAACAAAAGATTTCAAATACAAAAATCATAGATTTTTCAAGGAAGAAACCGTCATCAAGATGATTGATGAGCAGGCCGTCATCAAGAATAGGACAATCAATGAAGATGACTCACCACCTCCTTAGAAGAAAATTGAATATAATATGAGCCTCATCTCAATACGTAAAATTGAGAAACTCCTTAAGATGCAGCTTTATTTAGTTCATTTTTGCCCGATGACAACCTTTCTCTAGAGAGACGAAAGCCACCAGATTTTTCCTTCATTATGTGATAGCCACTAGAGATGATTCATCAGCTCATTTTTTTATTTTTAAATTTCACAAAAAAATCTAGAGACATGAATGGACAATGAGAGCTTTTGATGTCATGAACATCATATGAAAATCCTTCCAAATAGTCGAAACTATGGTGATCATTGTCACATCAAAAATCTATATTTTATATTTTAAACTTAATCCTCATTTAAATTAGTGAGATTTTATGTGATTTCAAATTTTAAAACTCTTTTTATTTAATTATAATTATTTTAATTTGTACATATCTTAATTTAATCAATTAAATTATTTGTAATCATTTATGCAAGAATCATTGAGTAGAACTCTATTTTCACCTGAATCATGTTTATAGGGTGTTGGTGTCATCCTAACTCTGCACCTAAATTTCTCATGAATTTTTAAATAAATTTTCTCTTCATCATTTAGTCTAAAAATCATAAAACATTGTATTATTTGTGAAAAAAAATTTAAATTTTACTCAATATTATTTTACATTTCTATGATCGACATAAAAAAATATAATTTTTTCACCAAAAAATAGTATTTTCTTGTTTTATAAATTTTTAATTTATGTGACTTATTATACAATAATTATGTCATATCAATAGGCAACTCATTTAGAAATTTTTCTAAAATAAACCTTTCAATATGATATTTATGAAAGTTATTAGATTCTTTTTATTATGCTTGGAAAAAACATCTACTTTAATTTTTTAGTTTTAAGTTACTATGTTACATGGATACACACTTTTATACCTAAAGATTACACATTAGTTTACGCTCTGCTTTTGTTGAAACATTATTAAAGTGATTAAATTCAGTAAATATATTTCTTGAACTTAGATGCAGTTTAGGCACATGGTTTTGGGTTTTTGCCATATTTTAAGGATTTTATAAAAACTTTGAATGTTGTGGAAGAGCATTAAAAAATCATATGCATATAGTCTTTGATTAATCCCTATCTATTTGACCTCCCTTGCCATACTTTAACATTATATTGGCAAGAAAATCATCTTGGTGGGCAAGCTGATTCTTTGGGTTCTCTTTATGTCTCTATTTAGGGCCAAGATATAAGGCCACCTATTAGAAGTAGACAATTGTCTAATTTAAGGATGTGCTGGCGATTTAGGAGGAGCCACTAGTTGAGAGCGTCATTGAGGAGCCCAATAAGAACCATGTGACTTTGAGATCATGCTCAAATACTCCCTTTTGGTCAGTGCTCTTAGGCATCCAGAACTCAATATTAGAAAAAATGAGTTGATCTCTGGCACCTCTTTTTTTTATCTAGGTTCTCACTTCATCTACCTATGTTCCTCTAGGTATCTGGCAAAAGTCGGGAGGAGAGACAAGAGTGCTGCCATTAGTTGGGTATTTGCCCTCATTAGTATTATAATCATTGGTAGTTTATTTACATTCAGAGGTGTTCCTCCTAAGATTGTACTTGCTTTATTCATCTTACTTTGATCATCCCTACTTGCATGTTTTATTAATTTCTCACTCTATTTTCTTCCTCAGAATGTGATATTAATGCTAAGCTGGCAGCATTGTGTTTTGTTGATACCTCTTATTCGGAAGCCACCTGGGTGTGCATGTATCATTTCCTCATCAAAGTAGAAAAATAGAGGAAATTTGTATTTTTTATCTAAGTATTTAATTCTTGTAGAATCAAAATCCATTGTGGCACCTTTACATAGTTTCTCATTCAGGTGGGATCCACATGATCCACTTGAATATTGATTATGGGTACCTTGAGTATTTATTGGTTTAGAGGACTGTGGCAGGTCCCTTTCTTAGGATTCTAGAGGCTTGTGTCACATAGGTGAAGAGGCGTGACAGCTTGGCACAACCATGTTGGCTGCCACATTCTAGTTTTTTCTTGCTTTGTCTGGCTCATTTAATTTGCACATTCAAATAATTGGTAAATTTATTAATGAATGTCCATCATGGATTAAATTCAAGGAAAGAGTGTTTTATTTTTAATCTAAATGCTCCTCATCACAACTTATCTCAAGTGATATTTTTGGTAATGCTAATGAACTTAAGCATCCAAGAATTTGAGGCAAAATGCATGGTATTCCATTTCTACATAGGGAGCATGTTTCCATTTTATAATTGATGCAAATGGTTTAATGATTTGTCATTAATAAGTCTTCATAATCATGAGTTAATAATTAAGTAATAATATATTTTAAGTTTTAACTCATTATAAATAGATTTACATTCGTGTTAAATTGCAAAAAGTAGTTTTTAGTTGATTAATGTGATTTTTTGGGCTAATTATGTGATTTTATGTTAATTTTTATAATTTATATAATTATATTTCTAAGATAAAATAAATAAAAATAAAAATATAGAAAAATGAGAGACCCAACCAACCAGACACATAGGCCATACACGAATAGATGTCTTAGGAAATTTTTCATAAAATTGATAATCATAGTTTAAAATAAGCTAACATTTTATATTTAATCATTAACAATATGTTTTTGAAGTTTTTAATGAAAAATGGCATTTGGAAAATGCGATATCTTCTCCCCACCATCCACATATCCTTAATGTGAGAAACAAAATCTATTGCAGCCTCAAGTACAGCATCCATATATCATTAACTTGTAGAGGTGATTGTTCCTATTATTAGTCAAAATTGCTAATCTTGATTATGATTTCTCTACCAGGTCATGTGTAAGATGCATGGAACTAGTTTTTCCTCACTCCTGTTCATGAAAGTTTTCATCAAGTGTATAGAGCTCAAGACGCAATCAGGGAATTGTGAACTCTATTTTTTCATGTATAATTATTCATGTAGATGGCACTATATGGTAAAAGATACTCATCATGTTGAAACATTTTGACTCAATTTCAAATCATTTAGTTTTGAAATAATCTATATATGATAACATGATAATCTATACTTTACATATTTTTATACATAAAGAGCTTGTTATATTATGTTGTCTTCAATGGAAATATTTGTTTAAAATATTATTATTTTGTCAATAGTTTTCTACTTATTCATGCATATTTTTATGAGTTATATGGTTTATTGACATATACTATATAAACTACAAGAAATATTTGAATATGCTTATTCTTTAACTGTGTTAGGCAATAAACCTAAAATTTGGCAAATGAGTTTTATTATTTTGCTCAATTTTATAGAAAATGGACATGTAGAAAATTATTATTTTGTAAAAGTTTCAACATTAGGCAATATACAAGCAGATAATAACTTTATCATTCCTTTGTATTCTCAATATAAGACAAAAGAGAAAAAACAAAGTCATCAAAAATAATAATTTAAAGGAATAATATTTTTTTTCTTGATATAATGACCTCCTCGCAAGTTCAGATTTGATATATGTCAGTCTACATCTTTCAAATGAGCTGTAGAATTATTAAAAAAATCAATAATCATGTTTTTTTTTGGCAATACTTATTTCTATGCATAGAAAAGAAAGGAAACGTATCTTATGCATATGCAGTAAAACATTAAAAATAATCGGTTACATGGATTTTCAACTAAAGATTTCTTTCTCATTAGCTATTCAATGGTTCATGGCAAAGATAGTTTTGAGACCATTAGGAACCAAAATGTGCACTTTACGATATAAATCTGAAATTTAAAAATTATTACACAATGAAAATATACTTTATATATAATATTATAAGTATATAATGCGAAGATACCCAGATGAATCTTCTGGAAATTTCCTCGTCCAATAGGAGCGAAGGAGAGGAAGTCTCCAGAAGCCTAAGGGACGATGCTTTTGCGAACCGGCTCGGTCCTCCTCCCGGTTTAGAAATGAACCGTCCTTAAACTGTTCCACAATATTTAATGTAACCCGCCCCACCGAGGCCTCTCGGAAGAGAAAGAGAGACTAGAGTGAGTAGCTCCTTTCTCTAGAACCTTTCACCTTATCTCTGCGCAGACCTACTGCCATGGCGGCCTCCACTTCCCTGCTGACAGTTTCCAAGGCCTTCATCGAATCCCCGCCAGTGCGGTCGTTCCCTTCTCCAGCTTTTTCTCTCCGGTTTGGCTCTTCCCAACGCTGTCTGTCTGTTTCCTCGCGGAAGAGTGCCGCCCTCGGTGTATCGGCCGTGGCCAAGAAGTGGGAGCCGGCTAAGGTTTGCGCCCGGTTTCCTGCATTCTGTTGTTTTTTGTCCCTTTTTTTTTCTTCTCTTTTCTGTAATACCTCGGTCGTTTGCTCGGTTTGCAGGTAGTTCCGCAGGCTGACAGGGTCCTCATACGTCTCGAGGAGTTGGCTCAGGTCTGGTATCTATGTCCTATGTCAAATCCCGACCACGCTCTCCTCTCTATTCAGTATTTTGGGGTCTCATTGATTGATTTTTTTTTTATAAGTGTTTAGCAATTATGTACGTTGTATTTAGAATGGCTTGTTTCATTACTTCTGAGAAGGAACAAATGCAATACGTGATACCAAATTAGGAGATTGATGCTAAATTTCATATGGCTATCTACGGGTAGTATCGTCTTTGGTATTTCATGTGGAGAGGTAGTCTGGAAAATATAGATTTCATTGACAATGTTATTCTGTCAGATTTCTGTATAAGAATTCAGTCAAATGTAAATGAAAAACTGAAAGAGTTTCTCGTCCCGCATGCCTTACTTATGTTAAACGCTTGCTTTTTTGTGGTAATTCTTATTCAGAGTCAACCAACCTTGTGCTAGGTGATTCACGGCCAGGGAATAAATAATGAGGTTGTGAATTAACGTTCACAGGATATATCATTTAGAACAAGAACAAATATTTTAGATAATGTGGGCCGTCTGCTGTGATACCCTTGGGAATTTGGATCATAGAATCTATATTCCGTACTATGATATTAAAGTGTGATACAGGTTTACTTTACTGTCTTATTTGTCGAGTGATTTTTCCCTATCATCAATCCGCTGCCATCTCTCTCGTTCTGTGAAGAAACGCAGCTTGGTTTTGTGAACATGGGCATGTACTTTCAAATTAGATCTTGGTCATGCAAGTTTCATCATAATCATGAAAATTTTCAATCAAACGGTGCCCAAAAGAAATCTATTCCTTCCCTATCATCTACTGACAGTCATCTCTCTCATTCTGCTGAAGAAACATAGATTGGCTTTGTGAACATGATCAGTTTTAATTGGATCATGGTCATGCATATGTCATCGTAATCATAAAGAATTTCAGTCAAAAGCTGCGCAATCGAAATCTATCCCAGTGGTTAACGCAGAATATGCTGGTTACCAGTGGGTTTTTTTTGTGTTTTTTTATCGCATCGCTGAATTTTATGCGATTTAGGGGAAGCTATGCGAAAGAGTTTAGACAAAGAATAAGAAACCTATCTCAGTCACAAAACTTTTGTTGGTGAATACTAGAACACAGTGATATGGGAAGGTTATGGGTTGGTAGCACTGAATAGTAACTGATGTCTTGCTTAACACGCAAATTAAACTGGTGAAATCTTATACTCCTGGGTTTTGATGAGGGCAAATAGAGGTGTTTACTTGAATATAAGCATACTCTGGAACCTCATATGTTCATTGAAACTCGCGTCAAAGATAGAGTATAGTATTTCATAAAGGACTATTTAATCCCCACCATGTTTGAGATAAAAGTTTATGCTTGAACACTTTTCAGCGGTTGATGGATTCAGTTTTTTCGGTGCTTTTAAACATGTAACCTGAATTTATACTTTAATTTTTACTTTGGGATAAAAGTTATACTTGAATTTGTGCTCGCTGAGGTTCTAGTTGTTCTTACTTTAGAAATACCTTTTTTATTTTCACTGTGCAGACATCTGCCGGAGGAGTTTTGTTGCCGAAATCTGCAGTCAAGTTTGAACGATATTTAGTTGGCGAGGTGAGCATGTAGTGGAGATTCACTCTGGTTGGAGTTGTACCCTTTATTCTGCGTATCTGTGGGTTTCTTATGGTTTTCTTCCTTTTTCAACAGGTTCTCGCTGTGGGTTCTGATGTGGGCGAAGTTGAATCTGGAAAAAAGGTACTGACATATCACCCAATATAACGTGAATTTCAGCATACTCTAAATGTTAATTTATCTTTCTCATATGATCCTTCTTGATTCGGCAAGCCAAACTCTCTCTCCCTGATCAAGAGTATTAGATAATTTTTCGTCATTATTTTTGGAGATTTTTTTTCTGCCCATCAATTGCTCATCACTTTATTATAATTTGCATGCAATTTTTATATGCTATTTTTCAAGGAGTAGAGCAGATTCTTAAACCTCAATTAATGTTAAATCCCCGATTAATTTGGGCATAAAATGCATTCTTTCTCTATTCATATATCTGAAGCTGGTTTTATTGAACCAAGACGGCGACATGTTCGAAGCAATAGTCACCATATGGGCCAGCACCTGATTTTTATTCAATTTGCTGATATACTTGTATGCCCGCCAACTGATGTCTCTTCTCATCCATGGCGCAGGTCCTCTTTTCAGACATAAACGCTTATGAGGTGAGCAGACAAATCCCCAATTCAGTACATTTTTAATGCTTTTTCGATACAGAACTAATACTCAGACCACCATATGAATGATCCAAACATACGTTGGCACACCACACCATTTTCTTCAACAGCCAATACGGACTCTTCTGTATTAAAATGACTATGTAAATTCTCTATTGGGTGACTGATTCGCTCTATTGTTGGACTAGAACTATGGATTAGCTGAGAAGGGCTCAGTAGATTCACTCATCAACCCATTAAGTGAGATGAATCAAGTAAAAATGATATTGGATGGACGATACTGATTCCCTTGCTAATGGTTTTGAAATCTGGCTGTGTAGGTGGATCTTGGGTCAGAGGGGAGACACTGCTTCTGCAAGGCGGCTGACCTGTTGGCAGTGGTCGAGTAGGCGGCACTGCGATGGCCACCGAAAATTGACTATTTTTGGTCTCTCTCTCTCTCTATCTCTCCCTCCTTTTGGTAGGATTCCTCCCGAGTGTCAGCAAATTGTGGAATTCCAATGTACTCTTTTGTTTGAACGGAGATACTACAACTTGGTAGAAAAACCATTCTGAGATTTCACGGGGATCCAGCTGCAAAATTCCCTGAAGACATTGTTCCCGAGCTCCTCCTGGAGGCCCTTCTTGCTGGTGGGAAGTCGCAGCAAATTCGAAGTGGCAGTATGTTTTTTCGTCATTGTCGATCTTTTTCAGTGGCTCAAACAAAATTTCCCCCCCAAGGGGGAGTCTCGGGTTCGTTCGGTCACCTATTGTGTAGCTTTCACAAGCTCCTCCCCGATGCCCTCTTACTGGCGGGAGGTTGTGGCAAATTCTAGCTGAGTGTATGGTTTTTTCGTCATTGTAGTTCCTCTTAGGTGTTCAGACAAAATGCCCCCCTTCCCCCACCTCATCAAGGGAGCGTTTCGGCTTCGTCCGGTTATATGGACTAACTTTCACTGAGCGTCCATTCCTCGATGCTTCGCTCTCCGAAGGACCGTGTACCAATTAGCGTCCTCAAATCTCGACCGTCCGTTTAAATGTTCCTGGTTGTCCTCCTGACGTTGATTGGTCTTGTCATTGTGCCAGATGGACGGTCAGTACCACCCCGAGGGCCCACTCTCGTTTTACTCATCGAAGGTGGGTACTCTTCTGGTTCAGGAAATTTCCACATACAACCTTTTTCTATTTTCTCTTAGACTTGTGCCCACCCCCGCCCAAACACCTGAAGCAGAGAAATCCTGAAAAAGTAAATTATAATTTGTCTGGTGGCAAGTCTTAAGATACGAGCTTTTCAAGGAGAAAATATTAAAAACCCCCGCTTCACTCGCTGCTGCGGAACCGTTTCAACGGTTTTGCCAGCTTTCACGCGTGCGTTCGATTTGGGTGGCCGTGGGGCCCACGTATTTTCTCACCAACCCCACCACCGTAGAAGGGCTACGATCTGCTGCAGCCAAAAGGGCGGGAAGATGGTGGTACTTCCGTATTCTTACTTAATTCAGAGGTGAAAATGTAACTTGGGTGCGTTTGCTGCTGAGTTGGACTCGTCGACACCCTGGGAGGAGTATATAATACTCCCCAATAAATTAAGGGAAGCACCCATTTCATTGGAGGATGATCGACTGAAGGAGGTAGGAGACGGAGAGTGGCAGGCGGCGAGGGCCTCGGAATGTCCAGTGATCTCCGCTGCTTCGTCTTCGTCCTCCTCCGGCGCATCGCATCGCATCGCATCTCAGGGACCTTGGAGCGGGGGAAGGTAGTGGTACTCTTGCTTCTGATTTATTCTCCGTGGTCATTCTCTTCTGGAGTCCCTTGATCGCATTGTCTGCCGTCTGCTTATTGCTGCCGGATTTTGTGCCGTTGGATATTTGCGTCGGAGAGTGTGGTCTTTGGCGGTGTTTCCTCGGCTCTGGCTGCGTTGGAACCGTGAGTTAGTTTTAAAGGTGATGCTGTGTTGGAGCTGTTTGACTTCGTTTCTTTACTTGAGTCTTCTGCTGTCCGTTCGGATACCATTTTCCGGATTTTGGGGTGGGCAAGCAGACATGACGAGGAGAACGATCCCATACATAGTTAGTCATATTGACCATTGCATTGCGGAAAGTGAATAGGATTGAGAATGATTCATCCTCCAGTGCATTGTCAATTTTCGTTGACCGCTGGAAATCGTTTAGAAAGGCCTGTTAAACTTACATTCGTTATTACGCTAATGTCACGCAAGCAAGTGATTTCTGGTTCTCTATTGGTATCTTCGCTGAGAGCATAAAATATATTTAGCCTTTGATTATCATATTATTTTTTACCCCTTCCAAGCTTCTATGGTGCATTCGTGTCCTTCTTGCTCATACCTATGCTGTCAATGCCTTGAAATAATCCATGTTGAACATGTGAAGAGAGATTTATGCCTGGCTTAATCAAGTGACTAAAAATAAATGTTTATCGTTTTGAAGTTTAGAAATGGACAATGGGCATCAGATAAGAAGTTGGCAATAATTCTATTCGATTGTTAATTCAAGCATGAAAGTTCGGCACCAGTCGAAATTGATGACGGGAATTTTAATTTTATGGTAACAATTGAATGTCTTCAATGTGCTACTAAAAAAAAATTGATTCTTTATGCTGCATGTCTTACTTGGTTCAAAGAAATGAGAGAAGGCAACACCATGAGATATTATCCTTCGTGCATGTGGTTGGTCTTCCTATTATATGACTTCAACTATGCTTTCCTTGAAAGTGAGTACTGCTGCATACGAAGTAGCTTTTCAAGAGACAACGTAATGCATTTATATATTTGGAATGTGCTTTCAAGAACCTGCTCTATGAGCATATCCATGGTTTAAAACGACATGGTGAAGAACACGCTACAGAACCAGTCCTCTCAAAGCAGAGAGGTCATGCCATATATATTACAGATTGTTGAATCCCATTCTCTTACTCATAAAATGTAGTCATCAGCCTCTGAACGTAGCAAGCTCTATCACTCACGGACAGTATCGGCAAATGATGCTGCCCCACATATAATGCAATTCTTTTTCTTCTCGTTTCACCAATGAATTCTAACTCTCCTGAACAAAGCTGGAAAATTCTTTGATGCTCTACTTGTATTACAGTGCCAAGTTTTGTTCCCACATCCTGGCTATTACTTAAAAATTATTACATTTTTGTATCCTGGGAGCCAACAACACCCTGGTTGGATGTCTGATCCCCAATGAATGAGACAATATTTTCTGTCCGACATATTGCTAACTTTCGAAAAGTCACTTTTGAATCTGACAGCTAAATGCTATGTCCCACCATTTCATTGCTTCTGACTTGACATGGTCATTTTCCAGTGTTCAGCCCAGGCTATTTTTCCCCCGAACAGAACGGGATTACAGTTCTTCACCTTTAGTCAGAGACGGAATGCAGGTCTATCATGCATCTTGGATCATGAGGCAACACATGTTATGAAAATATTATTCTGTTCCTGACTGGCATGCGGCAGCCAGAGCTTCTTGACAGCTTTGTAAAAGGAATTACTGTGGAGTCTTAGAGTATGTTCTGTGTATCAAGTAACATGTGTGAATGGCTGCTAAAGCTCGCTTGCAAGTATATCCAGTGCTACTGTTCCATGTCATACAAAGTCTTATTGTGAATGGTCATGCATCCAGTTCTAAACGATGGGCGCTTATGCTGGTGTATCTCGGGCCACAGATTTGTTTTCATGGTTTTTCTATGTTCTATAATTTATATCAGCAAAGGTTCCAGTTCAGAAATACTACTTGGGACCTATTCTGGACCAAAATTGAACGAGACTCTTCAGGGCAGTGTACTCCGTTATGCAGACAAGTCTTCTCCATCAATCGTTGATAATGATACGTTATCATGTGAAGACTTGAATGGTGCCGGGACATTTGAAACAACCTGCATATTGAATACTAGCTTGCAATTGGATCGTGATCTTTGTATATCTGGGGCAGGAAACTTGGAGATTTATCCAAATGTTATGATTTTGTGCCACATAAGTGGCTGTTCAATAACTGTGAATGTATCTGGAAATGTTACAGTTGCGGCATACACAGCAATAATTGCAGGATCCATAGCTTTTGAAGCTAATAGCATCACGTTATCCCATGATGCAATAGTCAACTCCACGTCCTTAGGAGGACCACCACCTGCACAGACTAGTGGCACACCAAGCAGTTTGGATGGAGCTGGTGGTGGACATGGAGGACGTGGTGCATCATGTCTGAGAAGTAACAGTACGCCCTGGGGTGGGGATGTTTATTCTTGGTCAACTCTGTCAGATCCATGGAGCTTTGGGAGTAAAGGTGGCAGTGCGTCTGCTGACAGACAATATGGCGGAGATGGTGGAGGCCGCATTATGCTTAAAGTGGTTGACACACTCAACATAGATGGATTTGTACTTGCAGAAGGTGGTGAAGGAGGTCTTAGAGGGGGGGGTGGCTCCGGTGGTAGCATTCAAGTCATTGCATCAAATCTGTGAGCATCAATAGTTTTACTGTGTTAATGCTTTTCATTTATCTGAGATTCTGATTTTTGGCTTACTTTACTGTGGTAATTGCTTTCCTCTGCGGTATGTCGAACAGGAGTAGATTCAGTTTTCTGACTTTATATCGCCACTTTAACAAAAATTATCTTTGGACCACGGGGCACAACCAGTCACAAAGAAGAGAAAAGAAAACTTTCAGCTTACTCATCATGGTGATAGAATAATCCATACAAGCAGACGCTCTTAGCCTAAGAAACGACTAAAAAAATAAAATTAAACCATTCCTTCTGTACAACTTTCTAGTGTCTCCAATGTTATCTACATATAAATGTGCTCGTGAGTTAATGTCTCCAAGGCTTTTGGTGCGTTGGGCACTCAACTCAAAACCATTTTTTAATGATTTCTAGGAACCTAGTTTTATGGCTAGTGCTTAGAGCAATGCATCAATTGACATAATTTTCCTTTAAACAACAACATATCATGTCTGTACTGTCTCAGTGTTTTATAGAATACAATGTAAAGCATAAGCTATGGGACTCATCTCACCTTTTTCCCTTTAAAAACATTTGAGTTTAGACAGTTGAACTTCTATTTCGTTGGCGTTTGCTATGATTCTTACCTATTTGCCAAAATCTTTTATTCTATTCTTCCTCCTATTGTTTTTAGTTCCACCATGAAATTGAAAAAGATTACGTCTTGATTCCAATCTGGTTTGCTTTGTGCCTGAAGCCTATTTATTATTTTGATTTGTTGACAACAATCTGAGATTACATCAGTACACTAGATTATCAGTTTTATTGTGAATGGTTCCACCTCCAGATGCTAAATGATGGGCACCTGCACTGGTTTATTGTGTCTAGGCACAAACTTGTTTTCATGTCTTTTCTATGTTCTGTAATTTATACCAGGTTAGGTTTCAGTTTGATGTTTGTTTAGATTGGTTGGCTACAATGTAACATTACATCAATTTAATAGACTATCAGTTTTGGCATCTATTTCGTTTGGTCCATTATGTGAAGATTAAATTGACTTCACTTTTTGAGGCACTTTGTGCCCCCTCATATATTTGGGCTAGGATACAAGTTTATTTCTTTCCGTTTTGGAAAAATACCACATGATGGATAGTAAATCGATCAACATTTCCAGAGGAGATTTTTTGTAGAAAAACATAACCATGTAAGAGAGGTTGTGTTCTTGAATAAAAAAGTGTTGAAGATCGAACCAGATCTGGTGCGCTGGATAGACAACCCTCGCATCCGTGGAGAAAATGTTTTTCATTCAAAAGGAAAATTCAGTTACAAAGTAGAAGGGCCTGGTATTGATTCTAGGCCCGAGAAGATTCTAGACACATAACGACCAGACCCTGGAATGATCTATAGACACATCTATCCTCATAATTGTGTCCTGTCAACACTCCCCCTCAAGCTAGCAAGTGGATGTCATCCATTCCCAACTTGGGAATAATCTTTTTTGGTAAGCATGGCTGCCAATTGATCGTGCGTAGAGATATATGACTTCAAATCAAATTTGCCTTTAACTTTTCTTTGATGAAATGATGATCAACCTCTACATACTTGGTACGATCATGTTGTGTTGGATTATGCACCGTATTAATTACTGGCTTGTTGTCACAAAAAAGTTTCATAAGATGAGTAAGAGAGATTTTTAGCTCATCAAGTTTTTCACCCAGAGTAACCCACACACACCTGGGCAAATGCCCTGAATTTAGCTTTAGCAATCATATTCTATTTACTCCATGTAATAAAGCTGCCTCCAATGAATGTGAGATGTCCAGAAGTCGGATCTTCAGTCAGTTTTGAACAATGTACTTTTGCTAACTCTCTAGTGTATATGTATCTTTAGTCAATATTGTTGTTTGTAGTTTCGGGTTATCATGATTTTTCCTACTGATCTTAAACACCATTAATATGACATTAAATAGTTCAACTACCACAGATGGTCAAGATTTGAAAGTATTTATTAGAACCCAAGGTAAGGAATTCTGTTTGCTATAAAAAGCACTTTGGAATTGATCTCATTCTCTATTTGATATTTTCTGTTCATAATAATTTATTCTTTTAATTTTAATACAATACTCAGTTTTTTGGTCAATAGACATCCTTCTCTCATCTAGTGCTTGGCGTAAAGATTACTCATCATGACATGGTTATTTGAAAACTTAAAGCCTCAAGTACGTCTAATGTTAAATTCTTGAAAATAATAAGTGACATTAGATATGTCATCCATGAGAGGTATATTCGTGAATAATATATAGCTAAGATGTATGAATATGAGTAGATTTTCGGTTTTCAGCTAGGTGCCAAGCTGCCTTTTCATTAGATATTCATAAACAGTAAGCTTGAAGAGAGGCATTTAAGTTGCCATGTTTCATTCTAGATCAAATGGAATGATCTTAATGTTCGTAGTGAATTATTTACCAAAAGATCAGTTTCATCACTCTGTAATATCATTTTCAACTCAAGTGGATTATATGGCTAACTCTACAACCACCATTTGGGATTTAGTGATCATGGGGAATCTATTGCGGTTGTGGTTATGACCTTGGGAAGTTGTATGACGGAGTTTGTGGGTGTGGTAACCAATAGTGTTGTTCGTCGTTGGAAGAAAAAGTCATATTTCATAAGATATTAGGGTGTATGGGCAGTCATGTAGCTACTTCCACTTATTTATGTGATGGTCATTACAATGTTGAGACCTCTTTTACACTTGCTGATATTTCTCTTGAGGAATAAGAGAAGTGGAATCAAAAAATTGAAGCTTCACATACAATCTCTAATTCATGATATTTAGCTACAAGTGATCCTTTGACCTTCTTTTTGGCTTTCGATTTTGATGCTTCATCAAATGTGACAGGTACTACTTTATTCTCCTCGTTGTACCACTCCTCTTCTATTCCTCTTATTTTCATTTACAATAGTTTCATGTTTCATCTTTGAGTTAAGCCATTAACCCTTATACCTCAACTGTTTCCCTTGAATAGGTTTTATATATTTTATCCATCAACCAGCTCAGTAATTAATTTCAATTTTATACAACGTTCTTTCATATTGTTTACATTCTTCAGGATCTCCAACGAATAAGGATTGGTGAAATATCTAAGCCCATGAGGCTTTCTTATTTGGATGCTCGACCTTCTCTTAAAGTTGCACATTCCTCTATTATCTCTCATCTTTAATGCCATCTTCAACTTCGCCAATCTATAATTTAAAAACTGAAACAATGAATTCTAAGGAGTTAGCTACAGCTTTTAGATGCTACGCTTGTGAGTTAGGCAAGTACTGTCCGTCCATCTTTACCACTAGATGCCTCAGACGAAATTCATCCTCTTTTTCCTTGGTTCATTCTGATATTATGGAAAGCGGTGTACCCCTGTTTTTAAATTTTAGTGCTTTGTAATCTTTGTAAATAACGTCACACATATGACTTCACTTCATCTGTTAAAGGAGAAATGTGAAATTCTTCATTTATTTAAATATTTTCACATGAAAATTGAAATTCTATTCTAAATCAATATTTGTGCTTATACTAAATATCATTAGAATAGATGGGGAGGAATTCACGATTTATTATACTTTTCATTGAATAATTCATTAGATATCATGTGCATACTCCTCGCCAGAATGGTACACATCAATAGATGAATGCTATCTTTTTGATATAGCTTTTACTATTATGTTTCATATGCAAGTTTCTAATGAGTTTTGTGAGACATTTGTCTACGTTATCACCAACTTTACAACGGATTACTTACCGGAATAAACATCAGAGAAAGGACATAATGCTTAGGTTTTTTTTCCATTATTTTGAGGATATTTTGTGGTTATTTCCCAATTAGTTTTGAGGTCTTACTTAAGGTTGATCAAATCGGCACTAGACAGGGGACAACAATGCGAAAATCTGATACAGATCACATGAATTTGATACTATATTAAATTGTGTGCAATGCAAAATCCTCATATCCCATAAAATAACCCCTTATCTGTAGCATTTTGATGCATGTCAGTTACGAGAGTTATTGACCATTGAGTTAAGTTTTCCACGGAAATTAGTCTGAGATGGGAAATCTTTGTTTGCTTAATCACATTTGGTTATCTGATTCGCAGTGCAGTTTGCATCATGGCTGAGGTATGTAGAGTTGGCCATTTGGTGAAATCATTCTGCCACCCTTTCATCTCTTCCAGCTATAGCTTTTGTTTCTGTCCTGAGATAATTGCTCTTTGCCTTAGTTAATTCAGTGGTCTTCAGTGCACCATCAGTTCCCCTTCATCTCCAACCTTTTCTACAATTGTTGTACATCAATGTCTTTGGGTTTCTGTCATTTAGCCAGCTTTATTATGCACAGTGAAATTATCGTCCCTCACTCATGTAGAAATGACCTTATTCGCTTGAACGTTTATGGTAATTGAGGTAATTAAGGGCTGGGGTCGTTCTGAGTAAGATCTCCTCATCTTTAAATATAAAGACATCTTCATTATCTAAGACAATGCCCTCATATATGCAAAAAAACATAAACCTGATTCTGGTTGAGTTTTGGTGATGTAAATGTTCCTATTTTAGTTAAAAATTCAGTCAAGAAAAAAAAAATCCGGAAGAATTGAGGTGTCGATAATTATTGTTGCTGCAAATTTAATCTTACCAATAATTTATTACAGGAAAAGAATTATATAATGTTTTTATTTTTTATAGTTTCTTAAAATTATCAATATTGCGGTTTCTATTTTCAGGTTCCTAAAGCTTACATACTTGCCGTATATTTCATTTCTTCTCAATAAGAGCACATTATCCGGTATTAATCATGATCAACCTTATATTTTCACTATAATTTTCTCTCCAGGAAAGGGAAGGGAACTATTAGTGCTGCTGGTGGGAGGGGATGGGGTGGAGGAGGTGGCGGAAGGATATCACTGGACTGCTATAGCATACAAGGCGTAAAAATCACTGCTCATGGTGTGTAATTTATGATCTCTCTCCTTTGAGGATTGGAAGTTAACTCGTAGAATATCCTTGAAGCAGTCCAAAAAGTGCAGTAGCTCGGACTTAACATAAGATATTAGCTTTCGAGATCTTAACATTCACACCAATGTTTGTAGTTCTTGCCTTCTTCGAGTGAGTTAATTGTCCATGGTTGGACTAATGTTGTTATGGAAAAACAAACCTTTCCCTCACTTCAAAACCTTTTGTCCTGATCAAACTGTTTTTCACGACCGTTGGATGAAAAAAAGAGAAAAATTATGAATTTGGTGTGGTCTTCTTGTCAGATGATGTCACCATCAACAAGTTTTTCTTTTCATGGCTGACTTGTGTCTGGCCAATTTGCATCGTAGTATCACATTCGTTGACGTGAAATATTTTCCTGGTAGCCGTTGTTGTAATTTCATTTACGTTTCCTAGTTTTTGGCTGTAGTGTTTATAAGCATCGAGTTATACCTGAATAGTGGCGATTTTCGTATTTTATTTATTGAACCATATTCTATTTATTTATCTGAGACAAGGTAGACTAGTCTGGGAAAGATACACTTTGGCTGTAGTGGTGTATCATGATTCTGCAATTAGGAAAGCCAAAGTATGACTTGATGTGCTATCTGAAACACATTGAGTCTTCAAAACAAAGCCCAAGGTCCAAATAGGAGAAACCTGCCGGTGATAATCTGGTGACATTTAGGAGCTTAATGGTTGTTTCCCTGGTTTTTTTCCATCTATGAAAGCAGAGGAAACAATTAAATTTCTGGAATAAATTTGATTTTTCGATCCTTGTGATTTTTTTTCCAAGGTTTCTATATAATGTTGGAGTCCGACATTCCCTGCCATGTATTTTTCGTACGTTGAATGCAGTAAGCTAGTAGTCAAGCGAGGTTAAACTTTTCCCTTTTACCATTTAACGTCACCCTCCTCCATGCATCTGTGCAATCATATTAACTAAAATTGATGTGGATTGACTATGGTCCTTTTTTTCTTCCTTTTTTCCTTCCGACAATTTTGATGCTGAGTTCTACAGGTCAAGTATTGATTGGCCTACTCTGAGTTCTAGCTTTCTTTTCCCAATCTTCTAACCATCATTTGACACATCTGCGTATTTAAGATTTTTACGAGGTGAATCTATCACACTCGTTCTGGTTATTTGGTTTATCCTGCAGTGTACTCTTTCTAGGATATTGGTACTACAATTTTACTTTCATCTGCTGAGTTCCACAGGCTAAGAAGTTAATTTTGTACAATTTTTTTACTTTCATCTGCTTTCCCCAGTAGCCTATTTTACTTCATTCTTATTCATTCTACAGCAGATGACTTTTATAGAAGTTAGTGGGCTCAGAACTGAATTTCATGATTGCTTTTGTAAAGGCCTACCTACTCACTCTGAATGGTTGATCACACCAGCTACTCTGTTGGCATCGACCCTACTCTAAAGTTGGGGCAGTTTTCTTTTAAAGTGGAACAAATCCCGAATGTTGTAGATAACTGTTTCTTTCTCTGACCCAAGTGCATCTCAAGTCTCCCACTCTGACTAGGATATTGGTACTCATAGATTTGGTCCTATTTTAAAGTAGATAATCATATCAACTTTTTAAGTGTAGAAAATAGATATGACTCAAGTGTGTACAGCCGGTTGTACAATTTTTCCTATGAAAGACATTACTTACCAAGATTGTGTTATCTTGGTAATAGAATAGAGTGCTATTAAAATGATAGAGTTACATTTTTCTTTTATAAAAAAAATTTCTTTTGTCAGTTTTTGTCATTACCTGCGTTTTTATCACTGGTGAGATGATCAACGCACAAGTCTTGGCAGCAAGATGGAGGGGAACTCAATGCCTTTTATAATGTATTTAAAATAATTATAGGTAATTAAATTTAAATAATTTTAATAAATATACCAAACACAATAAGATCATCAGTGCGAATATCATGTTATTTTATAAACGATGCAGATTTCTAGTAAGGTATTAGTTAAATATCTGAAATATAGAACTATTGATTTATATGGCAATGCCAGGTCGGATAAATGTGATGGAACTTTCCACTCACCCTTTAGCCATGTCTTGCATGGTATCATCATAAAAAACATAGAGTTGTGCGCAAAAACTCTATTAATGAAGTCTCACGGCTATGTTGTTATTTCTGTTTATTTATAATTCTCAGAGACTCCAGGAATGATGAGTGGCCCATAATTCAAAAAATTCCACTTGCAACTTGTTCTCCATTTGAAAGATCCGAATCTGTTGTTTGGTGACTTATGAAAAAATTACTTTAATCAATGAAAAGTTGGTCACATACGAATTCGGATCATTTAAGTTGATCAAACCCCAATACTATTTTTTACTATCTTTTTGCATTATTAGAACCTGAAGCCAATTCCATTTAGAACTATGGTTATTTTCTTTTCTTTTTGCATTAGGTGGACATAGTATTGGGTGCCATGAAAATGCTGGTGCGGCTGGTACGATTTTCGACAAGAGAGTTCAAAGCCTCAAGATCAGCAATGACAATTTTACCACACAAACTGGAACCCCACTGCTGGACTTTCCCACTAGTTTTTTGTGGTCGAATGTTTTTGTGGAGGACAATGCACAAGTTCTGGTTCCTTTGCTGTGGACTAGAGTACAGGTACAAACGTTTTTGTGTAACTTTACTTTACTTCCTTTGGAATGATGTCTAATTGTTTTTCTTTTCATGATATGATAATAGAGATAGAGGAGCATGTTAATCTGACTGTTGGCTGGTGATAGAATATCTAATATTCCAGAAATCCTGTCTTAGACATGTCTTGAAGCAGTCTCGATCTTTTGGATAAACAATAAACCAATTAATCAATGAAGAAAACATGGAATGCATTTTGATCTCATGAAAATTGTTCCTATCACCATGGTTTTCCCCAGTTCTAATTCATATAGTTAATGTGCCAAGTATATTTTATCCCTTGACTCAGGTTTCAGTGACTTGTCGAATTCATCCTGGCTTGCATGTGGACTTTGGTTTTGGACTTGACCTATCTTGATGTGCACGTTGGCCATTTAAGTTGGTCATCTCATTGGCTGACGAAGCCCTGGAAGGTTAAATTTGCTATTGAAGTGGGCTTATTGGGTGAAGAATTGATTCAAAGCGGAAAATTGATGGAATCCGGTTTGGGCTGTCCTATTCAAAACTAGAATATATATAGATCGTAAAATCATATATCCACACAAATAGACCATGTAAGATAATTTTCTATATGGATCTTTCTAAAAGTCACGTTTTATATTTCACTACCTAATGGTCGTCATTTATCTCGTTTTATATTTCACTACCTAATGGTCATCTTTTATCTCGTTTTATATTTCACTACCTAATGGTCATCTTTTATCTTTCTTCCAGTGTGTCAGTCCCACCCCTCACAATTCCGTTACTTTGATCTATCCCATTCCACCTCCTTCATAGGTTTGATGCCTGAGAGTTTTTTACCAAATAAATTTCAGTTGAAGGTGACAAAAAAGCATGCAGAGAAACGCAGCGAAATAAAGGGTTCTGTAGATAGTAAGAATGTTTGCAATAGTAGTGGCAAGTAGTGGCATGGTGGCATTAGCAGTGGTTGGCATCAGCACCAATAGCAGTGTTAATTTGCTTCACATTATCATTTGGAAGCTTATACTTAATTGATAATGGTAAATAGTAGCATTTGGGTTGTTTACTCGAATCTGAGGATAAAATATGAACTATGCAAAAAAGAAATGGAAACTTTTGCGGCTCTAAAATTTGTGTGAGGACTGATTATGTTTTACATATCTTATCATTGTGATTGATATCTCTTTTATTATACTGTTGTTCACTGATGATGGAATTAGTCTTTTGACTTCTCTTATTTTTAAGGTGAGAGGCCAAATCAGACTGCTAAATGGTGGGAGCATCAGTTTTGGGTTGTCTGACTTTCCCGTTTCAGAGTTTGAGTTGGTTGCAGAAGAGCTTCTTATGAGTGATTCTGTGATAAAGGCATGTGCATTCTGATATGTTGACAGTCTTTTCTCATTTTTTCATATGTTGGATATTTTGGAAACTAGTTATAAAATACCAATTCTATTGTCATTTTTCTGCCTTTACTGTGATTATTACTTGTCTTGGAAATATTTGCAGGAAGTTTTTGTGCAGCCCAACATGATGTGCTTCTTTTTGGATGGTTGTTTGTGATCTAGTAAATATAGTAACCAAGCCTTAGTGATCAAAGTATCATGGAAATTTTCTTTTTTGGCACCATATGCAATGATGGAAGGTTGAATCGTTCTTTCAAACGCAGATGAAAAATGCTTTCAAACAAACTTGTTTTAACGCTATTCAGAGGATTCTTCTTTATTCAATATTATATTTGTTTCCAATAACATATTTCTTTGGCTCTCATCTGGAAGGCCTTTAAGTTGGTTCCAGTTACAGTTCTCAGCTTTTGTTTCCCAAGTTCTCAGTGGAAATCATCGTTAGGACCTTACTCTGCATTATGTCCTGATATCTATATTGATTGTGCTCTTGATTCGATTGGTATTTTTTAAATCTTGTTGTCCCGTTTATCTCTGTTCTCACTTTGATTTTTTGATAAACTTTATTGTTACCATCCTACTAGGTATTATGATCATCATACTTCGTAAGATTCCTCTTTCTGTCCCTTCTGAAAATCTTTCCCCCCTTTTTTTGTAGGTTTTTGGCGCCTTCAGAATGTACGTCAAAATGCTGCTCATGTGGGAATCTAAAATTCAAATTGATGGTGGAGGCAACAGCGATGTTGGCACGTCTCTACTTGAAGCTAGAAATTTAATTGAGCTAAGGGTATGCAGTTGACATTATCTTGCATATATATTAATCAATCTCGTCCCTCAAAGGTCATGGAATATTTGTTACCTGTCTTGTGGCAGAAAAATTCTGCTATCTTATCAAATGCAGACTTGGGGATTTACGGTCAAGGTCTTCTCAAATTGTCTGGTCACGGTGTTGCAATCAAAGGCCAACGACTATTTCTGTCATTATTTTACAACATCACTGTAAGGTTTTATCTCCTGTTCAATGAAAATCATGCATTTTCTTCTAGATTAGACAGAAGTTTATAGCTCTCTTTAATCTTGTTTGTCATTATTTTATTTAATCGAAAGAATGTTACATATTCACCAGACAGTTAAGCATTTTGTCACGAATCTTCATATATCAGTGGAAAAATTTATTAGATTCCCTTGCTGACTTGGAATGTGGGATTTAGCCATTTTGAATTCTTTAAAGATTGGTTCGTTAATATGGGGATTATTATCGCACTTGTGATAAGATATATTAGTTTCGAGCATGGTAGGTTTCGAGAACTATCTCTAGTCAACTTATGAAGTGTGCATATTTTTCTTTTTGCTCCTCGAGAGATAGAAGGATAGGCGGAGGGACGAAAGGAGGAAGGGAGCAAGGGAGGGAGAGAGGCTAGTAAACATAGACATCGTGCAGGGTGTTCAGTTCATGAATTGGTTTCACTTTCAACTATTGTGCATAGATCATGGCAAAGAAATAGGTGATGGAAGCTGATGTAAAAGACTTGGAGGTATGAGAGATCGTACAAAGCATAAGAAGATACCTGATCACTTTGCCTGGCAGTGGAAATGCTGTGAAGTGAGCTCAAAGAAGGGTTGCATTGTTTGAAGGAACTGGGATAACTCATGGAGGACGACAGAATGGATGAGCCAAAAATATTTCTAAATATAATTCGTATTGAAAATATGAAAATTTAAGTTTGACATGTGGAAGAAACAGAGAGTGAACCCTCTTACAGCTTAGTGACCAACATCTTTAGTAAAATAAAGAGCACCGTGCACAAGTATTAACACTTCTATCTTGAAGGTTCGACACATGAAGAGGAACCAACAATAAAAGATATAACGATCAATGTTTAAATGTAAATTTTACAATTTTATTTTAAAATTATATCTACCAAGCTGTAATATATTTCTGCCTGAAATATCTACCAAAAGGCACAAACACTAGACTTTTTTCTTGCGATTGAAGGTAAATTTTTTCTATGGAGTTTTGGGCTTCTTAAGCTATAAAAGTCAACTCATACGTTAAACGCTAAAGGCTTCTATTACTTCAAAATTGACGATTTTGAATCTCCTTTGAAGGTTTATAAAGTGTTCAATGATCTCCTTGTAGCTCAAGTGCGCCCTCAAAGCTTGTATCAACATTCGCAACTCTTCTGGGTGTTTTCTTTTAGTCTTTAGTTCAAATTTCATTGTCTTGTGCAAGTTTATCGTTGAACAGGGCTTGCAATAGTCTGAAAAGGTCCTGTTAGCACCTAAGGGAAGAAAAATTGGAATCAGTTAGAGCAACTTGGTGGAAGAACCAAGGAAGGGCTTCAGAAGTGTTCCCTCCCGGAAGAAATTCTGCCTTTTTAAACTGAAGAAATTCTGCGTCCGCTTGCTGTCTTAAAAATCTACACGAATTAAAACTCCCTAGTTCTCTCCTAAATTTGAGAAGCCTTCAATGTGAGTTAGTCAACAAAATGGTGACACCACTGGTTTCTAGTGTAGGGATAAGCAAGGCTTCCCTTGATTTTAAGGATATTCACACATGTATCATATCTTAAAAGTTGGCAACATTTTTTGCCTTTTGTGATGATCGATTACTTTTTATTTGCTTTCCCTTTTTCTTTATATGCACTGCAAATGAATGCATATTCTTGAATCACCAATTTTATCTTTTAGTTTCGTGATTTAGAGTTCTGATATGTAATAATAGGCACAGTAATGCCACTCGATATTCAATATCTGATCATCTGTTTAAGATTCCTTAATGAGTTGATCTAATCTGTCAGAATGAATTTTCTCGACTCAGATGGAACCTGGCACCTTGCTTCAAGCTCCGTCAGATGATGGTATTGGAAATATTCCGTAAGTGTGAAATTGAGCCAAAAGACACGGTGCTTGATTGAATGGAGGCTTCACTACCATTTGGTAAAGTTACTGACTTTTATTATGATGTAGGGGAACTCAATCTCTCTGTGACAGACAAACATGCCCCAAGGAACTAATACTGCCTCCAGATGACTGCCAGGTGAATAGCTCCTTGTCTTTCACACTTCAGGTAAGACATAATCTCCTCCGTAAATTATTATTTATTTGTTTATCTCTGTCTAGGCCATTTAAAAGGATCTTCTAAGTTCTATTCTTACAGTTTCTTCATGAATTATCGACCTTTTTTCCTCTCTTCATATTCAGCTGTCCTCAAAATCATCATTTTCTGCATAACATTATCTTCATGAATTACGGAGGTCCAACAATAATATAGGTTACCTCTAGCACTGGTGGTTCAGGAGTCACTTAGGGTAATTTTACTTTCACATTTAGCCTAATAGCCTCAAATAAGCAATCATTTCGCCCTGTATCTGGTGATTTATGCTCTGGTTTTCAGGGATATATAATTTCTGCATGATCTCATGTCAAGATAACCTTTTATATAGTCAATACCGCACCATTTTTTCTCCTTTGTGAGTTCTATGCTACTTGAATTTTTTCTGCACATTTTAGCGTTTCTTCTTCTAGTTTCGAAGTTTGGGGACGGTACAATGTTGTCTTATAGGAGTGAATTCCTTTAAAAATGCACAGGTTTCACCTGAATTTTCAGATTTCTAGTTTTATGTTCTACATTATGGAATAGTATGGACTAACTCATTAGTTTAGATTAGTCAACTTGATCTAGAGAATTGTACAACCTTATGTCCTGGCAATTTAGGTAAGTCGAAGAATCGCACTTTATTATCATGCTTCACCGTATCAAATTTATCCTCTATGGTTTTGTTGATGTTAGGATCTTTCTCTTTCACTATATTATGTTGAAATATTATAATCCAGAAGATTCTATGAATAATTATTTATCTTTCTTCTCCAACAGGTAGTTACCAAAAACTTGCTTTCATAAGATGGCCATTTGAATTACGATTTGGACTCTATCACCTTTTTCCTATTATGTTCAGGGTTTGGATCCATGTGGGTTCATGATAGCTTGACGTTATTCTGATCTTAAATGCCCTCTCCAGGATGTCTAGTAAGAAAGGTTGGAGATGACAATCTTAAAGTTAAAATGAGTTCAGACGACTAAAGGATTACATCTTAGGTGCTTTCTATTCCTGCATCAACGTGATTAAATTGTGGTTTGAAGTTCCTCACCACGCAATCACTGGTTCAAATGCCACTAGTATTGATGCACTAACATTCTCATACAAAAAAAGATCAATAATATCCTGATGAACATTCAGTGTGATTCATAATCTAAATGTTTTAGTTTTACATCCAAAATTCCTCTGCTAGTCATTCGCTTCCAAGAAAATATTGTGTGCAATAAGCTAAAAATTTTAATAAGTGTTGCCATTATCCACGAACTGTAACAAAGTTGTTCAGTTTATCTCTTACCCATAGCCAAAAGCTAACTGAAACATTTGTTGCCAGGACATTAATTTATGGATAATCAACCAGAACTATTAATCATTCAACGCATAACCTTTTAACAATCTCTTTTTGAAACATTTTTTACAACAAAGAGTCGATTGCCAACAGGAAAATGTAGATGATATTATTTTAAATATTCAATTAAAGATATGAATAGTGAGATTCTACATTTAGGTCCAAATCATGCCAAAAGACGATTTCTTCCGCATTCAAAAATATCCCCAAAAGAGCAGTTACAGAATTAAAAATGCAGAGATACTTTGTATAACTAGTATGAACAAAAGTACATTACGTATATGTGCCAGACGGATCTTGCCAACAGGGTTTGAATGAATCATAAATGCTAAAAGGTTCCAAAAAATGACAGATCATCGGGATGTAAATTAAATGATTTCTTGTTAATTAGAATTGGATTGTGAGATAAATTAAATAAAGCATTCTTCTTCGAGAAGTCTTATATCAAGGTAAAAATGGTGAATCCGCTGTCCATCATATAAGAAATGCGTCTATTAATTATGTGCTTCAAAACCTAAAGGATACAGCTTGATAGGTAGATCTAGTGAGCGGTAAATACCCCGGCTAAGTGGTCAAAGGCAGTCGTTAAAGGCTTCTAGTTAGATAACACTCGTCATTGTCAGCATCAGTAAATCCTCAGACAGTGAGGCACCGGGCATTAGCACAAACCATTGTTTCTGTAGTGAGATGTTATGATCATGTTTCTATCCATTGTTGTAAGATTATTCTCTATAAGTATAACCGTGAGTCTTTACTGAAGTCCATTATACGAGGATGATTCTCTCTTTAAATAGTCAATATATGATTTGTCCTTGTCCAATCAATGAAGTAAAATGTTGATGTGTCTGTGACAATGATGTTGATGATGGCGATGATGATGATGCAGCACATCGATGAGGGTAACAAGAATCTTCTATAAAGATAATGCATATGCTTTAATGGACTGTTGAGGAGAAAAATCGATCTGAATCCTACCATTCATATGTTGTTTTATTTCTTCTGCCTGGCCTCATATTCGAATATTTTATTACCTTACATTCATGTTTCCCGTTTCCTTTGTACACGAACAAATGGGTAGCATTTTCATGCTCGAAATAAAATCTGCTGATCTTCTTGGTTTTATTTCGTTGTTAAATTTTCGCACGGTGCTAAACTATAAAAGAAATTAATTTTTCATTTTTGCAGATTTGCCGTGTGGAAGATGTTACTGTTAGTGGTACTGTTAGGGGAAGTATTCTGCATATTCATAGAGCAAGGACTGTCATTATTAAATCAGATGGCTTGATAAGTGCGGCAGCATTAGGTGGGGACAACTTTCTGGAAGGAAGCTTGCTAGATTATGTCATACTTAGAAATTTTGTTCTTATTATGACGGCAGAGTGATTAAACTGTTAATTTTTTTGTGGTCTAATGTTTGGTTTAGATGAAACGTATGGCTACTCTCTCTAAGCTGCTGGTGGTGTTTTGGTAGGTTGCAAGGGGGGCGTTGGCGAAGGAAAATTTCTAAGATATGGTGCTGGTGGAGGTGCTGGTCATGGAGGGAAAGGCGGTTCAGGTTTCTACAATCGTACATTAGTTGAAGGTGGCAGAAGCTATGGTGATGCCAACCTTCCATGTGAATTAGGAAGTGGAAGTGGCGGTTCCAATGAGGTACCTAAGCATGTTGCTGGAGGGGGCATGATAGGTAAGCCTTATAAATCATAATTTTGTTATTTGTGAAAGTATTTTAATCTAATTTCTTGTTTGGATCACATTTTTTTTTACTTGGTAGCAAGGTATTTATAAAGTCATGCAGGGATATACTCAGCTAAATAATTTTTTTGCAGAATACTGCATCAATCTTCATATGAAGCGCTCTTAGCTTTCTTTGAGGCCAAAATTTATCAGATATCTCTTGTTTAGATGCTCATATGGCTGAAATGTATTACGCAGTCTAAGTTAGCCTACTCATTATACCTTTGCTAACATGATCGGGAATGAAACATTAATGACTTTAGTTGTACAGTTTTTCATTTAGTAGACTTGTTTAAAGCTTTAAATTTAAGTAGTTATGTTTTCGTGCTGTCACCGTCTCAAATATTAGAAATTTTCTGATATTATGGAAAGTATAATCTGCATTCTTTTTGTGGGAAAACGTGTAATTAGGAGTTAGTTTATGTTGGCCCGTTTCCTAGGTTGACAGTTTCCCAGTTGGTCAGTTTCATTAGCCTAGGTAGTTTCCATTTCTGTGGTCAGGGTAATTGCATATAAGCAGAAATTGTTCAATAAAGTGAGAATTAGAATATATTTTTCTTGACTGTTTATCCTTTTATGATCTGCATCTCTTTTGTTTATCTTGTCTAAAAAACAAAACAACTTCCAGCTATCTATGCTAAAGTTGCCGAAATGAAATGATGTACCATCTTGTATCTTGGGGTTCGCTCATTTGATTTTACATTTCATTGAAATAGTCAATGAGAAAGAAGAAAAAATTAGAGCTATATATCCATAAATGCTATATTTCCTTATATACAAGCAACTGTGCAGAAAAACTTGTAGATATGGTATTATTTTAGATGCAATGGATTGATGCTCCCTGTGACGTTCATAGATAATTTTCTCTCTGGTAGCCTTACAACCATTTCCCATGTTATACCGAAAGAATTTGACTACTGAGAGGCCAAAATGTCTCCATCAGATTTGGTATAAATTTTTCCAGCTTGTGACAAGAAATGCTACAGTAAAAAACGGGGGACATCATTTTGTTTAGGGATATAATTCCAATTTATATATGGTTCATGCACTAAAAAAGTTTAATCCCTGATTTATTTTTTTATCTCCCCTTGACATGATAATGCGTAGGGACAGCATAAATAAGACTCAAACACCAACCTAATAAACATTTATAATTCCTCACATCCGTCGGATATGCCTCACTTCAGTTCCCCATCTCTTGTTGACCATAGGGTAGCTACTTCTCTTTAGGAACTGAGGTTTGTTTACTTACATGGACTGAAAAATCGCTCAGGAGAGGGGAGAGGCGAATGGCAGCCCGCGATTTGTGAGCAATAATTGAGTGCCTTCAGTATCTATGAAAAAAACCTTTAGAAACGAGGGTGAAAATCTAACTTTACTAAATGGCATATAAAAGACTCGTCATTAAGAACTCGATCTTTTTGTGAACCTCCATTGATCTTGGGACGGTTAAAATCATTGGCTTCGTTTCGAGATTAGTGATAAAATCCATATAGGTCCAAATTAAGGTCATAGTGATTAATTCGGAACCGAGTAGGTGGGTCAATTTATGATGGTCTTAGGTGATATTAACCGGACCTAAGAACACACTACTATGCAGCATGGCAGAGATTTTTTCTTAATGAAGTGCTGGAAAGATTTTTTCAGAACTTTGCATTCTAGATAAACTTGTTTAATCTTGGACCTGAAAACTGTTGATGAGGGCTTTCGTGTCTAGCTCGTCTTCATCACCCCTTGGTTCACATGTCTGAGGTTGGATCCTAAAATTAAGATAAAATGTTTCTCTTCATTCTAATTACAGACAGTGTTCTCACCAGATGAGTCGTCAGCATGGATGAGGGGTTTGATGGAAATGTATTTCCAGAGTTCAACCAATCAAAACAATTGTTGCAGTCTTCAAATTTGAAATTTTCCTCCAAATCATCCTTCTACTAGTGGATGTCACAATTTTAAGAGACGATTTTTTGGGTTTTATGTGTTTTAGTCCCTGCTGTTGTTCAGTGGGGTAGGCTCTGGTGCCGTTTTGTAGGTGATGTGAGGTTCAATTTTTGTTTCCAAATAGTGAGCATGTGAGACTCTCATAGTCAGGCACCTTATGATATCCCTATTTTTCATGAAAGCACTTGTCAGATAACAGAAATCGCCAATTTTTCTTAATATATGTTGCATAGATGACAATACCTCTTGTTTTCTTTGGGATGCTACTTCTTGAAAAGTGTGTTGTAATCACTGGGCGCATCAGGTGTATTTCTGTTTATCTAAGATGCGTGCTCATGGGTCTGTGTGTGAGGGCTACAATTTTCATCTCCATGCTTTTTCTTTACTGTAAGGTGGTTCATAAATACCTTCATAAAAAGTTCCATCTTTAGTTACAACTAGAGACGTGGTATCAATGTCGTTGTGGTCGTTTTCCTTTGACATGCTGGTAACATCTGTTCTAGTTGATTGCCTGTGATAGACTACAAGACATTCTATAAGCAACATTCGTGTTTACATGATTAAATTTATCACTTTTAAATTTTTTTGTTCCTGATATTTATATGGATGTCTCAGTGATCGGTTCTATAAAGTGGCCGCTCTCTCGATTAGAAATCCATGGAGCTCTGACTGCAGATGGTCAAAGCCACGTACAAGCAACAAGGTTCAATGAAGGTACTTTGATGGGAGGTCTGGGAGGAGGTTCTGGCGGCACAATTCTTCTCTTCCTTCGAACATTCGTGCTTGGGAAGCATTCATCTCTATCCATAACTGGTGGAAAGGGTGGCCCACTTGGTGGTGGTGGTGGTGGCGGTGGGAGAATTCACTTTGATTGGTCTAACATAGCCACTGATGATGAATATGTTCAGATTGCAACTGTTAATGGTATAATCAATGCAAGGTACGAAACTGTTATTATAACTCAAGGACATCCAAGGAACGAACACGATCTTGTCCTGAAGATTTTATTTTCCTGCATGTGTAATTGACGTGAAGCAATGTTACTAGAGTAATGCATTTTGGGCATAGTTTTCTTGAGTGATGAAGTTTATTTTAGCCTGTTGATTTTGTTTCTTTTTGCATATCATTTATTACTTTTCGTGACTTTGTGCATATGTAGCTGTGTTTCAAATATCTTTATTTTCTTTTGGTCCATTTCCTCGATGGACTATTGAACCGTAACATTTCATGCTGAAAGAAATAATCAACGAATACATAGCACTATGATGAAAAGCTCGCATTGTATTATGCTGCAGCATTCAAGAACAAAGTCACATGATCAGCCATTGGATAATTATAGTGTCTTGCGGTTTCACTATTCATTTTCTCACACAAGAAATGTTGCTAAACTTTTTAATTGCTGAAAGATGCCATTTGCATTAATTTTAGTAACCTTGGAGAAATATGCATCATTTTCGTTAGTTATCTGCGAAGAAACCTGTATTATTTTAGGAGTGAGAATTGCTGCGATGTCAATCCACAGTTTAAAAAGGCTAAAATAGTATCCTGACTGATAAATATTCTCTTAAACTAGCAAGGTTTTGGAAGATGCTCATGTCTCTCGTATAAGTGAGCTGTTTGTATCGCATGTTATTCACTATTATATCACAGCTTTATTACCTTCTTATTCTTCACTGTAACGTTTTTCGCATGCCTTTGAAAATAATTTAATGTGACGTAAACAAATTAATGTCTACTTTTCTCTACTTTTTATAACCAATGAATCTGCTTTGATATTTGGGTTTTGTTCTTTCAAGCTCATACCCTGGCCACGTATACATTCAACAAGTCTTCAAGGTGATGATAATTTAATTTAATTTTCCTTTAGCAAGGGAGGTAACCCTCAGCTTGATTATCGATTCAGATCCAAAATATCAAGAATTGCTCAAACCTTCTTGTGTTGGGAGAGTGTTGGGCGAAATAGGTAAAATACAAATAGTTTATTGACACTTGACGGCTAACTAAAAGTAAAAAATAATGAAATACACAAAAGAGAAGTTAAATATTGGTTTTCAGTCATAACCTTGAAATGGAATTTAAAAAGAGTGTGTGTATGATATTAGGTTCTACAAAAAAAAATTGAATATCAGAAAGAAACAGGGTGCAACAAAACAATCAGGCATGAACATGATGTTGTGGGAAATTGTCATCTTCACCTGAACCAAGGGAACCAAGAGCTTAAACCATCTTACCAGTTTCTTCAATTTTTCATGCGTTCACAACTTTAACTTGGTTCTTATTTCTAACTTGCCTGAACTGCAGGTGCCTAAACAATATTTGTTGAGCCTCCTAGATTTTTTTGAACTCTTCTGGTGTCTCAATAATTTGGACTTCCATGCCGAACCTCTAGTTTATAATATCCTCTTATAAAAATTATTGAAACATACTTGACTTCCTAAATAATCCTTTCCCAAGTGCTATAGCCAGTCTTCCTGCTGTCCTAGGAGGAACTAACTTAAATGTACTCCAGAGTATACAAGTATATATGAAAGGATTTCCTTTTTTCCAACTAAAATAAAAATAGTACAAGATGACCATATAGATTCCAAGTTAAAGGTTCCAAGTCTAAGAAACAATCTCGAGTCACAGTGAATTACTTTATTAATAGGGTACACAGAATGGATGATATTTTGAAAGGAAAGTATTATTTTTTATTAAGTGTTTATTTGTACCTACTATTGTAGTCCAATTTTTTACTTACGGATTGATGTGCAAGAGTCAGTTAATAGTTTTGACGAAGACATTTTTTTGATTAACGTCGATTATAAGCTTTTGTTTGGTGACATGATCTTATTTTGATACTTGTGTTGTACACTTTCTTTGTTGCTTATAGTGCCCGTTATGTCCCAGGGTTTTATGCAAAATGTTATTTATTTGTTTCTAAATCCTGACACAGTGGTGGAGCTGGGAGCAATGGTGGTTATGATGGAGAAGAAGGAACAATCACAGGAAAGGCGTGTCCAAAGGGACTTTATGGAACATTTTGCAATGTATGCATTTACTATATTTCCAATTTTTGGCATTAAATTCCGGTATATCTTTTGTGCTCATAGGTTTAATTAAAGGAAAACTAAATTTAACCCATTATCAACTAAATATTCATTCAATGAGTGACATTTCTGCTTGTCATGATAATGGTACGGAATATTTTTGTTGCATAAAAATCTAGATTCTATTTAGAACTGTTCAGATTGTAAGGGAGAAGTAGACTTGGATTTTCATGTCCTGATGGCAGTTGTATATTTACAAGAAGCTTCATGTGTTTGGATGTCAACGATATTAGCTTTTCCCTTTCAATAGGCAGATTACTTGGGGATTTCTTTGTTACCTCAGACGTGACTTTGCCGACAGATCTTCTGCCAACGCTTGTGGCAATGCTTATGATCATCTTACTTGGTTTTCAGGAGTGTCCAGTTGGTACATACAAAGATGTTGTTGGTTCCGACCCGTCTCTTTGCAACCCTTGCCAGATAAATTTTCACCCCCATCGAGCACATTTTATATATGTACGAGGTAATTCATTCAAAGACCAATACCTTAGTTACCAGCTTAAGGGAAATTTCCTTGAATTGGATACAGAAGTTTTTCCACATTTTGGGTTATATTTTGTTTTACAAAGTAATCCTTTCTGTATCTGACAAAGCTAGTGCTGCAGGAGGTGCTACCCAGCCTTCATGCCCATACAGATGCTTCTCTGAAAAATACAAAATGCCGAAGTGTTATACACCTTTAGAAGAGCTTATTTATACATTTGGAGGCCCGTGTCCCTTTTCGCTTGTCATATTATTTTCTTTGCTCGTACTGGCTCTTGTATTGAGTGTGTTGAGGACGAAATTTATTGGAGCCGATTTTACCTATCAAACAGATAGTTCCATTCGAGCCCATGGTCCTCATACTTTTCCATACCTTTTATCCCTGGCCGAGGTATGTTGGAGGACGAATTACCTTTCCCATATCTGATTGATCCTTTCTGTAGATTATTAGGTGCAAAGATATTTTAATTGTCTTGTTTGCTAGAATCTTATAACGTAATAACCTTGTGCTGCCTTATCTGAATGATTTACAATGCCAAACATAAACAGGTACCAGATACCAGCTGGGCAGAAGAAACACAAAACCATGTTCACAGATTGTACTTTATGGGTCCCAATAAATTTAGAGAACCATGGCATCTTCCTTATTCTCCACCGGATGCTATTATCAAGATTGTGTAAGATCTTTTCTCTTTTTTTACTGAATGAAGTTCCATTCAAAGCACCTGATACGTATCTGGACACTGCTGTGTGCATCCTGCTGCTTCGTCATTTTTAGCTGTGTTACATATACCCATACTCGATGTGTTCGGCCTATCATAATAGAGTTTGACTCACAAACCAACTGTCTTATTCTTTTTATGTGCGTTTTCTTTCTCACTATATGATTGCTTAAGTGTTCACCATCCTGAAGATTGATTCCATGCCTTCACAAACATAACTCATCTAGACGTCTCACTGATGTTTTATTAGGCATTTTGAACTTCCGGTTGGGTTCCAGATTTGTGGTATAAAATTCCCCTGCTTTCCTTCTTGTTTTATGTCTAGTGAATCTGAAAACCATACTAACGGCCATTTTTGTATGGGTGGTAAGCATTCAAGTGCTTGTGAGATAATTTCACTAATATGACTGTATGTTGAGGATAATTACTTGTTTTCAGCTCGAATTCTCAATGTTCTAACCATCTCGCATCCTAAAGGAAACTTCATACCCAACCGTATCTCATGTGTGGTAGTCGATGAAGAATCGGCTGTGAAATTATGTGTGGTTGAATATTTTCTCTTAAGCATACTGTTGCTTTGCCATTATCATAAATATTTATTTTACATATTTACCAAATTTTGGAGGCTGGCTGGTTTTTTGTGAATGTTGTCCTTTCTAGTTTTCACATTCCAAGATCTTGTACAGTTATAATAGCTTATATCCCAGTGCTTAACAATTTTTAAGCCCTCCATGCGAGAAGGTTTATATCTATATGATGGTCGAGGTTTTGCTGCTAATCTGGAATTTTCATCAGTCTACATGCCTCTGGATTTATGAAATCAATCTGTGCTGATATTGGCATAATGATCTCTTGTTAATGCGAAATAATAGCTGGATTAACAAGATTGTACTAACAGAACCGTATTTGTTAGACACATTTTCGTTTTTCATGCTGTCTCGTGGGCCATCTTTTCACCATCCAGACATGTGGATAGTTTGAACAATGGCCATCATCCAAACGTGTAGCGCTCAAAAACTTAGGTGGCATAAAAGAATATTCTTGACTGCTTTTAAACTTGCTGTTATCTCTTCATGGTTTCCTCTTTTCTTCGTAAGAAGTATTGAATCTTTTGGTTTACATCAATAGGTATGAAGATGCTTTTAATCGATTCATTGATGAGATAAATTCAGTTGCTGCCTATGAGTGGTGGGAAGGATCAGTACATCGTATACTTGCAGTGTTGGCATACCCTTGTGCCTGGTCTTGGAAGCAATGGCGCCGAAGAAAAAAGATTCATGCTCTGCAGGAATATGTTAGGTCAGAATATGACCACTCGTGTCTTCGTTCGTGCAGATCACGAGCGCTTTACAAAGGAATGAAGGTTTGCTCTTCATAGTTTATCCTTTCCTCTCTCTATTCTACTGATCATTGTAGTCTCTTGTTAAACTTTCTTTCTACTATTGAAAGTTTTTTCCTTCAAAAATCTTCATATCTGAATCGGAATATGTCCTAAGATCAACAACGAGACATTTCAAGACAATGCCTGAGATTCTTTCAAAGAACTTGCATCGTCTCATTAGGTAGTGACATTTTCAAGAGTTCTCTGAAATTTCTCTAAAAGATAGACTAACTTGTTGCCGAATATCCATTTGCTTGCTCTTCTTCTTCTCTTTTACCCAAAAGATATTTTCCTTCAAACTTTCGCTGCCTATCACCCAGACTCTCCTCTTTACTGGTAAATCAAGCTTGTGTTATGTGGTTCTGCAGCCGATCCACTGTGTATTATCTCACATTACTTCAAAATGGTGTTGTTACAGAAGCTCTCTTAGCGCTTTCTCTCAGCTTTGGGCAGTCTTGATAAGGACTTGGGATTTCATGAATCTGGCTTCATTTATCATTAGCATGCATTCACAAGTTCGTGAAAACGTCAAGGCGTCAGAGTGACAGATCCTCATAAAGTCATTTTTTCTACCACCTGTTCACCCATTAAATCTACGATCAGCTTTATCCCACCAAATCCTAGTAAATTATTCCGAAGGGTATAATATCATGTCTTATCATTTCACGAGTCATCTTTATCTTTAAAGTACACCCCGTTACTTTTTCATTTTCGTCCATCAACTACAGTTTTTGTCTTCTGCTTTTTTAAAACCTGAAAAAATTTGGAAATTAGATCTCACATTAGGTGCTCATCCTCTTTTTCTAATTACTTTCTTCTGTTCTAAACTTTCTCTCATGTAGCTTTGAGCCACATTATTCCTCATTTTTTTGCCTCTAAAATGTCTCCTATTTACGCATCTGATGACTATTTCTTATTATCTTACCATCTGTCCAACTTAATGTGACCATGCTAGTAATTCTAGGATATCAAGTACGATTTCTTTTAAGAACTCGTACTCTGATATATCAGAGTACGAGTTCTTAGGAGGAATCCTACTCTGACATACATACGCCTCTGTTTTTATGTATCAAGTACGAGTTCTCTCTCTCTCTCTCTCTCTCTCTCTCTCTCTCTCTCTCTCTCTCTCTCTCTGTTTTTATGTATCTCTCTACGGAAAACGATACTTGAAATTAGATTTTCTTCCTTTAATGCTTTATCTGCAGACAGATTAACAGATTTATTTTTCTTTATTCCCTTTAATACCGTTGGCTTCAATAATCTTAAAACCTACAGAAACTTTTCGTCATAGTATCAATGAATCTTTTGATGCGAACATAAATGTATGCACTGGAATCAAAGTCTATTAAAACTATACACGAAATAAATTATTACGACTGCAGTCCTCTCATCAAGAATCAAAGGGTAATCTTCGATGTGGAATAAATTATGATTTTTTCATAATGATCGGTTGCTCTTTTAAACACATTCGTAATGGCGTGCATATAGATTCTTTAATAATGTTGGTCAACTGCTATTTCCAACTGGTATACATATGCTTTTGCCTCCGTACCAAGAGAAATTGTGCGCAAATCCTCTTTTATTTTTTCGAATTTCCTCTGTCAACTAAGTAAGATACTAACCTAAATACTCATATATCCGTCATATCAATTGAGACGAATTTTATCAGTGCTCTTACCGTTCGCCTTAGTATCTTCTATCGATTTCTGTTTTCTTACAACTCGCTGGTTTGTCATCCACGCAAGTATTGAAACCTAAATTTTGGTGCTTCAACCTAGGCAATTGCATTGCATTGCTCCCTGGATATAGCTCGACTACGGCGCTTTTGCTACAGACATATAGCGCTATTGTTTCATCTTTGAGGCCGCAACCAGTGAATAATATGTTGGATTTTCTAATTATTCACCTTCTCCATCATTTCTAGTGTACATCTGATTACATATTCGTGATGCCTGTCGTCGTCGTAGAACCGTCATTGGATTATATTGGGCGTGCTCTATCAGTTCCCCATCTCAACCAGTGGAATGCAGGTCGGCTCTACCCCGGATTTGATGGTCGCATTTATTGATTTCTTCCTGGGTGGTGATGAGAAGCGAGAGGATGTCGCCGCCTCAATCCAGCAGAGATTTCCACTGTGCGTCATCTTTGGCGGAAATGGAAATTTCATGTCCCCATACTATATGCACGATGATACACTCCTGAGGAATCTCATTGGCCAGGTAATTTTCAGTATTCCACGAAAAAAATTCACGGCCCTATTTTTTCTTTGATTCTCATTCTATGACCAGCATGTGCTAATTCCCGTTCTTATCCCCAGTATGTACCTGCGCCAATCTGGAGCAGATTCATCGCTGGTCTCAACGCTCAACTAAGGACGCTTCGGCAGACGAACATTCACTCCGGACTCAATCTGCTTCTTGCATGGATTTCTAGCCATGCAAACCCCCGACTCGATTGTCACGGGGTTAAAATCGAACTGGGTTGGTTCCAGGGTACAGCATCTGGTTACTACCAGCTTGGCATCCTGGTTTCCGTGAACGACTCTTTTATCCTCCATATGCACCATCAAGTTCTCGGTGCAACCAGCCCTGAACGCCCCAGGTATTTCATAGCGATTCACATAGCATATTAGTTGACGCAGTGAATATTTATGGAGAGTTCTCTGGATCCCCGTTTTCCCTAATTACTATCTTTGGGAAAATCTTATTTTCCAGGAGAGGTTCGTCATCTCCTCATAAGTCTCTCGTGCGGCTTCAGCAAAATAATCCACCCATCAGCCAAACAGGCTCCCGTAGACGAACCACTGGAGGCGTCAACGGCACGATTATCAGTGAAGCGACCTTAAGATCATTGCAATGCAAGAGAGATTATCTTTTTCCTTTTTCTCTGCTCCTGCAAAACACCAGGCCCATTGGTATCGATGTAAGTGCCTTCCTTTTCTTAAGTGCCACTGTTTATAACAACAATTTGGAAGGAATTGTAGCCTGATTATTATGTTTGCAAATTTATCTAGAAACTTGTCATCGTTATAGTTCTTATAAATTGAGACTTTTTTATTCTAGTTTACTTTTTTCTTAAATTTATAAAGAAACTCTAAATGAATAAAGTTCAAATAGTACCTAGTCTTATCTTACCTTTCTCCTCGTGACGTTGCGCTGACTGCGTTCTTTTCCCGTTTAGGAAACGCTGCAGCTGCTCATATGCGGCATGCTATTGGGCGACATTGTGGTCACTCTTCTAATGCTGCTTCAGTTCTACTGGATTTATCTGTGGACTTTCCTTGCTGTGCTGCTGATTCTTCCCTTGTCGCTGATCTCCACCTTCCCTGCTGGCCTGAATGCCCTTTTCAGTCGAGGGCCTAAGAGATCTACCCTCGCCCGTATCTATGCACTCTGGAACGCCTCATCCCTATCAAACGTGGTAAGTTCTTGGCGGATTACTCTGTAGGTCGAATTCGTCGATGAACTTTTTAAGATTTTTATGAAGCTTCATGATTTTCGCTCTCAAGTTTAATCACTAACTGCTTGTCTTATATTTTATATAAAAAAATTCAGTCAATTTCTATTTGAAGAAGGTTTCCGTTTTGAATGTTAACATATGAAACATACATACATGAACAAAAGATATTTTACCTAAAATACTAAAGAAAAATTCATCCTGTCGCCTGTTTATTTTATTCCAGAAACTGAAGAAAAAAATTATTTACTGAAACGTCTTTATTTTATTTTGTCACATATGATGGATTAAGCATGACATCATCAAGAAATGTCGACCAGTTGGAATCATTGGCTGAGTCAGCATATCTATTTTTTTCTAGTCAACCTCTTCCCCTTCCTGAGAGAACATCTCCGATTATGGTGACATTATCCAATCAAAAAAGCTTCAAATTACTTGAAATGGAATTGTACGCAGGAACCAAGGATCACCCATTTATAAAAGTGCATATTCTACCCTTCTTAAGCATCTCTATATTCTCTCACTCATGTGAACGTATTCTTTATGCAGTCTGTGCTATATAAATCTATAGTTAATTAGTTAGTTAGTTAGTTAGTTGTGGCAAGTTCTAAGATGGATCCTCATTCCATTGCAGGCCGTGGCTTACTTTTCTGGGATTATTTTGTACGGATTTTCACCCTCTGAAGCGCCTTCTGAGGGTCATTCATGGAGCATCAGGTCAGTCTCGTCCTCTTCCCCCAGCCTCTTCTCCACACTCGAAATAGGGAAGAAACCTCACTCGGCCTCCGTTACGATTCCGATAGAGCTGGTGATGTCATTAATGGTGGCTGCTAGGGCTCTCGAGAATTTCTTGGCATCTCCATAGTCAGAAATAGTAGTCGCCACCATCCCTTGAAAAAAATAAAAGCCGCCCAGTGTCTTTGATTGGTCGTGCGCGAGAAGTAATAGTGGTAGTCGCCGTTGGGAGGAGAAACGTTTGTCCGACGCATAACAATAACGTATGATGGTTTCTTCGGCTTCTTACACGCGATCTCATCTCATCTTATCTCGACAGGGAGGATAACGCGTGGTGGGCCCTGCCGACGGTCCTGGTCCTGTTGAAATCGGCCCAAGCCGGGCTCCTCAACTGCCACGTCGCGAACCTGGAGATCGATGACCGCTCTCTCCTCAGCGGCGACCCCGACGCCTTCTGGGGCCCTGCTGCTGTTGCTGCTGCTGCTCCCCACAGCACACGCTGTTGAATAGACACCCACTCGGACTTACGACGACGAGGTTTTATACGTGATTGTTCTTCTCTATCTGTAAAAATGGCTTGTTTTTTTCGTTTAGATGGGCAGATCATTAGCGCCGGTGGCAGAGACAAGGCCTTCTTGGGGTCCTCATATACACAGGTATCCATACAGATAGCAGCGTATGGGCAGAGCGATGCAGGCAAAGAAAAAACAAAGGAAACGCCCTCTCTCTCTCTCTCTCTCTCACCCTCACTCTCTAACGGCGAACAAATAGATAAATGTGTATATGTATGCAGGTGATTCAATTATGAGGAGACAAATGATTTAACACGACGAATAGTGATGCTCTCTCCGATCTCGAGACGTGTCGTGAATTCGAGCCGACGTCAGCTCGTAAATATCAAGGGTTGCTAGGAGTGAATCTATGAAAGGAAAAAGAGGGGTAAAAGGAGCTATGCAACACGCGTGCGGAGAGCCTCAGGAGACCCTACTAAAGATGAAACAAACATTGAACGAATCAGATTTATTCTCGAAGATCCTCTCGAGAAAAAATAAAATAATAAAATCCCAGCATTAAAATACTGCAGATCCCAATCCTTTACTGAGGTCTACGGTACTCGGCCCTCGGAGATCTTCCCGGAGAGAAGGGGAGGGGAGCGACCTCATGCATGCTACTCTACTCTGGGAGGGGATCAAGAGTAAAAGATTCGAGCTTTTGAACGCTGGAGAATTGAATGGCTATGCTGATTCAGATACGGAGGTGGCGATCCCTCAGGAGAATTGAATGGCTATGCTCCCAAATGAGTTTGTTCGATCTCTCAGGATACGCCGCTTTACACTTGATTTTTTTCATTCTTTTTCTGCATCTTCTAGGAATGTGTGTGCGGTGTTGCAGATTGGGGTCGTCCACATGGCGAGAAAAAGTCCGCAGCTGCCGAAACGGGGACGGCGGTGGTGACTTTGGAGGGTAGAGAGAGAGAGAGAAAGAGGTGATCAGGTATTGTATCATCCCTCTCTAAAACCCCAGCGACCTTGTCCACCGGAGGCGCTCGCTCACCTCTCGCAGCAGCTTTAGAAAAGAGGACAGCGATCAGTCAGTCCAGGACCTAACCGTTGCAGTAGACCCGAAGTAGGAGAAAATCCCACCGCCGGTTTCTGAAAGCGTCGGCGGCGCAATGGCTCTTCCACGGCGAGAGTCGACCTCCACCAGAGGATGCATCTGCAGATGACCGAGGGAGTGAAGTGACTGCCCGAGATTACGATGGTCGTCTTAGGCTCTCTCTGCTCTGTTCCGTGATTTCTTGAAGATCATCAACAACAAGAGCCCCCGCGGAAGCGGGAAGACGCCGCCCGAGAATGATGGCAGCAGCAACAAAGCCAAGAAGGGTAAGCGGCGGAACTCGCCCGCCAACGCGGCGGAGGGGCGGGCTGCTGTCTCCGTAGGAGACTTCCCAGATTTCCGTGGCGGCTTCTGCCGCCATTGTCGCCTCTCCTCGGCATTGACCAGGAACAGCTTTGGCTGCCTCCATCCGCTGAAGAGTGGGGGGGAGATATTTACGATGATACCCCTACGAGCCACCTGAAGAAGGAATGGAAGGAGCCTGCGTCGTCGTCGTGCTCCTCGTTCTGCTGCACTGCGGGAGGAGGCCGTCTCCCGCCTTCCAGATCCCACCACGAGGCGGCGCCACCGGGGGCGATGGCGCCGCCGTCGATGCGCCGGCTGCCGCAGCCTGCGAACCTGAGCGACGAGAAGGAGGAGGAGGCCGAGGAGGCCAGCCGCTCCACGTAGTCCATGAGCCAGCCCCTACTCCCCCCCCCTCCCGCTGCCTCCGCCACGTTCTCCCCTGGCGGCGCCGGCCCGGTCGCGTGCAGATCCTTGCTATGCTCCTTCCGACGCTGCTCCCGCAGGCTCGCCGCGACGGAGGCGACGACGGCGTCCACCTCCTCCTCCACCACGTAGTGGAACGACGATCCCAGCGAGTAGGATCGGGAGTGCGGCGGCCCCGCCGTGGGATCCTCCGGCGTCCTCCGCCGGCTGACGCAGCCGATCTCGACGCGGAAGCTTCCTGACGTAGCATCCCCCGCCAGTACTGCGGCCGGCGCTAGCGGCGGCGCGGGAGGTGGAGGAGGAGGAGGAAAAGGAAGAGGAGAAGGAACCTCCTGGAGGATGGAAGAGCGGCAGAGAGGGCAGGAGAGGCTGGATCGGAGCCAGGTGTCGATGCAGGTGGAGTGGAAGGCATGGCGGCAGGAAGGGAGGAGGCGGAGCTGGTCGTGAGGGTGGAAGCGAGAGAGACAGACGGCGCAGTCTGGAGAGGACTTGGGGAGCGTCGCGAGGGCAGAGGAGAGCGTGAAGAGCGGCAGCGACTCGATCAGATCCTTCTCGCCATCCTCCATCCCCCCGCCGCACGGCGGAGGAGGAGACGCAGCAGGAGCAGCGCCGCCGGCGGAGGCGGCGGAGCCACGGCGGAAGATGACGACCGGCGAGGAGGCTCCGGCGGAGGAAGACTGCTGGGATAGGAAGCGGAGCAGCACGTGGATGGCCGCGGAGACGACGAAGACGAGCACGATGATGCCGGCTACGACGAGCAGGCCGGGGCCGATCCCAGAGCCATCGGTGTAAGAGGTAGCGGCTCCGTCACCGCCACCGCCGCCGCCGCCGCGACTCTGCTGCTGCTCTTCCAGCTTCCTCATCGCTCGCTAGGGTTCCCAGAGATGGCTGGGATGACCACCTCCACACCTCAGAGCGTCCCTCTCTCTGAGCTCTAATGCTGAAGGGACTTAAATTCTCTCTCTCTCTCTCTCTCTCTCTCTCTCTCTCTGTTCCTCACCTCAACCTTCCAGTCGGATATATATAGTACAATGCAGACCCTAGTTATAATATTATTTAAAAATTATACCTCCTTATGTTTATTTTTTCACTCCTCCCCCTCTACGCATCAACTCGATTAGCTCGCCGGGATCTAATTTTTTAATGAAAAACCCTGGATGTTACGATACGCTTCCGGTGGGTCCACGTGGATGCGCGGTCGAAGAGATCTACAACATTTTCCCCAGGCGTTTTTTGTAGTTTTCAGTTTTTATAAGGACGTATTGGAAACAAAAGGGAAGTCCGAGGGTTTAATGCGCCCGTGGTTAAGATGGGGTAGTTGAGGTGGGAAATAATGGGAGGGACACGTGTTTCACAGAGAATGCAGTACGAAGTGCCACGTCAGTGACCCCTCGTTTGAGCAGTTGACGTGGGGCGAAGGGAGTGGGTGACGGAAGGGGGGGACGGGGGGCTCTGGTCTTGTCTCGATTTACTGTGGTAATTGATGCTCCCATCAGGGGTGGATCCCAAAATATATTTTCTTATGGGGGGGCAGATAAAAGATTAGTCTCTTAAGTGATTACATTGAATTGTTTTCAAAAGTATAATTCAGAAGATATCACAATTTAAAAAAAAAAGATTAAGTTTTTAAAAAAAGTCAAGGTAAAATACCTTTTTTAGAATAAAAAGGGTAATTATTATTTAAATTTACTTCATTAGCAGTAAATACGAATATATTTTTATGAAAAAGTATGTATACGCTAGAAGAATGCACAAATATAACGTACTTTACCAAATTTTAATAATATTTTTATCATTTTTACCCAGTTAATTATTTATATAGATAATGGCACTCCAGAATTGTATTGGTGTCTTGGGTGCTCTCCATCATGCCTCGTTGAGAGTAATTAATTATATATCTGCTGGGGTCAGCTTCCTCCAGCTGTTCACTCGGTGGGACTGGTCAGCACCGGGTTGACTGTGAAGCTGTTTGACTTTATCTCTCCAATACCGCGGAGTAGTTGACTTGACCCCATTCGGTCCAGGTGGGGTTGCTGCCAGAATACTTTTTCTCTAGCATCGATCGGCGTGACAATTTATTCATGGCAACGAGCGCCACGTGTTGTGCTGAAGACATCGGAATCCGAAAGCACCACATTTCCGTTCAGAATCGAGTCAACGCCCATCTGGATTCCGGAGTCGACCCGGGCCCTGCTCAACTATCCACAAGCCCAATAACAAGCCAAGGGCCCAGGTGAGCAACCATCCAGCCCGCCGCCCCACCTTAACAGAAAAAAAGCCCATTTTTCAGCTAACATGGAAGAAGAAGAAGAAGAAGAAGAAGAAGCTCCTCCGGTCGAGAAGGTCCCAGTCTGCCATGTCAGCAGTATGTGGGCCCCATTTTCCACGTCGGATGCGGCTTTGAATCATTAACCGGCAGCGCCCAATAACGAGAGGCCTAGTTAAGCAAGTATCCAGCTGGCCGCCCCCTTAACAGAAAAAAGGCCCATTTTTTCAGCCAACCAAGAAGAAGAAGCTCCGCTGGCCAAAATGCTACAAATCTATGACACGTCAGTAAATATATGGGTCCCACTATCCACGTCGCGCTGAATCATCAACTGGCGGCGAGCCCAGTAACAAGTCAGGGGCCAATTTGACCTGTCTGGCCGCCCACTTAGCCACATCAATAATATGTGGGTTGCACTGTCCACGTCGGACCCCATCTCTGAGTCCTCTTAACCGGCGGCGAGTATCCGGCGGAGCTGCCAGGTCCAGGAGTAGACCATGCCGAAGGCGCAGTAGGTAGACACCAACATCAACGGTAGGAAGGGGAGCCGGTCCCCTAGAAGAAGCGGGTGGAGGAGCTGCCCCCATACCTCCACGGCGGCGAAGCCCGCCAGATACCACATCCCGGCGGGCCCCACGGCGGCGGTGGTGGTGGTGGGGACGTCCTCCTGGCTGACCTTGCCGGAGAAGAAGGGGGAGAGGCTGGACAGGACGATGATCGAGTGTATCAGCAGCAGCAGCAGCTTCACAGGGTACTCTTCCGGCCCGAACAGAAGGGGGAACATCGAATAGCAGGAGGCTGCGTCAGAAAAGAGGAGGGATAGTCAACAACCCAGCTATGTTCCTATATATATATATATATATATATATCGAGATCGAGAGAGAGAGAGAGAGAGAGAGAGAGAGAGAGAGAGTTGTGGGGACAAATCCGCGCCAGAAGTTTCCCTCTCTTCGAACTGGGTTTCAAGAACAGACACCAAAAAGTCAAACCCAGTTCCTATATATCGATAGAGAGGTAGAGAAAGTTGTCGGGGACAAAGGTACGGTAGAAGTTTCACTCTCTTTGAACTGGGTTTTCAAGAACAGACACCAAAAAGTCGAACCCAATTCCTTATGCCGATATATATATATATATATATATAGAGAGAGAGAGAGAGAGAAAGAGAGAGAGAGAGAAGCGCCAAAAAGTTTCGCTCTCTTCGAACAGAGTTTAAAGAAACAGACGCCAAATAGTCAAACCCAGCTTCTATGTTTCGACAAAGAGACAAAATGGGGAGAGAGAGGGAGGAAGAGAGGAGGTTTCATTGGTCGTAATGGTCTATGTAGCAAGAAATTTTTGATTATTTTCTACTCGCGACCTTGCAAGAAAAATCATTTTCCGAACAGAATTTAACAATATAAATAAGAACGAAAAAATCATATAAACTTACTCACCTGTTGCCAACAAGAAATAATGCCCCGCATCTTCCAAGCTGTCGGCTGCAATAACCGCCAGAGGGATGACGAAATGAAGCGACGCTTTCTCGTGCACGTGCCAGCCGAATATGAACCCGCACGTGTAAGCGTAAGACACCCATCTCACCACGTGCCTTGGCTCAGGCTTCTTCCATACCCTGACAAGACACGGGGACATTCCGACGATGACAAGCACCAGGCTTACAGCTGGCGTAACCTATCATTTAAGGAAATATTAGAGGATGACAGAATTTTTTTTTATCCGAAGAATAATTTCTTTTTATAGAAATGAAACGAGTGAAGGAAACCTGCGGGAGAACGGCGAAGGGTGAGGAAGAACCGACCAATCCGCCTGTGAAAGAGGCTGAAGGAATCTCAACAGGGTACCCCAACTTTCTAAGGAAGAAGGCCATGAATTTATCGAGAATAATATAAAAGACCCAGAAATTGGGCGCCCAGTATGCGTGGCACAGCCCCCTGCCAAATGGAAACAAACGATAGAAGACCTGTTTCATCTGCAAAAGCATCGCCACGTACTAAGAAGACAGCGTGCATATCTTTGCCACATGAATTATTGTTTATTACTATTATTGCCATACTGGAAAAAAATGTAAGATATCAACATTAAAGAGCAGTAGCTCGTAGTATGTATGCTCTCATGAGACATGGAAGGACAGAGATAAAACTCAATCTTCACTTGAGTAATTATAAACTATAGCAAAGTGGTGTGGGGAGATGACCTGCACAGTCAAAAAATTGATTGAATGTCTTAGGAGAGATGAATACAATCCACCAACTTTGGTGAGCGCTTATTGATCTTTGAAACACCAGAGAATGATAGCCTAGGAAGCAAGACTTTCGTGAGATTATGCAGGAACTTCTCTGCGTATTTCTATAAAGAATAGAATGATTGTGCCTCAATTTTTTCTGATTTATCATACATGTAAGGAGGTCAAGGTAATGTGAGAGTCTGAAAATCTAGAAAAATGAAGGGAAAAAAAAAACTCCCAAGGTTGTACCACAGTGGAGAACGACGAATCTCCCCAGAGATATTGGGAACAAGAAGGAAGAGTTTTTAGGTCTAAGTACAAGAAAATCTTAGTATTTAGCCGGAAAAGAGAATAAAAATAGGCTTGCACACACACTTCTCGAGGAAACAATAATTAAAAAATCCATGTCATCATGACAGAAAAAATAACCAACGTTGAGCTGTGAGTACTTAGGATCTATAGTGGTTCAGCCCTAAAACAGGATGACACATGCACCAAAAAATATCAACCAATGTAAGTTGCCAAAAGCTTCCTTGGGTATTGTGAAGTGTCAGTCCAGGCTATCAGCATTGGATAAAGTCTTGCATTTGGAGGAGAAAAGCTACAGATGGTTAAGCAATGTATTGTCATCCATACACGGTTTCAGCCCTCCCCTGCCATGCTAACAGTTGAAGAAGAAGTGATTTAAGGTTTCCAAACCCCATGTAGTTCCATATTGTTCACAAGATTTCTACGTTGACCCCATTCTGCTCACAAAGCTATCATCGAGGATCCTAAACGTATATTCTCTTGGCCACCAGTTAAGGGTCTGTAGGTATGTATCCCCAGGACTGAAATGAAACTTAAAACGACGCAAATGGTGGTGGCCCCTTGAGTTATATCCATTTCTGGTGGGGGAGGCAAAGAATATTAGACGTTGTAAGAAAACTAGAACATAAATTTTCCCCATTTGAAGTCTTTGCGAAAGTAAGATAAATAAAACTGAAGGAATAACTGTACAGTATCTTAATACATCTAATCCCACAATGAAGATGCCACATGTTGTGATAACAATTTAGTTAAAATCAGCCAAAATGAATGATAAAAAAAATGACGCAGAGGGGGAAAAGCGCTCTCTCATTACCTGCCCATGGTACAGAAAAGGCCCGAAAGACACTGCTGCCACCACACCGACGACCGCCCCCATTTTCAGGAACCTCCCTAGATCTCTCCAGATGCCGCGTCCACTGCAGTAATGCCTCAGTAAATAAACAAAGTACACTGGTGCCGCAACGGCGAAGAGGTGCTTGGAGCATATCAATACAGCGAAGGCGAGGCCTCCTTCGAGATCCCTCCCCTCTGTGAGCAATGCAAGCGACAGTAGCAGAACTCCCAGTAGGAGGCCGTTATACTGGAAGTGGACGTGGTCCACGATGATGAGCGCAGGCGACCAGAGAATCAACGCGTAGACGAGCCTCCTCTTGCCGCCGGACAATCTCCGGGCAATCAGACCGGCGCCGACGAGGAGCGACAGATCCGCGAAGACGACGGAAAGACGCTGGAAGAGGACGACTGATTCGGCCTCGTAGCCGAGATTTCGGATGTCGACGATAGCCGGATCGACAATTGCAGCGGGAATCGAGAGGAGGAACTCGAAGTAGGCGAAGAGAGGCGGGTAGTCGAGGGTCCAGGGGCTGGAGGCGTCGACGTACCACTGAGATATGGGGAGGGAGGAGGTGAGGGCGAGCCAGTGGCGGTGCACCTCAAAGTCCGTGCTGCGGTAGGCGGGGGCCAGAAGGACCTTCACGCAGGCGGCGGCGCACCAGAACCAGGCCAGATCGGCCATGGGTGCCGCCGAGTCCACCCAACTAGGAGATGCCGGAGGAAGAAGATGAAGAAGAAGATTCAGTGGGAAATCATGAACTGCCTCGAAGTGGGCTGGGCCGTAAATGTCTTAACGGATCCTTAATGAGCCTCCGTTCTAGTGGGGATGCCAACGTGGCCTCCCCCATAATAGCAAACACTCGGGTTTTTACCCCTAACATCCTTGATATTGATAATATACTTCTTACTTGATGGGAAGATTTAATAAATCATTATTATTTAATTAACTTAAATATCATGTGACGATGAATAGTAATGATCCACCTTCTGCTTATTATTAAGTTTTTTTTCTATTGGCTTGAAAAAAAGGGGTCCTTTGAATCCTCACAAATTAATCCGCCATGGTCGCGTTCGGGCCGGGCCGGGCCCGGCCCGTTGGACTTCAGCGTTCGTCTCCGGATTCTAATATCGGTCCTTATGGGGTCTACTGGCCGTCGTATCGGTTCGGGTAAATCCGGGCCGTCGAGTAGAAGCCCACCACCCGAAGAGTTGAAGGTGAACGAGAAGAAGGGTTCTGGAAAGAGCGGAACCGCCTCTCTCTCTCTCTCTCTCTCTCTCTTCCTCTATCTCTCTCTCTCTCTTTCTGTCTCTCTCGCTCTCACTCTGGCTCTCTCTTGCTCCTGTTTTCAATTTTGGCGCGGGGGGGTGTGTCAAACGGTGGGTGCCGTGGTCTGTTGCTTCCCTGATCGTCTCCTCCGGGATCGATTGCCCAGGCAAGTCCCCGTTCCATCTCTGTCTAGGGTTACTCGTTTCCCCGCGGTCATGGCTCCGGCGAAGGGGCGCGCCGGCGTCTTCCTCGCGGTAGGCATCTGCTTCGGGAGTCGCCTTCTTAAACGCTTTCTGTTCTGCTTCCTTTGAATTCGGTCGATCTCATCGTTTTCGCTCGTGTTTTTCCTTTTCTTGACTTGACTGATCTTTTCGTTTGAAGTTTGATTTTACACATTTCTCCTTATTGGGTTTCTCATTTCTCGTTTTTGCTATCATGGGATATGCTCTAATTCATTGTCCTCCCCTCCCCCACTGATTATAAATCTTTTCCATATTTTTCTTTGCAGATTTGAGTGGATTTGATTGGAGAGGAAGGATGCCTGCGGCCACTTCTTCTCCAGTGCCTAGCGGCAGCAATAGTGCTCTATCAGCGTCGCCTTCAACTCCAAATGGGTCCGTCACGCCTCAACGTTCTCCTTCATTCGACATGCCGAAGCAGAGCCTCCGGGGCATCAAAAAGCCCAAATGCATCAAGTGTGGGAATATTGCCCGTTCCAGGTACAGCCTACATTGCCCATTCCTCTTTGGATTCCGTTGTCGACAATGAAACCGGCTGCATTTATTTAATTTGGATGGTTGTTTTCCTCGCAAACGCAGAAGTTGCCTGCATCCGGTGTTCCTTGACCTTTTCACACAAACATAGCATAACATTATGATGTAGGATAATAGATGACTTGCCCATTCGCCAGCGAGGATGAGGACCTGCAGAGTACCATCTTGCTGAAGATTAGAAAAATGGAACTTTGGCATTGTGTTTTAAACATTTTTTTGTTATTTTTTTTATGTTTTTTATTGGTGCGTAGGTACATGCTTTTATCAGCTATTTCATGTAAACAAAGCTAGTTGTTACATGATTCTGGGATAGTTAAGATAATAAATCCGAAAATTGAAAGTATGATGTGGTACATAGGTAATAGAATTATTTCCTTTTTAGAGTTTTCTTCGCTGCCTGTTGTGACTTTAACTTCTGATGCGTGGCATGGATACATATAAATAAACTGAAGCTGCGATCCTCTTTACCTTAAGTTTATCACAATTAAACTGCAAAACGCAGAACCACAATTTACTTACCAAAAAGTGATAGGGCATCCACAGAACTTTGAATGGCGCTTATGACAAGCTTGACCGTATGCGGATCAATGAATTTTCAGAAAAAAAATTAAATGGTAGACCATGTAAAGCCCCCTTCAGAATCAAGGAATAATGATCTCCCTTGGTAGAAAAAATTGATAACAGTCATTTATGTTTACAAGTACTAAACGATAAATTTTCCAATAGTTTTATAACCTAGGGTGATGGATGTCTAAAACTGTTTGTCATTTTAAGTTCAAGCTTCCAAACTGATTCATATACATCCTGTCTCAAGTCCTGGTAGCTCGCCTCAACTGGCAATCTCGATCTGCCCTGAAATGGCACAAAGCATCTCCTTACACTTGGTGATGGTTTACAGTTGAAATGCATCAATTTTTTTAATATAATAACACCAAGTAATCGGTTCAGAGCCACTGCATACTGTTTAAAATAGGTGTTTAGAAGTTATACGAGAGCTATGTTATAGAAGACACACAGTGAAGTCACTTATAGGAAAAAAAGTGGTATCTTGGCAATTGAGGGCAAAGGGAAAGTATAAAGGAGACAGTAGAAAAAAACGACCTGTTTTTTTTAGTTTTTTTATTGGTTCAACTTTATGGCGTAGAAAACGTTATTAATTTCTCAATGATATAGAAGGATTTTACTTCACTTCATTTCGTTGTAGACTTTAAAAACTATTCTAAAGGCTGTCTGATGGAATTTGTACGTGCATTACCAACAAATGGATACCTAACCTGAAGAATATTTGTCTGGCTAATCTTAGAAACCTTCTTAGATGCTCTCTCCATGGAACCAGTGATCAACCTCATACTGCCAAAGTTTGGACTGTTTAGCCAGCCATGTCATGCTTAACAGAGATCTTTGTCAATCTCCATGACAATCAGTCACAGCATCTGTGTGCATCTACCTCTTCTCCCCCCCATTCTTCTATGATCATTAGTCTGAAATTAATATATGCTTGACGAATTAGTTATCATGAAGATGTTTTGGACGCTGTGTGTGCTGTTGTTGTAAGAGGATCTTTGTAAAGATAGTGGAGGAAGAAGAGGAGAAGAAACAAATGAAAAACTGAGTAAGAAGAAAAGAGAGAAAGGAAAGGGTTGAGTGAGGTTGATTCTTTCCATTCTCTTTTCTTATACTCTTTGTTCTTCTTGCTGCCATGCTGTCATATTCTTCCCTTTTTAATGACCCGATTAGAATAAATCTTTAAAACTGACAAATGGCTGATCATATGGCAGCTATTCATGCCATATGGTATGAGTCGGATGTGAGAGCTGTATTTATAGTAAGGCTCATAATGTCCAGAGCTATAGGTGATACCGAGTCAAACAAATTTAGAATACAATAATTTGGATCTTGCTTCAATGCTTCACCTGCAGTACATACTCTCTCTCTCTCTCTCTCTCTCTCTCTCTCTCTCTCTCTCTCTCTCTCCAGAGCTCTCCCTGTCCACCGCACATGTATGTCTTGTCTCTTACATCCTGATAACCTTTGAATCTCCCAACTCTCGATGAGCTACTTGGACTCAACAGGTCCCATCTGCGAATTTCCCATCTATATGGTTCATGCTCTCTTTCACGCCTCTTGGTGACCTATGCATCTCCCAACTCTAGATTGAATGTTTCAGTCATGCCCGTGAACAGAAAAGCTACTTGATTTCCCTTGCAACGCATCCAATATCTGACATCAACAAAAGGCAAAATTAGTTCATGATTTGTTTAAGAACCACCATCTTGAGTTGATTCTAAAACTACTTGTCCTTGAATGATGACCTGGCAATGAACTGAAATCATTAGTAAAACTGATATTTTTTAGCATCTCATACTAAGTTATATTGAATATCACAGAAGATTTTTCTCAAGAGCTCAAAAGATAGCTTTTCATGGGATCGATTATCAGATGAGCTTGCAGATGCTATATTGCTTATTTTTAGACGGAGTGATTGCTTTAAAAAAAAGTGCTGATATTATGAACCAGGCTGATATCTTGAGAATGACATGAACTATGTTGACAGGTTTCGACAATAGAATTTTTAACTGTTCGGAATTCTTATTTATTTTTATATCTTGTTGACTTGTTTGAAGTGCTGATATTTGTTTTCTGCGATAAACAGCTGATACCCAAGAAAATTAATTTGCATGACATAGCGTTTTTACATTTCAATTTGTTCTCCATTCCTCTCCTTGTAAGTTCTATTGTGCCTTAGTTTTTTTATGCTAGGACACGTGAAGTTGATTTCTAGAAATTATAGCTGCCATTACTGGGAACATTCTCGGTATTTATCACGACTAAATTATGAAAGATATTTCCTCTTGTAGACGATTTTATATTTAACCGTATATTTTTTTTGCAGATGCCCTTATCAGTCATGCAAGAGTTGCTGCTCCAAGGCTCAAAACCCTTGTCATATCCATGGTATGTTTCATTTTTGGTCATAAGAAAGCCCACTGTAAATTTATGTACGGCCTGGTAATGTAAATCACAGACGATTCCGGTACGTATTTTCTCTGTTAGGAATTTTTAACTCATCTAATGCTTTGATGTACTAGTTGTTGTTATCTAATAGTATGATTGTGTTTTCTCATATTTTCCTGCTCCGTTTATGTATTGCAGTTTTGAAATTCAATGGCACCCTACCAGACAAAGCACCACCTGCTAGCTCTCCCACGCCTGAGCAACCAGCTAATGATTCATCTCCTTTTTTGTCAGGGCAAGTATTCAGTTAATATAAATTTTGTCGGATTTGGACTCGGATGATGCGTTAACTATGTAGGTTTCTTCACATTTCAGGGCTGCTATGAGGCTCTCTTCACTTAGGCAACTTTCTAGTGCTTTCGTTAATTCATTAAGGACAAGAAAACCTTTGTCCCGAAAGGTGCTTTCAATCTTTCTTTCTGAAGACTATTTCATGTTATTGTTCCTTTGTAAACCGCTAATGTTCTCCATTTTCTTCCAGGATGCATTAAATATCAATAAGTGGAGGTTTTCCAAGCTGAAGGAGCACATTGATGGGGAGATTGAAATCGAAAATGAAGCATTTGATAGATACATGCAGAATGTGAGCCTTCTTGAGGAAACATTTTCTGTTGATTCTCCCAACGAGAGAGGACCAGTAGCCGAAACTTGCTCTTCCGAGGATGAATTCAGCAAATTGGTCACTGGAGTAAAAGTGAGGCTGAAATGCAATCTTGATAGAGCCAATGCCTCCAGAGATAGAGTAAGAGGAATCTTAGATAAAGGATTGGAGAACTTGAAACAGCTAGAAGTAGCAGGTGATGAGGCTTCCCATGATGACGACCTAAGCAGCATAGGAGAGTTCAAGAGGCGAAGGAAATTAATGAAATCACGGTTTGAGAGAACAGCAGCAGTGGAAGACCTAATCGACAAGTTGATCAAAGCTCGAACTGAGGATGATTTTAAGTCTTGCTTGGAAACAAAGCTTCAGATATATCATCAGGATGCAGGTTTAGATCCTCACATACCCAGCCATGAGATAGGTGATGGCAGGCCAACAAAGGAAGAATCAGATGCCCCCACATCTGCACTGTCCTATTCACTACCAATATCGTTCACCACTGTTAAGATCGACGAAGACCAACTGTCTAGCATTGAAAAAGAGTTTCATTCCCTTGATCAAATAGCTGAATTATAACCTCAAGTAGACGCATCCTCACCGAGAAGATGGGCGATCGCCATTCCAAAAACCTGATCCTTTCCATGACCAACCATCTGCTGTGCAGACTGAAATATCCATAGAGTCCCGATTTTGCATAGGCAATTCCCTTCACAGCGGATATTGCTGGGGTCTGAGATTCTCTCCGATTCATTCCGTACTCCATGGAGGGGTAGTCTTCTCTCTATTGCTGCAAAAGCCTTCGGCTTGGTCCGAAAGAAGATTCTGCTGCAATAGTCAGGCATCATCCTCAGACTAACCCCCTCGTGATCTTCCCCTAATGGTAGGCCTGATCTGATTGGAATGTACATACATTTTATCTGATGCATCAGGTTACCCTGCTTCTTTTATATCTCAGCTGATTGCAATTTATATTTTTTTTCTTGGGCTTGAATGTGCTGCTGTAACACTAGCTTTTTTCAATGCTATCCATCCTCTGTATCACTTACTGCAGGAGAACAGATGGGCCACAGGGCATTTTTTATGATTTCCTTTTTTGCATCGCTCGAAACAAAAGGAGTAGGAAGTGAGTGGCTCCTTGAACCCACAAGAGTTTATGAAAAGAAAAAGTCTTGAATGAGGCTTGCATTCTTATCCATAAGCTTTATATTTTGCCCAATTTACATCTCAGTTCAACCTCGCGGGTCCATTTCTGATAGGTGCATGCTTGTTATCTAAGAATTTGAGGGATATAAGTCATTACTATGATGAAATCATAATTTTATTAATTAGTCCTCGTTGACCCCTGGGGATTTATAGGAAGCCCCTTGCTAGCACCAGCAATGAGTCAACCCGTGTAGAGAAGAAACAGGAGAATCACTCCTGATCGATCAGACAGGACTGACAGACTGACTGACTGACTGACTACAAATCTTGAAAAAAGGCGGAGAAGGGAAAGCGATCCTGAGATCAGCAGGAGGCCCCTACGCCCACACTCTCTTCCTTGGCAGCAGGTCCTTCGTCTGAATCTGATCTATCTTGGCTGCCACTATGAAGTCATTTAAGCTCAGCCCACCTGCAAGATTCAGACCTTGTCAAAATTATCTAGACAGAGAGAGACGAGAGAGAGAGAGAGAGTCTATGAACGGTCACCAGTTGAAGCAAAGGTAATCAATCAATCTATCTTTACCCATTTTAGAATATTATCAGGAGAGTGGATGCAGAGAGGAGGTGAGAAACAGAAAAGAGAAGAGGAGACGGATTGGGTAAGATGATATCCTCTCCTTGGAAGCTGATGGAAGTCAGGAACTGAAGGCAAAGTGGCGTTCATGGAGAGTATTAAAACTGGATAATCTCGAGTTGGGCCCACCAACGGAGGCTCTGAATTGGATAATCTTGTGCTTAAGACTGGATAATATCGAGAAACAGGGGGCAGAAAAGGAGGAGACTTTGAATCGAACCCACCAATGGAAGCGGTCCAGAGCTCGGCGGTGACTTGGTTGGGCTCGTCGAGACGGAGCGTGGGGAGATGACCCAGCGGCTCCACCACGGCGAGGATCCTGGAGATGAGCTCCTCCCCGCAGCTCTGATCCCTCAGCTTCCACACCCCCTGGATCTTCAGCCCTCCTCCTTCCTCCTCCACCACCCTCCACCCGACGATCTGAAATGGGCAAGAAAAACAATAAAAACCAGAGCAAACACATGAGCAATTAACCCTCCTAGCCATGGCCGGCGGCGAGAGAGCTCTGAAAATCGCCGGGCATGGGATTAATTACCTTCTTGAGGAGTTTCTGGGCGGTGTCGCGGGGCATGGGGGGCTGCGAGGGAGGAACGGGCTCGCAGCTGCGCTGAGCGAGGGAGAGGACGGAGACGGTGGGGATGAGGATCCTGTGCTCGGTGTCGACGTTGCCGAGGACTTTATCGGCGAAGTTGCTCTCAATCTCGGCGGCGTAGGGGTCCCTCGCGCCGAAGTCTCCCAGCAGGTCGGTGCCCATGGCGGCGCACCGCCAGCCGCGGCGGCGAGGCCCCGCGGAGGGGGGCGCCACCGTCGGGCAGGCGGTGGCACGGGGGCGGGAGCGGAGGTGGAGGAGGAGTAAGTGGGCCGAAGCCGGGGAGGCAGCCATGGGAGCCCCTCTCCTCTCTCTCCTCTTCTCTTCTACGCTGTCTTCTTCCTCACAGAAGATTAGCTCCTTCCTCTGCTGTGGGGCTCCTTATCTATTCACCGCTGAGCTCTTCTCATCAGCTGGGCGGAGGGCAGTGAGGGAAGGGCATTTGAGGAGGGGTGGGGAGGAGGGGCTCCACAGGGAGCTCTCTCCTGTGGCCCCCCAGGATCTTGTGGTGGTGGTGGAAGGGGCGAGATGGGCTCCGCCATGGCGGTTCTTTTTCAAGGTTTAGACCCAAAAGATGATGGTAGAAATGAGCCCGACCTTCCATTAATGAGTGTAAATTCATGAAATGAGGCCGGGAGACGGGCCAGCCCACTCGTACATGTTTTTGAGTTTTATCGAGTAAAAATATATTAAAAAAACATTTTTCAAGAAAATTAATTCAATTTACACAACGTCCATTCAGAACATCTCCACCTTTGTTCTCCTTTTTTTTTTTGGCAATTGGGATCGATTTTTTAAGATGGTTTTCTATTGTCTCATTAATGGTAGAACTTTCTCACGAAAATTTTAATTTCTTAAAGGACTTAATTAAAATTAGCGATTTCCTGCTTACAGGATGTCTACAGTTTTACATTTCGACTGGGTTTCAATATTGTGAGTGAAAAATAGCTTTGTGTCGTTAAAGGCAACCAAAAAAAAAAAAACCCCAAGTGAATCATCCAATGTTCATTCATAGTAATGTGAGATCTCTATTTTCCTTGGAAATTTGTTGAGTGGCAAACTTAAAAGCTATGAAAAACTGAAGTCTTCAATAATTATTTGATAATTTTTTTAATAAGTGAGAATCCTCTCCCCTAATGTTTGGAGAAAAATGGGTAGTAATTCTATAAATGGGTAATCACAGAAAAAAAATATTCAAGGATTGCCTTCTATGCATGATTCCCCATACAAGTTGTCAAAGTGATAATATTGATGTCAATTAGTAGCAATAATTGACTACCTTCCTCATGACCAGTCTATGAACAATGTGTGAATCTACATTGTAAAAATGTTTGTCAAAGGTAAACATCTTCAAAATTCAGTACCCATTTCCTCCTTTTGAGAGGTGATCAACTGTTTACTAAATGTGGAAAACGTTATTGGGTTTCCCTTTAAATGGTGAGCAACATTTCTCTCTGACTCCATTTGTCCCTCCTCTCTATTTCTATGTGTTCCCATCAATCTCTTTCCTTTTGTGCCTCTAGATATTAGGTGGGGAATGTGCCATTAGCAAAGCTACTTGTCACATGTGGCGAGTAGCATGACTCCATTCTTATAAGCTTTATAATTTTACCATGTCTTAACTATAATTAGGACAATGTAATGGGACTACTCCTATTAATTTGGAATTTTTTGCATGCATATTATGCATCCTATGATTACCTACATGCATATCCATAGCACATTAAGATTGGTACATTTGTTTGCATGCTTCCATTTTTATGGAGATGGTGTCTGTACAATCAAAGATATTGCTGCTGCTCCAAGGAAACAAGTAAATATAGGTACCCTTTTCCTTTTATATTATATTCTCTAGTAGAGAGTTTCAAATTGTATAACCCCACTAATAGGAAGAATGAGTCAAATGAATAATGAGAAAATAGTGTGAAAAGTAAGAAAAATGGGTTCTTGAATTGTTGGATACTAATCTATTGAGACTTTCACGATGACAAGATTAACCCAATTCAGCGTGCATTCTTTTCATTCTTCCCATTTATCTGCCTGACTATGCCCATTTCCCAAGTCATTTCCCACCTTTTTGGCCAAGCTCTAGCTCTCTCTCTCTCTCTACACAAACACACATATCTCCTATATCAAAGGGTACAAAAAGAAAATCTAGCAGTCTGCTAAGTCTAGGACGGAGAAATGGGTGCCTTTTCCATTAGAATCGATCAATTTCTAAAGTGGTATTATGATATTATATAATATTAATTTTTACAGCAACCCCTCCCTGGACTCCCTACTTTCAACCGACAAAGGCCAAACGCCTCTATCTGTTTCTTATTTATTAATTTATATCCAGATTTTTATTTAAATATACTAGAGTCTGGGGAAAATGTGTATTTTTAAATGGGAATAAAAAAAGAGATTAATAATAAAGAGCAGGCAAAAAGATCACGTTTAGGGGCGTCGGCTGGGGGCCTCTGCTAGTGGAGAGAAAGGTCCTCTCTTTGCTCAGCATCGCCCGAGGGTGCATCCCCCTCTTCTCTTGCCTCCGCTTCGCTGTCCTCCTCTCAAGGGATTCACGCCCATGCTCATGATCTCTTCGGCGCCTGGTCCAGCTGCTTCGTGTGGGGGATACGGTGATGGTTTCGCCTGCTCCGGGCGTCGGATTCATCCTTCCCTGAGGGGGCTGCGCGAGATCTAGGGTTTGATCTGATTTTAGATTGAGGGTATCGCTTCATTTCTGTGTACTTGGTGTATGCTAGACAAGATTGGTGATATAAAAATATCCGGAACAGAAGAGAGCGCGGAGGGGGTCTGGGGAGGAGGGGGCGGCGGTGACAGGGCTGAGAGGAAAAGGGTAAGAGAAGAAGGAGAAGATATGTACAGGGATCAAGGAGGGTCCTCAAAGTCGGAAATTGGCCCATTTGATCGGAAGCGAATTAATGATGCTCTGGATAGGCAGCTGGAGAAATCGGCGTCGTCATATTCCAAAGGGATGAACGGCAAGGACAAGGAAAGATTCTTGGTGCCATCCACCTCTGTGGGAAAGCAACCCGACCTACGTTTTCTGTCGAAGAACAAGCCCCTTGATAGTAAGTTTATGATTCTTGCTACACTATTTGCGCATCACTGCATTGAGCATTGGGGGCCATATAGAACCATCCTGCTTGATGATTAGGATTATTTTCTATGTTTTTTTTTTCCTGAACACATTTGGTTTGACGTAGTCAGTTGGACTATTATTGAAGTGTGTGCTTCTTGTTCTTCAAGAAAGATTGTACCTTTTCCCCTGTTCTCCAAGCTGGAATATCCATCTCCTACAGACTCTAAATCGATATGTTCTTGACGAAATGGATTTCATGAAGAAATAAGTCAGTATCTTTTTTGACGAGTTTTTGGTTAATCAATATCTTTTATAAGCAAGCTTGTGAAATTCTCAAAATTTAAGACCACTCAGATGTATGGAGTGGCCCGCTCATCCTTTTTATTCGGCCTCACTAAATCGGAAAATTACAGGAAAAATAGGTAGAAGAAAGTCGTATTTCTTGCTTATTTTTCGACCTCTTCTTCCTATTCATCCCTCAACAGTCTTATTTCCTTCTTGAAATATGTTAATCGGTTTATTTTGAACGATTATCTGACATCCTTCCTAGTTGTAGATTCGTTTTGCTTCTATCCACTTGATAACATATCTACCAGCTACTCTAGCCATAATAGTGTTGGTGAATGGGCCAGAAATATGTTGGGCTTAAAGTCTCTCATCATCACCTCTAGACTAAAATGGTGATGAGAGATCCGAGCGAAGCTTTCTGGTACTCTTGTCATGCCGACATTTTTTATCTTTATGGCTGAGTGAAGAGGAGCTTTTAGTTGGTGTTTTGTGTTAATGTTTCTCATAGTTGATCTCCTATAAAGTATGTACTGCCGCTGGAGTGTTATTCCAGGACTGTTATTTTTGACCAACGACGCAGATGAACTTTTGAAGGGACGAACAATCGCATGCAGAAAGAACACAGCTCAGTCAATGCGGGTTTCTTTAAAAGTTTTAAATAATGACTTGCAATGAGAAAAATCTATCAGGGTTTTGTTTTCAGTGAATGCAACTTGTTTAAATAATGGCCGATCATATGGGTCTTTTGAAGGAAACTTCAGTACTTCTCATTTATTTATGTATTCATTTTAAGGGTATCTTCTGGGTCATTTGAAATCCATATTTGTTTCAATGGGACGTTAGCATGCTTTTTGTATTTCAAAATATGACTTTTAGTGATATAATTGAATTTTGATTCATTGACGGATGCCTCTGATGATGATGATGATGCCAACGAGGGTTCCTGATCAGCTTTTTTTTTTCCTGATTTTCATTGCAGAAGAATATGAAACAGACAGTGAAGAATCAGATGTTAGTGGCTCTGATGGTGAAGATACTTCATGGATCTCATGGTTTTGCAGTTTGAGAGGGAATGAATTTTTCTGTGAGGTTGATGACGAGTACATTCAGGATGACTTCAACCTCTGTGGGTTAAGCAGCCAAGTTCCTTACTATGATTATGCTCTTGATCTGATTTTGGATGTAGAATCTTCTCACGGTAAGAATTTTCAGGCAACTCCTCATAAGATCATTCATGAGATGTATGGTGAAATATGATAGGAATGTATTACAGTTGCTTAACCTTCACTTTTCCATTACGTTGAACGCTTTTAAAAAATATCTTAATACTTGTGTAGTAAAATTAATAGTTGGATCAGGAACGATGCATCTTTTACATGTGGACATGAAGCGAGCTTTAGGCACTTAGGGCGTCGTATTGCATTATTCTCCTTCGATGCCGGTGTTCTTTGCATGTGAATGGCTGTTTTTATTTAAATTTATGGTGTTGAAATTGTTGTTCTATACTTCCATTTGTAGTTAGTGTGGTGTTACCTCGATTATAAAAAGATGCTTCATTCGGAAGTAATGTGCTCCTGTTTCGTTATAAATTATCCTTGTTCCGTTTGCATCTAATCCATCTTATTATTCGAACAAATCAGGTGATATGTTCACCGAGGAACAGAATGAATTGGTTGAATCAGCTGCAGAGATGCTGTATGGTCTTATCCATGTCCGCTACATACTGACGAACAAAGGGATGGCTGCCATGGTGAATCTTCTGCATCCAGCAATATTCATCACTGCTGCTATATTTTTTTTCTCTGCTAAGAACGGTTTTAGTTTCGTCTGTGAAACTCTGCAGCTTGAGAAATTCAAAAGCTATGACTTTGGGAGGTGCCCAAGAGTTTACTGCTGCGGGCAGCCTTGTCTTCCCGTTGGCCAATCAGACATCCCCCGATCAAGCACGGTGAAGATCTACTGCCCGAAATGCGACGACATTTATTACCCAAGATCAAAATACCAAGGCAGTATCCTTAAATGATTCCATCTTCGCTCAATTTAGCTTTCTGATTCTAGGTCATAGGCTCACTCCTACCCATTGTTTTCTCAGGTTGGGCAGAGATTTTCTTACAAAGACATAAATTGCTTTTTATATTATAATTGGTAGGGTTTTCTACCGGTTCATTTGTGAGAATGAAGTTGATCCATGACTATTAGGTGGCCGATTATTTAAATGTCATACAATATTAACCCAATATATGCAGTCACGCTGGAAAACCAGGACAATATTCGTACATAATTCCATCTTCCTTTCATTTAAGTTTCTGGTTCTAGACCCTTGGCATAATCCTACCTATAGTTTTCTGAAGCTGAGTTCCTTGGGAAGTTGAGTGGCCATTTTGGAAGTTCATTTATGAGAATGAAATTCATTAAAAAAGGCTATTAATCTTCTTTCATGTGTGCAGTGGTAGCCTTAATTTTGGACCATTTGAAGTCAATGTCTGCCAATAACCTGTTTCCTTGCTGATTTTCTGCCACTGCTCGAGATATTATGGCCCAAATTTTGTATTTCATTGAGAAAATAAATCTCTTGACTCGTCTGAAGATTTGGATGGAGCTTACATCGGTACGACTTTCCCTCACCTATTCCTGATGACCTATGGCCACCTGAAGCCGCAGAAACCACCGCAGAATTATGTGCCGAGGGTCTTCGGCTTCAAGGTCCACAAGCACTGACCCACGAAGGCTTCCACCTGAAGAACTAGTTGCTCACAGGGAGGAGAGGAGGAGCTGGAGCTGTGCTGGGCGTCCTTTGGGTGATGTTCCATGTAGTGATGATTGCCTCAGTGATAATGAGCCATCCCCTTCGATCTGCTATCTGCTAGTCTATTGCCTTGGGCAAACTTGAGGCTCCTTGTATAATCTCAACAAGGCTTTTTATTTTTTTGTTAATGCTTCATCCGTGCTGATTGTTGAGAGAATGGCTTTAATGTTCTTCTTCTTCTGGGTTAGTGTTGATTATTAATTGGTGGACTATGCTTATTTTGATATTTTATTAAATATTCAGCATACATCTAGATTCACGACTATCAACTTTGTAGGGCGAATTGGAGGCTTCATTCTTCATCCATTCTGATTGCTGAGAGAATGGCTGATGCTAATCTGAGACAGTATTAATCACCAGTGTATATGTTTTATATATATATGATAATCCTTCTTCTTTAGGTTTTTTATAAATTTGTAATGCTTCATCTGTACTGGAGCTAGAGGCTTTACTATGCATTGTCTCAGTTTATTGATGATAATGAACCGTGGACTTTTTTTTTTTTTTTGAGATATTGTTAACTATATGCGTGTGCATGCGTTTGAGAACCTACCAAAATCCAGAGGACTAATTATATTATGACTGAATTTGGTCCATAGTCGTAGGGCTTTTAACCTTTGTCCGAACTTACATTGGTCAGGAACTGGAATGGTTAGAATGTTTCACATCACTTAGACCCTCATCTTCTGAACTGTTGTCATTTCGATTCCTGGTTGGATATTTATAAATTCGTTGATGCTTCTAGTTTCTGTACCAGTCTAATATTATATGTCCGCAATAAATACTTGGCTTCTTATAGCAATGTTGGCTACCTGCAAGATGGAAGGGCCCAGATGGAGGCATGTAGTGACCTCAGTGTTCCCATTCCCTGCTGACACTGGGCTTCTCATTCATAGCAACATATGGGACACTTGGCTTCTTATAGCAATCTTTGACAGAATAATGTGAAGAAAATTAGACCTTCAGAGGTTGCGAAGCAGCAGTGGAACCCCTTGTGACCTAAGGAGAAATACCATGTTCAATCCCAATGGGGGTCAATTTTCTCAGGGTAATTTGGAAAACCCACACAAAAACGGGGGCGAGGACGATGGGGAGGGAGGGAGACAGAGAGAGAGAATAAAACCCACACAAAAACTGGAATCAGCTGAACAGGGTGCCATTGCCAACCGGGTAGGGGAAACATGCCAAGCAAATCATCATAATCCCAATAAACTTGGAGACAAAAGAAAGGTCCTTTCTTCTGAGAATCCTCATACCAAAAAGAGCTAAAATATCGGTAGACCTCATCAGTTAAGAGGATGCCACTCTCGCCGCATAATCCCTGTGTAGTTCCTAAGCTCCACTCTCCTCAGCCCTCCACCTGCTCTCGCAGTCTCCGGATCGTACTCCTGACGGTCACTGCACTTGCAGTACTGGAAAAAAAAAAAAAAAAAAAAGAAAGGAAAGGGAAGCCAGGATTAAGCCCTTTATTGGTAATCCGAGAAGATCCTTTGAAAGAGAAATCGATGACCACTTACTTGAGGGTGTAGGCCCCACCAGCCTTGACCTTGCCACAATCCCTGCATAGCCAGATGCCGGTAGCCTTCCTTCTGACGGAGTACTGTTGAAATGGGTTCATGGCGTCAAGGCATGGAGGAGAACGGAAGGAAGGGGTTTCAACGAAAGAACAATGGAAGACAGAATCAAGGGTGGAAGAAGCATGCCTTGCCACAGAATTCGCAAAAATACTTGGCATGCTGGCTGACCTCCATCTTCTTGATCTGCTTCCGCAGACTGGCACCATAACGGGTACCTGGAGAGGCGTTCAGACATTTGAAGGTCAAGATGGCCCACCAGAGTCTCTTGTAAATGCTGGAGATGGAGAAAACAGAAGGAAATGAAACCAAGCGAAGAGGTCCTTCGGGACTTACCATACTTGCCGACAATCCCAGCCTTCTTTGTCCGCTTAGTCTGAAACCAAGAAAATGCGGCAGAGAAGAAGACAAGATGGTTATTCAACGGCAGAAGTAAAGAGATGGCTCAGATGGGATAAGGGGATCTTTTTTTTTTCGTGTGGGGCTCGCATAAATTTTCATAAATTAAAAAAAGACATGCAAACAAATGTTTTGTCGTGGGGGCACTTAATGCCCCATTCGCATAGATTTTCTAATAAGAATTAAACTAGCAATTGCATAGTTCTTGTCAACAGATCCTTTTCAGTGAGCGTAAAAAATGGGGGCTAAGGAGCGCGGCAAAATGCTGGCGTTCAGAACCATCAGATTAATGTAAGGAACAAATCCTCGACCGATTAAAAACATATCAAAGGAAGAAAGAAACAATCACAAATTACAACAAACACCTGATAAATGGCTTGATTATGTTGATTCAACCAAAAAAAGTCATTAATGAGCACAGAAAAAAGTGCATTTACGTCCAGCTCCAACGACAATAGAAGAAACACTGGTCTAATAACAGGTTCCAAGTCAAATACCATTGGCAGATCAGATGATAATGCTAACCATCTCTACTCAATGTCCGTCATATTAATGAATAACATATACCGTCTTCTTCAGGCTACAAACAACCATGTTACCAACATAGATGGAAATAGTAAAGCAATGTCTAATACAGCCAATTATAATGCAGAACTCGTGATCGTCTCCTCTCCCAAAACTAGGTTTCATCAGTGCCCGTGTAGGAAGGACCTTGCTTACTTGGAATTAGGAATCAGCAATTTGGATTGATTTGCACGCCAATCAACCAAACATGGCTACGAAATTTTCCACTGACGATGGTTTAGCCCTGTCCCCAAGGGACGCTCCATAATTCCACCAAACTACGAATCATAATAGACTGGACATAAAACTGAGTGAAACATTCCTTTTACGGGTTCCTCAAAGCGCAAGTGACCTCTTCCGAAATAAGACCTCTACCTCCACCAGGCCGCGTAGAACACTGCCGAGGCATCACACTATCGAATAAAAAATAAAATAGAAATAGCATCCGCCCGACGAACCTTCCCTTTCCCCCGCCCCCCCCCCCCCTTCCCCGGTCCAAGACGCATCAGTGGAGTAGCATGCAATTACGAATAGCTAGCACCCACAACACTCAGAGTTCCATCAACCTATGAATTGATCGATTCTACATTCCACATAATCTGGACGGCGTTCTTCCCAGATCCTCCCCTCGAGTTCCAACCAGACAAACCCACCGTGTCGAAAACAAACCAAAGCAACGAGGTTCACGGACGAAGTACATGGAAGAGGTAAAGGAAAACCCACCATTGCGCCGAGCAGGTGAGGGACCGGGGAAGCGGCGGCGTAGCTCCCGCCGACAGGAAGCTCTCGCAACTACGTAAGGAGACGACTATCCACCCAAACCCTAGCCAGCCGCGTATTTATACTTGGGCCTCTGGGACGTCCCGCGTACATTCCACCTGTTAATCCTACCACTACTGGGCCGTTCCACTGGTCGGCCCAGCTTAATAAATTCCTCTGAAGTCAACTTTGACATTTCCATAAAAAGCTTGCGGGTACTTCTTGTCAACCACTAAAAGAATAGATTCCATTAATGAGGGGATTAAAAGTCAAATATCACGGATTTCGAGGTGTCAAAGCTCATTTTTTTTATGTGTTTTGTTCATGCTCCATAATGGGTTGTATGTTCCATATCAAGTAAAGTTTTTGCTACCAAGTAGACAAAAAAATAAAATAATATCACCCATGTAATTGAACGGAATGGCCTCAGGGAGGCATGAAGATGATTTTCCAATCATCGTGAGGTTGTAACAATTTATTTTATATTTTCTTTTAATCCCATATGTGGACCAATTCAAATTTTATTTTTACTTTATAAGGAAAATTATACGAGCCCCTGATAAATACATCCAGTCCAACAATATCTTACTGAATGGGAAGGCCCTTATAAATTATTAAGGGTTTTTTAAATTGCATTATTTGAATTAAATTAATAATACCCCTGTTTAGATATCCTAAATAAATATTAGCATTATTATTATTATTTGCATTGTTAAATTATCAAATAACCATGAACAAGTGCGTCGTTGTCCCTGTAAAATATCCTAATAACTTTTCTCCAAGAAAAAAGAGAGTAGGCTATTTTGTTAAGGGGCCAATCTTAATATATTCTATAAAAAGAAGATGACACAACTGATTTTCTTGTCAATTTAAGAGTATGATTTAGCTACTTAGATGATATATATTCAGGAATGGTGATTCATATGACAAATATTCCTCATTAAGGAATACTTATAGCCCTATGAATACATGGCATATGATATATAGAAGACTTTATTACCTAGGGGAGAGTCACTCTAAATAGCTACCAAATCAATTATGGAAAGAAGGTACAAAAAAATAGGGAGAACCCCAAGAAGATTGTAGAGATGTTTTAGGAGGCTGCAGTTTATGCTCAGGATTGTATGCATTGTGAGTTTTGGCTGATCCAATGCTCCATCAATCTTCCAAGTTTTGGTGAACCATCAAATACTCTTAAACTTATATCACATGTGAAGCAAAATGAGTCAGAAGCAAGCTGCCATTTTTATTATAACATAGGTCTATTATAGGGAATACGCTGTCATTAATGTCAATAATGTGGATGCAAGATATGCATCATCATGATCAAGAACCCATCCATTATTGTCAATATTAGACAAAAATTGAAGGGGACATATTATAATTCATGATTAATCCATCTTAGAGAATTGCCCATTAGAGACTTGGCAGCCTTACCTACTTGAATCATATAATTTCATCATTATCACATGCCATAAATATGGGATTTTTTTTTTCTTATCATAGTAGGCGTTCATCTTTATTGCTCAAGATCAACTGCTAACCAAACTCTCATCCAATAAAATGGTACAAAAATAAACATTCTAAAGTTAATAAAAAACGATCACCTTGAAACTGGACGAAGTACATTACTTCAAATAACCATTTTATATATTTTACCTTGGAAATTTTTTCATAATTCCACCATTGTTAGTAGTATGGAATTAATTACTAAGAAATTCCATAGCTGGAGTTATAGTGGTCTAAAAGGGATTAGCCCCGCTTCCGGGGCATTGTGGGGATAAAATGGGCTGGCCTGATTTATTGCTGCCTCAATTCATATTATTTAATTTTTTTAGGGGAAAAATACGTTAAAGTCAACTCATTCAGACAAGCAAGAAACGGAGACAAGCAAACAGACGGAAGTGGGGCTCCAGAGTCTCTCTCTCTCTCTCTCTCTCTCTCTCTCTCTCTCTCGCTCTCGGGGGTTGTTTCCCTGTCGAGGACCCACTCCAGGGAGGAAGGAGCGGGGGGGAAGAAGGGATCGTGGCCATCCCTGGGTTCGGTCTCCTCTGAAGACCCACATTTTGACTCGGTGGGGATTGGGCATCAGCCGGCTCGATCTAATTATAGGATACTTAGTCACCCATTTTCTCGAGGAGCGAGCTGGATTGGGTGCCGAGGTGGGCGGCGCCGGCGGGGAGGGCGGTGGTTGGAACGGCATTGGTAGAGTGTGCGGCGGGAATGAGCGTGTAGCTCCCCCTGCGGCCGCGCCGTTTTGTGCCTTTCGTCTTCTGGCTGCACGTGGAGGGACGCGCCGATTGCCGATCTGTTGTCGGAAGGCGTTGACGCTTGTTTTTTTTTTCCATTTTTGTATTTGATTGGAGAAAGGAGGATCGGCATTTTGTTACCGGGACTTTAGATTTGTGAGAACGATGGATTTGGCCGGGATCAGCGACGAGCTGGCCAACATCGAGGGGCTGATCAACGACTTATTCCGGGCATTGTCGTAAGGACCTCGATCAGAGTCTTCCTCCTTTTTCTTTTATCAAGATGGTTTCTTTTTTTTCGTAACCTCCGATTCGATTCACATTATATAGGCCATGCGTTATGAAATTTAGAATGTGGTTGCCATCACGAGTAGAGTTTTCTGATTCTTGTGCTTGCTCTGGAATTTCTGGGAGCTTCTCTGAGTCAGTGGCAACATGTTCCAGGGCCTCTTCTGGGATCCTATTGACTCCCTTTTTCCCGCATTTGCATCGATTTCCCTGTTCGAGTCCGCTGTCATGTGACTGTTTTGCGATTGCTTATGTCACATTATTTGCAGAGATGGGTTTCACAAATTGGAGAAGATTAAAGACCCAAACAGGAGGAGCAGGCATCTGGAGGAGCTTACAGAAAAGATGCGGGAATGTAAAAGGCTTATCAAAGAATTTGATAGGGAGGTGAAGGATAACGAGACTAAGAACACTACAGACATCTCAAAGATTCTCAGTGAGAAGAAACAGTGGATGGTCCTGCACTTGGCACTTGAAATGACTCTATAAGTTGCCCATATATGTATCATGTATACATTTATTTTTTCTGATTACTTGTTGGATGCCCCTAAAGGTATATTCTTTCTCTTTTGCAGATTAAAGAGCTGAATTCTTATGTCGCCCTTAAAAAGCAGTAAGTTTGATAATTTGTGCCAGCTAATTATTAATTTCTGGAACATGTCTAATGGGGATTAATTATTATTTTCTTTACCCAGAGGTAACATGTCTGCCTGATGTTTGATTGCTTCTAACTAGTCAGCTAAAGTCATTTGCGTGTTTATCTGTGTTTGAACGCATATAAACACATATGCACCCCTCAATTTCAGTTGGATGCGTATGCTTTTCTTTGTTTGTGCACGTGTAAACACCTCTCTCTCTCTCATTCTCTGAAGAACCTTATATGTAACAGAAATTATCTCAATCCTACTGATCCATGAAGCCGTCTGTTTGGAAAAGAAAGGCTTCTTAAGATAGATCTGGATTTTAGGAGATGTCTTTTATTTGGTGGAACTAGATATTTTATCAGTAAATGAAAAAAAATCGGACTAGAAATCTGAGTGATTTGGTTTTTCATTTTTTTGGTGGTAATGCATTATTTTACGGGTGAAGATACGGTTCAATTTTTTTCTGATAGTGAGTCCTTTAATTGATTATGATGCTACACAAAGGGATCCGATATTTTCCTTCTTTTTTCGCTTAATCTTTTGTTTTTACTAGAATGTTAGGGATGGATTATAATGGGTTTTTGACGATAGGTTCCTTGAATTAATTGATGTTTTCCCTTTTTTTGTACCTGCCCATAACCATTGCCTCTCTAAGGCTCCAAAATTGAACTAGGACGCTCTCATGATGTCGTAGTTACCATGCTATCCTTTCTTCATTCACAATACTCAGTATTTGAGATGATGCCCAATATTTATGGGGATGCTTTAGTCATATTACTATGAAGTCGAACAAAGTGTGGTTGGGGGACATTATTACAGTGGGAACATACATACAAAGAAGAAAAAACATGTTTTTGCTGTTTGACCAAGAGCTGGATGACGTTGCCCTTGTTGAGCTAACGGTTAGTATTTGATTGAAGGGGGAGAGGTGGACCCATGAATAATTTCTTCATGCTGTATTTTTTTATTTTTTTTTCTTGGAGGAAGAAACCGCATTATTGTTTATTACAAACATTTGTGCATTGATCGAGGAATACTGAGATACCATGTGATAGAGGAATATGATCGCTGAGAAGACAATAATTGCCATTTCAACAATTCGTTTTACTGTATTGGCAGCCTGGGATATGCAGTGGAAAGCGTCTTGTAGTTGGCAGGTTTAATCTGGGCTTAAAGATTGCTTGAGCTTGAGAGTCTTTTGGTAAATTTGGGCCAACATTTTCTCTAGTCATTAGACGTGTTCCTTCAAGAGCTTCATCCATGAGTTGTGGAACAAACTTCTTATTTTTAAGCTGCCTTTTCTGTCTACTTATGTTATTCACTAGTTCATCCGATCACACTTTTCCTATTTTTGACGGTTTAAGGCCTGTTAAATCATTACATATGGGTTTTGGTTGATATTTTTGGATTCTTCTGAAAACCAGAGGGGGAGAGAGATCCGTTTACATAAAGCCTTCCCTTTTTGTTAATACTTGTTGGGTATATGTCTCGCACATTAACTCACTATGTACTATTCAGACATGCAAGTGCTCTTGAAACGAAGCGAATTGATCTGTTTGATGCGCCTGGTGGTGGAGATGGTTATGGTGAAGAGAATGTCTTACTAGCTTCTTGTAAGATTCTCATATGCTCTATCACCCATTTGATCATTTCTTTTATTTTCATCTCCCAAGACCTAACTTTCAGCCAATTATCAGTTGTTTCTTTCAAATGATACTTGGATGATGCTGCATGCATTCCGAAAATGAGTGAACCTAATCCTGTCATTGAAATTTCTTGCTTCTCTGATGAACAATAGTCCTTTTGCTCTGCTCTTGTTGCCCATGATCCCAAATCGAAGTCAGCTGTAGAAAACATATGCTATGCTGTCTTCAAAAGTACAGATCAGACACTATTTATGTCGCTAATCAAACAGTAGAATTGTTCTGTTATCCTATATTCCCATCTCTACTTATATTTAATCGTGTGTTAGCATCTACGTTGAAAAATATCATTCCTAACCGAAGGATCCTCTCTGATGTAAATATACCATCACCTTAAGGTACATGTGATAGGTTTCAATATCAGATTATTACGACACTATCCTCTTGATCACGTGCTTTAATAAATGGGGGGAGACAGACTTTTGATTATGTAATAATTTTTAATGTAATTTCTAATAACATCCTTAAAAATGTAGATAAATATAAATTACAACCTCTTTCTCGTTTTGTTTTTTTTCCCTCAGACTTGTTGCATAACAAACATCCTCACACGAGCTATCAAAATTAGGTTTACATTTCCTGAATCCATGTGGTTGATCAGAGAAGTGATGCCAATGTTTCAACTCCAATAGCTTTCGAACTTTGAACAATGTTTGATTTATTTCTGTATGGTTTGTGTAACTAGACTGGTTATATTGTAGTGCTTTATCACTGATGCATGGTTCTATGTGCTGGGCAGCCATGACCAATCAACAGTTGATGGAGAATGGAAACAGAATGATGGATCAGACTGATCAAGCCATCGAGCGATCAAAACAGGTTCAGTTGTTCCCCATCGACTACTATAGATATCAAGGATAGGGCAGTTAACATGCTTCAGATACGCTATAATTATGTGGCAGAAATGGCTCATGATAGTGAAACATGACAAAGTCACAATCCTTTTTTCTCCTTTAATCAATATCTATATATATATATATATATATATATATATATATATATGACTCTGCGGTGCGATCACCTTAAAAAAAACCATTAAAATGAGAAGAAAATTGAGGTCTTTAATATCTAAATTGTCAGTGAGAGGTTACTCTTATTGCTAATTTTTTTTTATCATGCCAAGTCCCAGGATGATATGCTGAACTAGATTAAGAAAATGCTGTGCCTATTGCCTCTCATAACTGCTGGTTTTCTTTTGCTACCTTGTGGCATAGGTTGTCTCGGACACCATCAATGTCGGTGCTGACACTGCAGCTGCTCTCAAGGCCCAGGTTGATTAGTTTCTGATACCAGTTTGATTGGGTTTTTAGCAAGAATGACATGTGGGGGTTCTACTCATATCTCAATCTCTGCAGACCGAGCAAATGAGTAGAATTGTCAATGAGCTGGATTCAATACAGTTTTCAATCAAGAAAGCTTCAAAGTTGGTGAAGGAAATCGGAAGACAGGTCGGTTCCTGTAACTATAAGTTGAATTTTCCTTGTTTATAAATATTTTCATCCTGTCTTCGTGCTTTTTTTTTTCGTCTGGTTCTCTCTTTCTCTCTCATCATTTCATTTTTCTACTCTTATGAACGAATTTAGGTGGCGACTGATCGCTGCATCATGGCCTTGCTCGTCATCATCGTCCTCGGAGTGATAGCCATAATCGCTGTTAAGGTTTGATGACTACCCACATCTGTTCTCAAATGTTTCCATCGAATTTTTTTTTTTTATATATATATATATATATAATTGCTTGAAATCTACATGCTTATCATGCTGAGGACTGTTTCATGGTTAAAGTACCTGGGAAATCAATGTTGGTCCAGGTTCTTCATGGAAGGATATAGACATCATTATTCATCATATTCCTCAAATCATATGCCACAATCTGACGAATCATTTCCTAGTAATCTTAGTTCTTCTTAGGCCATGCTACTTTTGACTGAATTTCTCAGATTGCTGACCCAAAGAACAAGGATATAGGGGACATTCCGGGGCTTGCGCCGCCAGCAAACAGACGACTTCTCTGGGTGCAAAACCAGAGCTGACTGGTTCGGACGAAGCTGCTCCTCTCAGACTCATGGTCTGTTGATTGAACCTGCTGCCCACCTACATTTCTTCCTGTATGCTATCATTTTTTTTTTATGACCTTTTACACATCTCCATCGTTCTCTTCATCTTCGTTATGGTTATTTTATCTTTGCATAAATCTGTGTAATTTATTCGATGGAAGTTATCTTTTTGTGCCTGGGGAGAACTTGTTTTGGGAAAGATTTCTCGCATAATGTCCGCAATTTCTTTTATTGCCCCATTCATTGTTTCTTGAGCTGTATTATTGTATTTCTTTATGAAATAAACTCAGTCGGAGTGGTACCGATGGGCTGCCCCAAACTTAGGAAAAATGGTCAATATTTCTTTTTAATAGGGTCCAAACTTAGGAAAATGGGCAAGGCCGGGCTTTTATTTTAGGCCCGGTCCAACTTCTTGACTCTACTGACTCGTCTAGTTAGGTTATATTTCTGAAAATAATATTTCAAAATTTTCTTACTTGCCTCTAAAGTTTTAATATATATTACGTATTTTATAAAAAGGAAATCAGGCAAAATGTGGCCATTTATGGCCATAAAACAGGATTCAATCCATCCATCCATCCAAGAGAGTTTAATAAAAATAATGTCAGACGTCATTGCGGGTGTTTTAGTGACGAGGGATGGGGCCCACAGTGAGCAGTGGACGATTCGAAGAGTGCTTTGTTGGTCCCACTTGAATCTATTCCACGCGTTCGTCGGATGACCATCCGCCCCCCGCCCCCCCGTGGAATAATGGTGCGTTCTGAACACGGAGCTCTTTGATTTGGGAGATCAGATCAGACTAGCCTGAACTGCACTTGCGCTGTACGCTGAGCGACCGGACTTGGAGGTGGGGTCAACGGGAAGACCTCTGGGTTGTCAAGTCGGGAAGGAAGGAAGAGAGAGAGAGGGAGACGGGGGATCGATGGCGACGGCGACGTGGATTTTTGTTATTCGAGATTCTCCAGCGACTTTCCCGCCACCGGCAGGTTGTTTATTAAGGCGGTTCTTACGCTGGATTGAGATAAGAGGGAGACCCCTGTTGCAGCGGTTGTCGAGAGAGAGAAGACTCATTCGCCGACGTCCCAAATCAGTCTGCCCCGCTAGTGAAGAACTCGGGGAGAAGACGAGGTAAGACGAAGTGGACGAGAGGGCGGTCTGTCGACTAGGGCAACGCGAGTGCATGAAGCTACGAGGTGAGTGAGAGAGAGAGAGAGAGAGAGAGAGAGACGCGTTAAGGTGACCTAAGTGAAGTAGAGGGGAAGAGGACGTTTCTCGTTTACGCGTGGAAGAGAAAGATACAACCACGTACTCAGTCCCTTGGATCCTCAGCCACCGAAGCCCAATCGGAGCTCCAAGCATAAATCCCACCACTCCACGCCTCCTCTCCTTCCCCTTCTGTTTTCAATAACCTGGTCTCTTCCTCTGCAACACTAGGATTTTCTCCATTTCTCCTCTGTGTCTCTCTTTCCTCTTCCCTTCTCAAACTGAAAATGAAGTGTCTGAGCTTCTTTTGGAAGAAAGCCGGGGCCAGAGAAGATGCACAGAGATCGTCTGCTTCCTCCAGTTGCCGTGGAAACTCCATATCCTGTGAGTCGAGCTCTGCCGAGGCCAGCAGCAAGCCTTCGATTAGAACCATCGCTGCCCTGTGCGAGGAGAAGATAGGCAGCCTGAGGGCCTTCGACCTCTCAGAGCTCCACGTGGCCACCAGTGGCTTTAGCTGGAGGACGAAGATCGGGGAAGGCGGCTTTGGGAGCGTCTACAGGGGCCTCCTCGAGCCATCTGATCCCCAACAGAGCGAGATAATGCAAGTTGCCATTAAGAAGCTAAACCAGGGCAGCCTTCAGGTGACCGAGTCGTCGGCCCTCGCTTTCAAAACCCAGAACCCCAACATTATGCAAAATGTTATTCATTTTTAGGGAGTTTTCTTCGATGTTTTATCATATATGATGTTATTTTGATCTGGGTTTTTACGAAATGTTCATGTTTGAATCTTGTTTTCTACGTAATTCTGAGACCCAGGCTGGTGACAACTTTTAAAAAGGATTCAAAATCTTCTCCATTTTTAGAGAGTTTTCTTCGACGTTTTATGATATAGGAATTCTGTTTTCTACATAATTATCAGATTCAGGGTGTTGAGAAGTTTAATAGAGTATTAAAAATCTTGCTTTTATTCAAAATCTTCTCCATTTCTACAGAGTTTTCCGATTTGAAGCATATAGGATGATGCTTTGATCTGGGTCTTTACGAAAATTTCATGTTTCAATTCTTTTTTCCCGCAATTCTCAGACTCGGGTTGGTAACAAGTTTTAGACATCTTCTTCAGTACTCAGAACACTGAACCCAGAACATCTTCTTCAATTTTTAATGATATAAAATCATGTTTTGATCTGGGTTTTTTTTGACGTAAGTTTCAGTATCGAGAAAAAACCTTATCGCTACCGTCTTCAGAACCCAAACCCTAAAATAGTCCAAAATATTTTCCATATTTGGAGAAAATTTTCGAATTTTATAATATAAGATCATGTTTAACCTGTGTTTTCTCATAATTTCCATTCTCAGGGGAAGATGAGTTTTTGCTGTCATTTGCGATACTCATAAGCCTCAAAATAATGCAAAAATCCTCTCAGTATTCCAAAAGTTTTTCAGTGTTCAATAATATAAGATTATGCTCTGATTTGGGTTTTTATTTAATTTTCACTCGTAGGGGAATATAACATTTTCATGCCTCATCCTAATACCAATAGGTATTATTCTAATCATGCAAAATACTCTTCTATTTTTCCATTTTGTATACGTTTTTTTGTGTCATATAGGTATTATGATCTGTGTTCTTACTAAAATAAAATGTTGGCCATCATCTCCAGCACCCAAAACCCTTAAATCAAGCAAACCCTTCTCTTTATTAATTTATTTTGAAATATTCTCAATTTTCTATGAACTAAAACTCCTGTTATGGCCTAGGTTTCTACTCAACTTCCTCATGGGGGTGTCACAGAGACCGAGTCTCTCCATGCCCGTAAACCCTAATATAATGCAACACTTCTCTTCCCTTTGATCCCTCAGAAGATTACAGTGATCGAAAAATCTGCGATAATGATAACCTGATCTTATACTTAATCATGGATCTCAGGGGCATAAAGAATGGATGGCGGAGATTCAGTTTCTCAGTGTGGTGGACCACCCGAATCTAGTGAAGCTAGTGGGGTATTGTGGTGAGAACACTGACAGGGGGATACAAAGACTGCTAGTCTACGAGTTCATGCCCAACAAGACCTTGGAGGACCACCTCTTTACAAAGGTTCAACCCCCTCTCTCTTGGCGGACAAGATTGAGGGTGGCCTTGGGCGTGGCAGAAGGGCTGAGATATCTCCACGAAGGGTTGGAAATCCAGGTTCTCCGTAAGAACCCTTTGGTTCTTTGCTTTATGTCGTGCATTTTTTATCAATTTAAGACTGCTAGTTGCTATGTGAACCTTTTGATGAACTTAGACTTGACATAATCTTCACTATTGACTTTAATTCTAGGTGCTGTCGTTGTTCCTTGGTTTGTGTAACATATGGCATGTTTTTTGGGTATCATTTTGTGCATTTGAGCTGCTAGTTCTTTGTTAAGGATACGGCACTTAAACACTATAGGGTCAACATATTTGGTACAATGTCAACAGGTAATATGTAAGTAAACCTATATGACATTGGTTTTATGTGAAAGATATAATGTCATATACTTAATTACATGATTTAACCAGTCTCTTTCGATGTAGTACTTACTAATGAATATGGTGGTCTAAGTTGAGACTAATCGACAATGAATGGAGTGGCAGTCATATACTTTATCTCATCAATGCAAGATAATTTTATAAAGTTTAGAGCTCTCATGCCAAGTCAATGGACTGGGTTACCCACCTCAAGATCATCCATGACCGAGCTTGTCCCTTTTTAATATGAGATTATCTAAATAACATTTCCACAAATAGGTGGATGGCTGTATCGATATATTACTTAGTTCTAACTTACGCGTTCATCATATAAAATCACCAAATGATGGTTATAAAAGCTCAGAACATCCATAGATAACATCATCATTCTCACCGAATATTTCATCCACAAAGACCATGGAAAACCCATAGATTGTGAGTTCAATGAGCGACTTGTAGTAATCCTCATAAAGCTATAATGTCCTCACGTTGCTTCTAGTGATTGAATGAGTGCTGCGTTGAAGATGTGAAGATCATATCTTACGGTTTCCTAAAGCATGATAATAAATCTAATTTTTTATTAATATTTGCTGAATGAGGAGCCTGCGTTTTGAGTAGGTGATATATCGAGACTTTAAAGCATCAAATGTGCTTCTGGACGAGGACTTCGAGCCCAAACTGTCGGACTTCGGCTTGGCCAGGGAGGGACCTTCAGATGGGCGTACCCATGTTTCAACTGCAGTACGTGTGCCTAACTTCTCTGCACAACCTCTAATCTGTGGTCTCGTATGATTTTCCATAACAAACAGAAAATCCCTAGTATGATCTAGCAGCATGACTTCAGTAATCTAGTAGGACGATGATCTATAGTAACAAGAATCAGTGATCTACAGTACAATTCTCTGCGGTAACCAATAACTATGATCTAGTAGCTTGATTCTGTACGGTGACAAAAAAAAGAAGTTAATCGTATGATTCTCTACAACAACCGAAGTCTATGATCTAGTAGCATGATTCTCTACAAAAACGGAAAACCCGTAATCCAGTTGTACACAATTCTGAAATCTAGTAGCATGGTTTCACACACCAAAAATAATCTAATCTTGTTACTGTAGGATGCGCTACAACAACAGAGATCTAGGATCTATCCCTACAATAGCAAAAATCTGTCTTCTCTTATGATTTTCCTTAATCCACCAGAATCAAGTAATTACTATGATTCTCCATGATTGGCAAAGTCTATGATCTGATATGGTTCTGTATATTGTGGCATTCGTTTCAGGTTGTGGGCACCTATGGCTATGCCGCCCCAGAATACATCAAGACCGGCCACCTCACAACCAAGAGCGATGTGTGGAGCTTTGGGATAGTCCTGTTCGAGATACTCACAGGGAGACGCTGCTTAGACCTGGGTCGCCCAAGATCCGAGCGTAAGCTTCTTGATTGGGTAAAGGAGTTTCCGGTAGAGAGCGGGAGATTTACCATGATCATCGATCCCAGGCTGCAGAATCGATACTCCATCTCTGCCTCACGGTATACTGCCAACCTTGCAAATAGCTGCCTCTCTACAAATCCAAAAGCCCGCCCCACCATGAGCCAGGTGGTTGAGAGTCTGAGGCATATAATCGGGTGAGAGCAGATCAAGACCTGGAAATGCAGTGAAGGTAGAACTTTATCATTGTTTTGTATTCCTTGATAGTCTTGGAAGTCAACCTCTTCTTTACCTCAAAATCAACGAGGCATAGTCTTTTCGGGATCTTCCTCAACTTCACCACTAGTGCACATTAGTCATCCTTGAGTATTGTTTTTTGTGTTAAGAAATAACCAGACTTGCAAAAAGTTTTGTGGAGCAGTAGATGCAGAAAACTCAGAGTCTGGGGCACTGCTTGTATGCAGTTCTGGATCAGTTCCTAGTCAGTGACTGTATTTTTTCTGAATTATTAAGAAAAAATAGCAGATATGAGACTATAACATGAAAAATCTGACTTGTACCTCTATTTGTAGCATTACTTGTGAGTCGTTCTAAATACATTCCTCCTCCAGACGTCATCTTTTGAATCGTGGTCTTTTTGCGAGATATTTGCATGAGAACGACAATAATCAATCAATCTTCCACCTATGTTTCTCGTTTCGGTGCTCTGTAGTTGCAGCTCCAATCCTTTTCTCCAAAATCTCCAGAGCCATACAGAATATTTCCAGACACCTGCATTAGAACAGCAGTCAGTGATCCATCTTCTCGTACCTCCGGATTCTAGCCATTAAGGTATCAGACTCTTCCAAGGTAGGACTCACAAGACAAACTTCAGAATGAGAGCCTTCCTCTTACTGTTTTTGTTGACGGATTCGATGGGGGAAGTCGGATTCCATGGAATGACGAGCAGGCGGCGGGATCGGCCTTTCCCCGTCTGAGCTGCAGCATCATATTCTCTAGTTCCGCAAAGCGTCGCCAGTTGTCGCCGGCCAACAGATGCCTGCTCGTGCTCTCCTACCGGCTCAACGCTCGTCTCCTCCAATCGTTGCCAAAAATCTGAGATAAGCTCGATTCGTCGGATCTCTGCAACGGGTTCTCCCCGGAGAGATCAGCGTCGTCGCCCGATGTTTCGCCCCTAGCCTACCTCACGAAAAGCCACGGGAAGCTCTTCGCAAGGTGTTGCTGCCACCTCATTCATCTCCAAGCCGATGAAGTTCAGAGCGGCGCCCCTCCTCGCTAGCATCAACCTCATAGTTGAGTATCCGCCCTCGATCCCCTGCGTTCCAGTATCTGGCAGCGAGTTCCGATGCGTGGGGCTGCCTCTTTCAGCGCTGGTGTATCCCGGCCATCTCGCCGGAAAACTTCACGCCGGTTCCACCGAACGCCACCGCAGCAATAGCAAGGATCAGGTCGCCGTGCAGAAGCAGCAGTGTGAAGCATCATCTCTCGAGGAAGAAGCCACCGCAATCGAATCCCCGGCCTCCTCCTCCTCCTCTGAGGAGCGTTTCCTCCAGAAATTCGCCACCACGGTTCTCACCGCCGCGCTCACGGCAGCCTTCACGACCGTCGTTGAGACCCCGATGAAAGCGAATCAGAAAAGCCCCTAAGCCGGCTTTATCAGGCTCAGTACGTTAAACGATGCAGTTATCGGATCCGGTCCCACACCCTTGCCACCTCACCGGGTTTGGGGACTTTGGGAGCGCCACATGGCGTGAGAAGCTCATCGCGTGGCCCGATCACTACCTGGATTTCCTGAAATGCTCGCGACAGTTTTATTTATGAATCGCCTCAAAAGAAATAAGCCCATACTATTTTACAAAAATCCTTCCGTAAATGATACATGTTATAATATTAAAAAGGAATAACGTATAATTAATGTACATTTATAAAATAACCTTATTTATGATTTTGTTTAAATGACATTATGTTTTTCATAATTAGTATGTTTTTTCTTTGACATTTTTTAAATCCACAAAGAGTATTTTAGATGGATATCATAATAACAAAAATGATAAATGCACTTTATTTTCATGAGAATCCCTCTTGCTAGTTTTAGGAGGGATGACTCGTTTATCATCCAAAAAAAATGATTAGTAATTAAAATAAAATAGTCAACACATTTACTATATAAAAAATCTAAGTGATTGTCAATACCTAGAGAATCACAATAATTCTAGATATGTGGAGAGCTAGGTAATGAGCTGAATACTAAAGTGAGAAAAAGAGAGGTCTATTGGCAATTCAGGTTGTTTATTTGGACTGAAAGTACAAAGCAACTTTTATAATCACATTAATAAGTTTGAGATGTAAATATGACAATTTAAATTTATATATTATTAAGTACCTGAAAAATGACATAAATCAAACTAATATATAAATTTATATATTATATGATATAAGCAATCATTTGGACGGGAAAGTACATCACAATTTTTCTAATCGCATGAATAAATTTGAGACGTATACTTGATGGCATAAATTTATATATTATTAAGTGCCTAAAAGGGATATTAATCGAACATATATATAAAATTATATTATTATATGATAGGCATATAAGTAATTCAGGTTTTTTATTTGGTCGGGAAAACATAATAGCACTAAAAACATTAAAATGTAAATATGCTGGTAAATATATATTTATTTAGTGCCTGAAGAACGACATAAATCGAATTAATATGTAAAATTATATACTATATGATAGGCATATTCAGGTGGTTTGTTGGGATGGAAAGTTTATCGCGACTTTTATAATGGTATTAATAAATTTAAAATGTAAACATGATGGTGTAAATTTATATATAATTAAATGCATGAAAAAGGATATAAATCGAACTAATATAACGGATTTATGATTTCTTTCAATTAAAAAAATAATGAAAGTTGCGATCCATTTTTGATGATCCGTAAAACCCGCCAGAAGCCTGTCGGCGTGCGTCCCCCAACGTTCGCTCCGTCGCCAGCCGCCGTTCGCCGGGCTCTCTGGTTCCCTTCTCTCTCGATCGACGCCCATCGCCGGTAGGACACCTCCTCCTTCTCTCTCTCTCTCTTGCTCTTGCTCTTCTTGTCCTTGCATCTTTCTTCTACTCGTCGTCCCTCTCCTTTTCTTTCCATCTGTGGCCCTATACTCTCTCCATTGATCCGATAGCCCTGTTCTCTGGTTATATTCTTCATCTTTCTCCCTCTCTTCTCGTCCTCATATGCTCTGAACACCCAGCAACCTCCTTTCTCTCGCTGCACACATGCACGGGCAGTGGAGTCCCTCCTTGATGGTGGGCTCCGGCCGATTTCTGTGATTGTATGTTTTGCATTTTATTTTTTCTGTATGTTGCGCGTCGAATGAAGGCCCATTTTGGTCTCAGATCAAAACAGATTTGGATTGGATTGTTTCGATCTCTATGTCAGTCGGCTGATTTTCAACCACATCAGCTGTTTTCTCGGGCAACACATTTTATCATGTGAAGTAGTGCTGTTTCTTCATTCTGCATTATTTCGCGCCAAAGCTAAATAGAAAAATCTTGAGATGTATGCCCTGCAATTATCCGCTGTGCACTCCCAGTAGGCGTCCTTGCCTTCTTAAACGAGTGGTTCCCCATGGCCCTTTCCACTCCTAGCTTCCGGTTCCTGTTGGTCCGCAACAGACATTAAGTTAGTAAGCAAGCTACTTGGTCTCTAGCCATCAGTGGAAGAATTATTTTCTGGGAGGTCTGTTTATATCTGATATAGTCCGGCTACATATAAGAGTATATATAATCGTTGGTGCTGAAATAAGTGGAAAATAGATGGACACAATACAAACGTCACAACCCAACCCTCTGGTCCCACTGGATGACAAACTTAAACTTTTCGGTACAATAAGGAATAGAGTTATGCAATACTGACAGAGCTGACAGATGTGTGTTTTTGGCGTGGACTCAAATTCTAATTGGAGAAGTTGGTCAAAAGTTTCCTTGGCCACCTTCTAAAAGGCTGGGTTTCTTAAAACTTTATTGAGATTTTACCATTGTAAATTTTTTGCTCTTAAAAATTTTCAAACTTCACACTTTCAGCTCTTCACTTGCGTCGAAATCCTGTGTATGTGTTGACTCTTATCTTTTTCCGTGTCAATCTTCATTGTTTGGATGTTAATTTGTTACATAGGTATTGACACTTGTTTTTAAAGAATTAACGTCTATATGCCTCATATGTCCACCTTTATGTAAATTACATTATGTTCTCTACTCATGCCAATACTTATCTTCCAATTATCTTATCTTGGAATGCATGCTTTATTTGCTCGAGAGAGCATCAATGCTTCTTTACCAAGTGTTGAGAATTCTAAACTTCAATGATCGCTGTTGTTTCTTAATACCAGGTGTGGACACTTTTATTATAGGTGTAGACACTTGCCTAATTTAACTTGATAGTCTTTAGTTTACTTATCCAAGTTTTTCTTATTTATATGATATATAAACAGAAGCACATTTTGACACATCCATGTGCATGACATAAGCATGATTTGAAATTCAAATTTTTTTCTTTTATAAGGTTTAATAATTTGATCTACTAAAATAAAAAATGACGATTTTTTCGTATGGTTGAGATATAGTGTCTACTATGTAACAGTCTACCAAACCATCTGAGTGCGGTGGCTTTTAGAATATTTTTCTACATATGGTTTTGATTTTATTTCTTGTAATAAGAAAAAACTGATCACATCATTCTCAATATTTTTTTGACTTCAATTAGATTTGACATTCAATGGTACCATTCAATACTCTCGTCCAGCATCAAATTGGGCATCACACCATAGAATTTTCATTGCGCACATATTTTATTTTCATTCCTATATGGTTTCGGATTTTGAAGAAATCTGTTTGGTGTATCCGTGGCATTGCATTCAGGTACTATGGTGTTTAGAGGTGATAGTCTACTAAACAAACTCTTGACTGATAAGCTGGCAGGGATATTATGTCACATTGAGGGTATATCGGTAATATACTTTTAAAATGTTAGGATATGCTTTTAAATTAGAGATATTTTTAAAAAGCAAATACAAAATTTTCGCTTGCTTTTTTCATGATTGCTATTGATTCATGGTTAGAACCTTACAGGGTTTCCTCTTCTAAAGATAAATATCCCAGTATATGTCCACGAAGGTTAAATACGATCTTACCCATGGTGTGAGCATGCATTTAAAAACAAAAAGGTTTACATGTCACGCTATCAAATTGATGATAGAAAAAGGAAACTAATGTCAGACTGCAAATTAATTTTATCTGAATAGATCCCTTTTGAGGATGCTTTTCATTATATAATTTATTATTGACTTCTTCTTATAGAATGACAGTGAAGATTCCTTTTTTAAATTGACATTTCATTTTTATCATCTTCTTTCTCTCAAGTTCGTAAGTGCACCATGCTCTCCCACGATTTCTGAGAGCATTATGTGAACCTTTTTCATTGAAAACATATAGTTAGACTAAATGTGCTCGCTATTGACAGCAGTTATCTAAATAGCCGGGTTTTTCAAATGACACATCTGAAATTTGATATCTATTTTTTTCTTGTATCAGCTCTTTACCCACTCAAGATGTTTGAATGAGATAACAATAAATAAATCTGCACTAGTGGCTATTGAAACACATTCCTCACAAATGTGAATTTTGTTTTTGTTTATTAACGTCTTAGTGAAAATCAATAATCATTGAGTACCTCTTATCTGTGCAGGAGTTAATGGCTACTCTTCGTAATTTGAAAATAAAGACAAGTACTTGCAAACGAATTCTTAAAGAGCTCCATTCTTATGAAAAAGAGGTGGAGAAGGAAGCTGCAAAGACAGCAGACATGAAGGAGAAAGGAGCTGATCCCTATGATCTCAAGCAACAGGTAGCTATTACCAGTCAACTTTTCCATTCTTTTGTTATTTGAAGTTTAATATTGAAATGTGTAAATGAGAAAACATGTCAAATCTTTTGTTAGGAATACGATCTCTAATAGCCCTAGATTTCATACATTAGTACTGCATTTTAATCCCGAGTTCACCCTCTTGGGAGCTCTTTGGCTTCTAAATTATCAACCATCTCGTTCATTTTGATGCTTTCGAAAAGGACACCGTAATTATCTAGCCAAATGCTCCTTCATGTCTTCTATTATGGTATAGAAATTTTCAGTTTTCCTCAATCGGATGATTGCATGCTCTCCATTCTCCGAGAATCCACATTTTTGGGTTAGACAGGTGGAGAATGGATGGATAGAGAGGCAATATGATGGGAAGTGTTTGATTAGAAGACTTCTTACAGTAGATTGCGGGCTCAGCTATCATCAAAGGTCACGATTAGAATTTTCTCGACAAGCTGCTCTTATGCCCTTATCTTCCTCGTTATTTGAGGGCGCTTCTTGGATCTCAGACAGTCTGCTTCTCTGCTTCTTCATCAATAACACCAATAGGATCCCTGGGTGATGAAATTTCAGCCTGTCCAGAACATTTCCATCAAATAATACTTCTGTTTCAGGACTTCCATGCTGTTCTAAAGCCCCAGATACTTCTGCTGTCTCAACTGTCGTTCTCTTTTCTTTTCTTCTCTTTTTGATGACTGCACATGGAAGTAAACTGCCCCAAATTTTAGCCGATGATAGGGTTTAAAAGTCCACATGTTAGAAATTGGCTGAATTTCGATTACGCCTGTTTCGTGGCACTGAGATGTGGCTGCAAATATAGACTACTTTGTGTAATACATATAAAGACATGAATGGCTATAAATAGAAACTATTCTGTATTAATATGAATAAGTTTTATCTTTCATCTTTTTGGACCAGTTCCGGCTCATACATTATTGAAATAAATTACCACTATCGTTTTGAAGATGGATTGATATAATATAGGGTCAGTTTTGATATGCTCAATCTCTTTCTGTGCTGACAATGCTCGAACTCTCAATTCAGAAATCACATCTTTCTACTTCAGTAGCAACCTATTTTTGTCTGTAAGTTGATTCATGAAATGGTCGTCTAATTTCTGTTTCCTAGCTTAGTCAACTGTACAAAGCTCTGCCACAATCAGCTAGTGGAATGGCTTCAGAGCTCATTGTTTTCCATCTATCCCATGTGATATACTATGATCTTTGGGACAGATGTGTGGCTTAGGTTATTGTTTTCGACCAGTCCCATGGAAAATACAATGATTTATGGGGGACATCTTTGGTTGAGTGTTGCAGATGTATTTTTATCGGTGGCTTTTTGTGGCTCTTCCTATACTAATGCGTAGAGAAGTGGGATTGGATCTGTCTTCCGGTCTTTGTCCATTCTGTCCACCTCAAAGGGTGTCGGAAGATCCTTCTGTATTTCCACGTCTTTAGCGTTGGAGAAGAATGAGGGGTGTACTTTCGGATAGCCCACATGTGAGACTGGATTGAGTGATGTTGACAGGGCGGTGAAGGCTGGGGACACAGGTTGCTATGGAGCTGGGAGGGAAAGGTTGAAATCAGTTACATGGCGGATGATTAGAATCCAGATGAATTAAATCGATTCAAAATTGGCACGATTGACCTGTTTTCAATGGGTGGGGAATGGAAGGATCCAATCTCTCTTGACATTGAAAAACAGAAAAAAATACTAATCGTCCCAAGAAGTGATGTCTAGCTGATTAGGAGCTGGGCTGGGACACTAAAGGCATATTTGCCCTTCTGTCTTTCAATTAAAGACGTGGATATGAAAAAAATGGAAAATATGTTATAAGTAGGACAAAAATCTACCAATATTGAATAAGAAAACGCTGGAGAGTTGAAGCAAAAAACAAAATTTACCTCTGCCACTGCCCCCTCCCTCTTTTCCTCTTCTTCTCGTGTGTGAGATTGTGAGACTGGAGTAAGGATCGAGGTGGAGGAATACTGAAGGGTTTTTTAAAAGTTAACTATCGTTTGTCCGTTTTTCGTTCTATACCATCACCAGTTGTATGTTCCTATCATATTTATCTTCTGCATTTTAGCTGAATCTGCCTTCGTCCAAGGGCAGCTGATGTGCAGAGTCTGAACCTGATTTTTTTTTTTGGGTTAATTCCAGTGGGCTCTGTCAGGACATCAAAACTGATAATGGTCAATGATCGTAATGGCTGAGCGAGAGCGAGATGTTTCCTGTAGGACATTCCTGGGGTCATTTGTATTTCCTTCGACCATAAATTCAAGGATGGGTTAGACGCAGAAGTGTAGAGGAGTGCATGTATGTATATTTGTGAATAAATGTTCTATAACAATCGTTGGTTGTCAGTCCTATTTCACCTGATTACAGTATATTTTTATTGTTTTCCACAATCTCATATGGTCAGCCTTTCCATCTATCCAACATTACTGAGCGATCTTTTTTTATCGCAGTGCATGTCGGCCTATCTATTTAGGGGAATGTTTTCATGGAATAGGCTACTGAGATTGGCTCACTCAAGTAATCAAAGACTTTCCTCCTGTAGTTGCTCTTGTAGATGGTCTCGTTGCACCAATTTGAATCTGATGGATATTTTTTCACATTAGGCTGTGCCACTCCATGTACTTAACCTCTGGCTGATTGATCTGTTGTCTTGGATCTTGGATACATTTCGTAGCTTTTCTTCATCATATGATGTTTCTCCTAGAGTTTATTATCGACAATAGATGATATATTTAGCCTCTCAAATAACTGGCTACAGAAGTTCCACCCATGGATACTTTCCTTCGTATCTCCTAAGGGTAATTAAGTTATCTGTTAACCATTTCCTTATAAAACTGATTGGATAGCTGTATTTTATTTAGGAGAATGTCTTAGCAGAGTCAAGGATGATGATCCCTGACTGTCGCAAACGCCTGGAGGCATCACTTGGAGATTTGAAGGGAACATTGGTATACATCCCAGAATAATGATGCTCAATGGAAAGACCTACAAACTTTATCTCTGCTCTAATAATATTTGAATATCCTTTCAGGCTGAAATCAAGGATTCAGATCTTCAGGGCCCTGATATTGGAGACGCTGAAAGCATGGTGACTGAGGTTGAGGCTTTCTTTCAAAGTATCGAAGCATGAGCATTTAGCACAATGGGCTGTTGAAGGTCTGGTGCCTTTTTAGACTGGTCTTTTACTATATAGCACCTATGCCCTATAGGGTTCGGTGCCATCGTGCTCTCCTAAGTAGATATAGCTGTTTTGTGATGAATTCCAGCAAGCTACATATTTATGAGTCTCGCTGATGATTTCTCATTGCTGGGGCCAGGGGATGTACCAATCTGAAGTTTTAGAGCACTAAAATGGGTCCGTGAGAAGCTCATTTGGGACCTTTCCTCGGGTCCTACTTTAGAACCCAGCTAAAATCTGAGATATTCATGGCATTGGAATGTTTATCAGATTTTCGTCCCACAAGAGAACATTTTCTTCAGTAATTCATTTGATGTTTGCTAGAATTTGTTGAGACCTTCTGGGCCGGTCCGGAAGAAAGACACCTAAATGAAACAGCAAAACGAAACTAGAACTGAATGTTGAGCAGCTCTGTCCACAAACACAGCAAGACAGAAAAGGGAAACATGAAGGAAACAGAAGAGGGTGGGGGTCTAGGGGATGCCCTAGGGTTCAGAAGAGTAGGTAATTTGAGAGACTCCCAACTCAGCTAGTTGATCCCTTTTTTCTGGATGACTTAATTGTTTAATTCGAAACCCTTTTTCTGTCTCATTTAACAAGCAGCCTTAATCTAATTTACTCTTCTGTCCCCTATAAGTTGCCCTTGCTTTTTACGGTTGTATGTTATAGGTTTCCCCCTTTTTTTTTTGGCCTGAGACCAGCCTCAACTATCATGCCGTGAACCTCGAGCAATACTCTACTTTACTGCGGCAAGGAAATGACACCAAAGCACTTGTATTACCGCAAGAAGGATGTACATGGAGGGAGAAGAGCCCAACACAATTTTCTTAGCTTCCAGCTCTCTCTCAACCCCCCATCGGCTCCTTTCCTATAGTCATTGGACTGCAGCTTCCTCAGCTCTTTTTGAGCTCTCCTCTTCTCTCTCATAAGCTTTTCTTCTACTGAGACAAGAGCTTCCCTCTCTCTCTTTGTGTACAGCACTCACTCATGCCTCTTTTTCTCCTTCTTCTATCTTCTAGAGGGTGGAGTTCTCCATCTTTTATAAAGGGAGAGGCCTATAGAACCTTCTTTGTTTAAACCTTTCATTTGCTACCTTTTTGTGCAGACCCTTTCTTCTATCTGCCTTAAATCTATCTTAGGTCTAAAAGCATCATTTCAAATCCAAGAAACTTGCTCCATCCAAGCTTTCTTAGTTTGTCCACATGAATTTGATGTCATCATTAGAGAATGCTTTTTGAGGTATTGATGGATCAAGTCCTCAAATTCCCAGAGGTTGATGTAGCATTCCCATGTTGCATATTTGAGAGGTTTGCTCTACCATTTCATCATGATGTAGTTGTGGCAATGACACTTAGAATGTAGCTCCTCCATTATCTTCTCGTTAGTCCAAGATAACTTTAGCTTTCTTAGAGTACTAGGCACATGTCATGAGTGGTGTTTGTTGTGGCTAGGTGTGCTCCATGTCGTCTTCATCAACCACATACTTCAAAAGGGAGATGTGGAAGATTGATCATGCATTAGTTGTTGTTTTTATACATACATGTGTAATGATATTTATAATTAAACTTTCTAAATAAATTCTTAGTATCAATGTAAGTTCAAGTTGATTTTCACAGATGGTGAGAACTAATTTTAATGAATTTCTAATTTCTCTAATGTAAAGACTATTTAGAAGAAAATAACAAAATAAAATGAGATGAGATAAGTGATAAAATCTTCTCTTCGTTACTTAATATGCTCATTCTCTAATTAATATTGTCTATTTAATTCTCTTGTTAGCACTAGATAAAAAGGAAGGTTTTGATAATGAGATAATTAAATAATAAAAAAGAAAAATAATTTAAAAAGAATATAGAGTGAAAAGATGAGAAGGGTGGTTATCAATAGAATAACTTCTATTGATGTGGACAGTATTTTGAAATATGTAAAGTAAATATTTAAAATAAATGAAATGTATATATACCTTAGTTGTCAATCAAGGATAGACTAAAATAATTAAATTCGTGATCAAAAATAAATTTTGTCTTATGAATTTTCCTTTCCTTGTTTGTCACCTAATGACAAGAAACAAGATTACAAGGAATTATAGTCGAAATTTAATTAAGTTCATAATGATGAAGACTAAGAAAAAACTAAAGCTTTCTCTTTTCCTTGTCTATTAAGCAAGAAAATGAGAAGAACGAAACATTTAACTTAAATAAATTCAGGAACAAATTCTTTTTGATCAATGTATGTCATGCAAAGAACAAACAGAAATGAATAAAACAATAGTAAAAACTAAAATTACAAAGAGCTCTATTGATTGTAGCCAGCTAGTATTGAGATCTTCCTTCTTCCCTTGCTTTCCAACCTCCTTCCTTCCATGCATCCTCCCCAAGCCAACAATTTGTTTTCTCTCTCCAAAGGAACAAGGAGCATCCCTTCTCCTTAGATCCGAAAATCCCTCATTTTGTTTTGATTCAACTAATTTTTTTTCTTTTCGTCTTCAATATTTGACTTCATTTTTTCACTCTAATTCATGTAAAAAATTACACTTTTAAATTCATTTATTAATAAACGTAAAAGCTTCATTTGAAATTTTTGATCAATTGGAAAAGAGTTTGTAGAGAAATCATGATTTTTTTGATCAACATTTGTTTTGTTGTTTATTTTTCCTCATTTTTCTGGCATTTTTCAGGTTAGTTTCCATCATTTTCGATCATTTCTTGTATTTTCTGAGCGTTCTCTACATTTTCTGCACGTTTGATTCATGGGATTCCATGACATTACGCCAGGTCAACGATCAACCATTTAGACTAACGCTCATGAACCTTTAGTCTCACTTCAATTGTTTCTAAGAATTGTGAGTATATATGTTGAGGTGCTTTATGCTCCGTGAGGCTATACAAGGCCTGAAGATATATAATAATATATTACTATTTAGTATTATTATTATTCTTTTATTTATATTTTTATTTTTTTCATAATAAATTCACAAAATCTCTAAACAAGTCCTATAAATTCAGAAATCCCAAAAATTACAGAAAATTTAGAAAATGTCTCAGATTATCTTGAAAGTCTAAATATTAATATTTATTATCTAACTCTCATAACTTGCAATCACATTTAACTTTTTATTTTCAAAGAAATATCAAGAAATCAATGTAAATATATGAAACTTTATTTTTCTAAAACATATATAAATAGGTATATCTTTTAACAAACTAAAGTGAAACACATAGAAATTGACATCTTATTTAGATAATTTAGTGAATTATGTTGAGTTAGTAGGCTAGTTGTTCTACTCGTGCCACAACCTCAAATGAGTTATTGTAACGTGGCACCAGTCCATGATATCACTTACTATGCTTGATTAGAGCATCATGGGATCACCGACACTGTACTTTACATATCTATAGTGGTAGTCTATGTGCTTCTACATGGCTCTATAATAACCTATGTGCCAACGGTTCACATGCCTCTTCTACATATTTTTAGCATGATATGGTAAACCCATGTGTTGTTAGGCAACATGCATGACTTGTCTACTTCTCCAGCTTGAATGAGGATTGCTCTATTACTAAGCTCTGGTTGGTGATGTAAGAGAATTGGGTGACATCTAATAGCTCGACTAAATTGTCCTGATTCCCTGTCATATAATGATTTAGATACTCCTCTAACATCCTATTCATCTACTCTATGTGTCCATCTATTTATTGATGAAAAATCATTGAGAACTTTAGTTGGGTACTTATTTGTCCGAAGAGGGCTGTCTAAAATAGACTGATGAACCTCGTGTCCTGGTCTCTCACAATACCTTCACCACATGGCTCATGACGAGTTTGAACACATACTCCATTGAGCTAATTAGTTACTATGACATAAATGCTGTATATTCAAAGAAATAATTGGTGATGACAAAGATTGCCTCATGTCTTCCAATCTTGGGTAGTTCAACAATGAAATATATAGAGATGGATTCCCAATATCAGATTAGAATGGGCAGTGATTTTAGTGTGTTTGTTGTCTTGGCATGCTCCATCTTGTCCTACTAGGACACCAAACAAGATTGAATGTACACTTCAACATCTTGGTCCATGTTGCACCAATAAAAGTTGCTAGATAGCAACACCATTGTGTGCTCTCATTTGTGCTGTTCGACATAGGATGTACAATACGTCTCCTTTAGTAATTGTTGGCATAATCTACCTATTTGTGACACATATGCTCATTACTAGTGTGTGTAGAGGACTTTGTCTTCCATTCAAAAATTGTGGGTCTCTCCTATAGACACTTGTTGCATCACTCACATGACCTCTTTGTCACTTTACAATATGACGTAAATTTCCTTTGTGGGTCCATCTTTGTCACTTTACAAGATGGTGCCCATTTTTGTAGAGAGGGTAGTTATGATAACTTCTGGTTCCTTGCAGTTGAGGCATTGATAATCACTTTGGTGTGCATGACTTGTACTAAAACTCAAAGTGGTACTCCACTAATAAGTCTTGTCTTCTAAGTTCTTTTTGTGTGGTTTGGGTAGTGTTGTAAAGTAGCTTGTTGTCACATTGTCTATGTACACCATGAATAGCCTACTGAAGAGATAATAGCGTCTCACTTGTAAGTAGTTACCATTATGGTTATTTTCATCTTGTGCATAGAGTACCACCAATTTGTCACTGAGCTTTTGACTTTTGAAGTTAATGGGATGCCTTTACTATATTAGAACATTACTAATCGCCAAATCTAATATCACAAATAGTTTGTTGAAGTCTGGCAGCCATAGCATTGACTTGCTCATCACTGCTCGCTTGAGGTTGTGAAAGGCATGTTGGCATTTTGTTGACTAGTGTCAATGCACACCCTTCTTTAGAAGGTCTATCAAGAGTGTTGTATGTTGTGAGTATCCTTAGACAAAATTTTGATATTAGTTTGCTATGTTGATAAACAAGTGAAGTTCCAATACTCTAATAGGC